TGTGGAATGATGATGACTGTTTATTCGCTAAAAAATTCCTCAGACATCCTAGTGGGGAAGCTGCAAAATTTTACCTGTTTATGTCCAAACAACAATGCCAGTTTGCCACTAGCATTACGACTGAACTCTGTTATCAACATCTCTAAGTGAAACTGAATGAAATATTGACAATATTTGTACTTTGAAAGAGGCGGCTATGGTGACCGAAACGTCAGTAAAAAGTCATTAATAGAAAACGATGGGGTTCTACCAACATGGAAACTGTAGGAAAAGTTTCTGGTGTTACATGAGAGGGTGATGGAGGAATCACGCACTTGGTTTCCAACTGTATGACCGAGAGTCCATTATGGAAGAACGTTGGCCTTCTATGGCTTGTATAAACGAAACTTTAATAGGTCGCATCACCACCTTTCTCTACAGTTTGGTGCCTAAGTGCTGTGATCTTCGCTAATTGCCATACCTCCTATACAGAATACAATATACACTAGGTTATAGAAGTATCACTAACTGTAAAACTGCAAACACCTGTGAAGTAAAACTAATAATTCATCATAATCTTGTCCTTTTCTACCGATATACCAAAGAAATATGTTTCTCTGAACTCTCCTTCATTTCTAGCTTGTCTAGGTATGCTACACCAGAATGAATACTTTGTTTTTACGGCGTCAGCAAGGTGAACTCAACTGCCAAAAGAAAAATTTCTCTACTCTGATCGAATATTCATCTAACACCTTCACAGCAAATAATAAGGAATTACAGAAAAATTGTTTGACAGTTTCCTAGCATATCAACTCCAAAAAGTATATAAAGAATCTTAAAATCTAAATGTTTAATCTGAGAATAAAGCATCACTTTTTTTTAAGTGTCCTCGCATTTTTTATATTACCAATTTTTCTCCAAAATTTTAGTGATCAGTTACTTGGCACTAAGTGACAACAAACGATGTTTGTATTGACGCAAATATTTCCATTTGCCACTGTTTTCTACTGAACACAATTTGCGTTAATTTTGATGTTTACACTAACGTTGATGTGATAGATGCTCCTATCTACAAAATACATTTTCTGTCCGTTGACCCACCAGGAAAAAAAATGTACGTAAAACTCCTTGAACTGACGACTCATTGTATATTCAACATGCCGTTATAGGATTTACATCTACACGTCAACTTCTACTTTTTAGGATATTCAATCTCGCAGGTCAAAGTTCTTACTATGCTGATGCGGAATTTCTGTTTTGTTGTTTTCAATTGTAGACGTGATTTGAAAATGCTATTTAGTGACGTTATTTGTACTATGATCTGCACGACAAAGAATACTAATCCGAAAATCTAAAAACGTCTGTAAGCACGCATGAGCTTATTTTTGTGAAACAATAATAATAGTGACAATTTTGAATGGATGCCACTCTCTTAACTCCTTTGCCACTACTCATTCCAACTTCGCCGAACTCCATAAATCGAGAACTGGCTGGTACAACAGATCCTTTGTTTCTACATTGTAGAAGAATCCACGACGATATTTTTCACAGTTCTACTAGCCTCAGGCACAGCTTCGGATCTACGGTTTTTTTGTACCAGAGCAGAAACTTGGGGTATGCAGTAAAAAGTTCTTGGAGAACTCAGGATCTATGTCTGTCTCGAGAGAGGGGACATCAGCAATTGTAAATTAAATAACCACTAAAGAGCGGGGGATGCCAAAAACATATAAATGATCAATGATCAATCTCGAAAAGACCCAGGGGGCTAGATCCGCCCTCGGAGGGCGTTGCATTTAACAAACGGTATACCATGCTGTATTATACAGGGTGTCTGCGAAAGGTTGGAAAATCTCGAAAGTGGAGATACTGCAAACCAAAATATACTAAGTGACATATAAATCCAAACACCCAGTTTAAATGGTTTTATTTTAATAAAATTTTGTATAAGTACTTAATGAAGCATAATAAGTAAATGATAAAAATTTCAAAATGATTGCACTGCTTTAAAGCCCTTTGACCTTTAATAATGTGTGGATGCACCCTGATGTGCTACGCATTCTCCAACGCGCCTAGGCATGCTTCTGATCAGGTGGTCAATGTCCTCCTGTGGTATCTCATTCCAGGCAACCACCAACTCCTCTCGAAGTGCTTCTAGAGTCTGAGGAGGACGTTGCGAATCGAGCAATCTCCTACCCATCATATCCCACACGTGCTCAATTGGGGATAAGTCGGGAGATCTTGGTGGCCATGGTAACAATGTGACATCATTATGTTGAAAGAAGTCTATTGTGACTCTTGCAACATGAGGTCGAGCATTATCTTGTTGGAAAGTTGGATCTGCCAGGGTGTCAAGATAGGGTAAAAGATGGGGTTCTAGAACTTCGTGGATATAACGTTGCGCGTTCATGTTACCTCTGATGAAGATTAAAGGTGACCTGGAACCATAAGCTATAGCACCCCAAACCATAACTCCAACAGTGTGATGAACATGTCTTTCAACAAAAAACTGTGGATTCCTCCTTTCACCACGTCGCCTGCTAACCCTGGCACGACCGTCGTGCATGCCTAAAGAAAATCGAGACTCGTCACTAAACACAATACTGTTCCATTCCTGATCCCAGAGTGACCGTTGTCTGCACCACTCAAGGCGATTACGTCGGTGTTCTCGAGTTAAAGGGATGACCCAGTGTGGCCGGTATGAAAACAAGCCAAAACTTCTCATTCGTCGGTAAACACTTCGCATGCCAATATGTCTTCCGTGTTCTACAAACCATTCATTTGCAATGGAGCTGGTAGTGGAGAAACGGTCCCTTAAGGCCAATAACCTTAGGCGGCGATCTTCACGGTCTGTTGTTCTATGGCGGCGTCCAGTGCCCCTTGCTCTTTGCGTACGGCCTTCTCGAAGCCATGCCTGACAACACCTAAGCACAGTGTCTACACTTCTTTGCACTCTAACTGCAATTGCCCGAAAAGAAGGTCCAGCTTCCCGAAGTCCCACTATACGGCTCCTATCAAACTCACTAAGTTGACGAAATCGTACAGGTCTCTGTACTCTAGGCATCGTAACCGATCGTAAAGGATGTCAAGAACCAAAATCCGCCAACGTTGATTCTTTACTGCGGCTGAAATGTTCATTTTAAGAGCATTAGTGAATTAAAAAAAAGCAGTATAAAAACCGGAATGTCCAACTGATAAGGCTAAAAGTTTTTTCACTTGTTATTTACAGTAAGATAGATACATTCACCAACTTTTATCAAAATAAAACCATTTAAACTGGGTGTTCGGATTTATATGTCACTTAGTATATATGAATTGACCTAAACCTACCTTAGTCCAACAGTTGATAGTTTGCGAGACACAGTTACAATTTTATTTTCTATTTTTTCTTATTGCTTGAGAAGTATTTCAGATTTTGGCATAAAACTCGGTATAGGGGGGTTTTATAGTATGAGAAACAAGAATCGGTTATTTTTTATGGCCAAACTTCTAGAGGGCGCCACTTATAGCAATATTTCGGCAAATAACTTATCATAACTTTTTTGTGCTACCCTGTATACAACAACTGACTGAAAAATCATATTTTCTCGTATTTCCACAACAAAAAAGACTTACTTGTTAGAAGTGTCTAAAGCTGACAGTTTTCGAGATATTCGTTTTTAAAGGTTCCAATACATTATTTGTACCATGACCTTTATAACATAATAATCAAGTTGCTTTGGATAATATCTGAGTAGCGTTGCTATGGTTTTTAACAATAACAAATGAAGATGGCAACAAAACTAATAAACGGAAATAATAACTACAAAAATTGTTCAAAATGAGCACCAGCTTGCCTAACACACTTTCAAGTTCGACGAACTAATCCTTGCTGCACTCTCCAAAGCATTTGGATGTTACTTTTCATTTCCTGGTTATGGTGGAAAATTCTTTGTCGAAGATCATCTACAGTTTTCACTGGCGTATTGTAAACGCGTCGTTTTAAATCATCCCAAAAGAAGAAATCTATAGGATTTAAATCTGGTGATCTAGCCGGCCACGATACAGGTCCTGATCGGTATATCCACTAGTCTGGATAAACTCTATTTAGGTGCTCTCTAACTAATATATTAAAATGAGGTGGAGCGCCGTCGTGCATAAACCACATAGGCTCTGAGCTACTACAAGCAGACTATACTAGGGTCCAACACTTTGGATCCATAGAATGTTGAGGAGCTGGGACTCAGGTCTAAACTCAACTTTGCTAGAAAAACGGAACTTGAAGCTTAGGTAATGTAGTGGTGCATAAGGGCCCGTTTAAACGGCGCCGGCTCCTCATGGTAGCCGGTATGCCTCTAATTTCTTTATTCATTCATCCATTCTGGAGAGGGTTGGAGCCTTAAAGCCCCCCTGAATACGCCAGTGGTTATTCCTCTAGCGTTTGAGAAAAATTGTTAAAACTGACAAATATGAGTATTATCTATGGCCAGGAGCATAAGAGTTCTTGCAAATCGTTTATTTCCACTAGGATGGTTGTAATATACTAATAAATTCTTATAGTAACCATGTAATCAACTACACAAACAAAGAGTGCGTTTTGGAAATACAAACGTTACTTTTACAAACATATTAGAGGATTTGGCGCCGCCCATGAAACTGCCGAACGGGGCAGGTGCCACATTTTGCACCCCTTAGATCCGAGGCTGCTCAGGCAGTTTAAAAATGATACTAATGTCAATGATGAAAAATCTCCTCCACTCAGATGCCTTTCGATTTAGATCTCGTTCATTTTCCTCGTCACCACACTCTCAAAATAGTTAACCAAGAAAAAACAAACACATTAAAACACCTCCTATATTTTGAGCGTGGTCAAAAAAGGGTTTGGGGAGTGCAAGTACAAAAATAGATAAATATAAAATGTATAAGATTTTGCCATGAATATCATGACTACCTTTTTATGTCACCCGTTAAGAAACGTCACTTACTTTTAGATAACAATTTTTCATAGAGCTCATTCGTAAATAACGGTACTGTTTTCTTTTCAGATCCAGAGAAAAAGTCGGAAGGTGGGCCAAGCAAACCGAAGTCACCTGGTCCTTCGTCTCCCGTGAAACAGGACTCCTCGACCCCACCTCGTAGATTTATCTCCTCAATTTTGGGAGGAGATGTACCGTATGGAAGTCGAGGTCATGTGCTCACGAGGGCGGAAAGGAAAGAATACCCGGCCGTGCTCAAACCTCCTGCGGTAAGTCATATTCATACATAGTCCTACAAATTTTGAAATACACACTTACTGTTTTTTTTTGGTTGGCAGGACCTTGAAAAATATTGGTATATGCTGTGAGTCCCACTATATTTTTCCAGTATATTTTTTCTCGCTGAACATGAATCTGAAGTCGGAATTGGGGGGTCGGTGGTATTTGTGGTGGATATGCATCCCTCAAAATTTGCAATTCCGATGTGTAAGTTACTTTCATATTTGCCCATAGACCCCAAGTTTGAGTCCCGTGGTTAGCCAGAAAAAATACATGGAAAGATTTAGTACAGTATTTATTTTTTTTGTGGACCTGTGATATAATCTTTATTGTTTGTCCATCGACCCCCAACTCTAACTTTAGATTCATGTTCAGCGGTAACAGTATATGGAAAACATACAGAGTGATTCACAACTAATTAGACAAATTTTAACCACATATGCACTGTTATGAAAGAAGTTGATTTCTCAAAAAAAAATATAATAAAAGTCCTACAGAAATCGAGATGATAAAATAATACACTTTAACTACTAACAGTTCCATTGCTTATAAAAGCTGTTTATGTTGGGCCTCATGTAATATGCGCAACTCGCAAAATACTTTCTATTTTAACTTCACGCACGATACAGATTAAACCATATTTACACGTTCTTATGAGTATGAAAATACAAAAAATTCCTGGTATTTTGGTTTCGTCAGTTGTTTGGTACAACATTTGCTACAATAAATTATTAACGCGTGTTCTAATATCATGGCGATGAACGCAAGATACAGATATTTATTTTTCAATTTATTATTGAAACTCAGGTTTATAACTTAATTTCTGTAGGACTTTTATTACATTTTTTTTTTTTGAGAAATCAACTTCTTTCATAACAGTGCATATGTGGCTAAAATTTGTCGGATAAGTTGCGAAACACCCTGTATAGTGGGACCCCAAGCAGCAAGCACACACCACTTTTTTATATTATGGACCTATGTAACATTTAGAAGCACTTCCACCATAAATATAACATCAGGTATTTCGATTCGTTTTTTCACTACTGCACAAAAAGATTCAAAGAAGCAGTGACAAAGCAGAGTGTATGCTTGAAAATGAGATAGAAAGTTCCTATGAACTTAGATCTTCAAGTGCATCCTTATCGAAATTGCATTACAAAATCATGAAAAAAATGTATCGACAAAATTTATACATTTTGGATGAAGATTATGATAAGCATATCCGGACCTAAATTTGTACATCTCACAATTTATCATGCTATATGCAAAGGTCCTGCTGATTCAAATTAAAAGAGGCGTTTGGAAATTATAAAACAACCTGTAGCTGGTCTTTCTTGGGAACACGCTAAGGTTAGTAAAGTCAGATATTGCAAATTATATGAAGCGTATAGAAAAGCTGTGTCATCTCATCATAACGTTGCCATATTCTTCGCAATCGGCGTCACCTCTGGCACAGAAATGTTTCGGACATCTTATACTTCAGCAACTATTATTACCTACACTAAGGATACAGATCCGCTACTTGCTTTAATTATTAATTACAATTAATTAAAACATAGATATATGTGATTTGTTTCGGCCAGACAATGGAGTCCTATGAACATCAAAACCACAGGATAAGTTTGAAATAGTGGTCAACCTTAGTTAATTTTGGTGAATGTGCATATGCTGGGCGCAAAGTCCAAAAACGGCCAATGTCGTTTTTTTGCTCAATCTTGGGATTGGGCTATTTAAAACGACCAAAGCCCGAAATTAATTTCAATTTCGGGCTTTCTCCGTCTCCAAGAAACCAAACCAAGGATCGTGCAAATTCGAAACGACCAAAGCTTGACATACATTTTTAGTGAATCAATAGAAATTAGGTAACATTCAAAATCTGTGGAGGGGCCACACCTAAATCATTTAACGCAATTATTTGGAAATGTTGATCCCATCTCCCCTCTATTACTTCGTAACACTTTTGGCAAACCCCCTTCTAAAATTACATAACACTTTAAAAACCAACCCCACTTTTTGATTAAAAAAATTGAAAAATTGAAAAAAATAAAAACCGCTCTATTGTATAACTTGCAAAATTATTATTAATTTAATTGGAAAAATCAAACACATTAGGGGTAATGAATAACAACAACAACTGGCAACATAAACACAACATTAAAACCAACGAAATTATTACAAAAATTGTTGAAAATGGCCGCTTTCACTTAGTATGCATGCTTCCGCCCTTCTTCTAATGGAATTGCGTAATCTTTGAAATATCCCTGGAGTGTTTTTTAGTCTATCACAAGCTGCAATTATTATTTCTCTTAATTCGTCTACAGTGTTAATGGGACTTGTATACACTAGTGTCTTAAGATAGGCCTACAAAAAGAAATCTAAACTGTTGAGGTCTGGGGACCTTGGTGGCCATTCTTGGGGCCCACCGCGGCCAATCCAACGATTTGGATAAACAGTTTGTAAATAATTACGAACAGCTACACTGAAATGCGCTGATGCACCATGATGCATGTACCACATATTGTTTCTTATTACTAACGGAACATCCTCAAGCAGCAAAGGCAACTGTTGTTGAAGAAAATTGAGGTAAGTCTGTCCGTCAGGTCTTCCGGCAAGAAGAATGGGACAATGAAGTTGTTGCCAATAATATTCCTGCCCATACGTTAACCGAAAATTGGTGTTGGAAATGGGTTTCAGGTCCGGCATAGGGATTTTCTTCTGCCCACAAATGATTATTGTGGAAATTCTGAATGGCATTTCGAGAAAAATTAGCTTCGTCCGTGAACAGAGTCATTGATTCAAATTGCGGATTTTGTGTAATTTTTTGAAGATACCACTGACAAAAGGTGACATATGGTAAGGATATAACAAAAAAATCTACTAAAATTCTACAAACAATTTGATGGCAAATATTTAAGAGTCTAGCGATCTTCCTCGTACTCGTTTCAGGATGTTCTTCGACTTCGTGCAGCACTGCTTCCTCAATTTCAGGTGTTCTCTTTGACCATTTTCGAGCTTTGCGCCCAACACATATAAAATCGTGTCCCGCTTCCACCATATATAACAATTTATAGCGATACTTGAAACATTTCTAGAATGTGACGCTATAATGTTTGTTTTAGGAAAAGGTGGTCCTCCCTTCCCCAAAACCCCCAGAGCCCCAGAACTTGGCACCCCCGGTACGCCAATTCTCCGTGATCCAACGCACGCCGAAGGCAGCTTCAAAACGAGAAGAGGACACGGAGACGCGGTTACCCACCTCCATAGTGGTACACCAGGAGCCAGAACAGGATCAGCCCATAGACTATCACATCCCTAAGAGGCGAGGGGAGACTGAGAGTGAAGAGGAAGAGAGGAGGATACGGGAACAGAGGAGGAGTCATTGCAATAAAGTCAGCAAACCACTCATATCAGTCAGGTAAGTGCAATTAACGACACGGGTATGAGGTGAGGATGTTAAAAGTGGGATGATCATATTTTTGTCCCTTTGGTCATCACAGATTCATTGCCATATAAAAGTGGTTTTGGAACAACTGGATAATTGGACCGACGCTCTCACACGCAGAAACTACTAGTCATGCAAAAAATGTCAATTGCATAAATTGCAGGAAAGGACCACACACAAAACATGTGCATGTGGGTCCCAGTCGATTTGTCTAAAAATTCAGTATGATATATTTTTTGCCTCCCCGAACAGAAGTGTCTCTAGGACCGAAGCAATCCTACGATTAATTTCTGAAAAATAGGCGGATAAAGTTTACCTGATTTGCAAACATGGTGAATGTGTCTATTGTAGTTCTCAGACCAAAAACTCTGATAAATAATCAGTTTACTAAAAGAAATATTTCGTTGAAACACCTTGGAGGAAGGTGTTGGGAGGTGTCACGTTGGTCGTGACCATGATCCTTTCAACGCCAGTTTCAAGGCAAGTTGATCTTCGTATGTTTATGATGGAATAAATCTGGCAAGAGTTCCTCGAGAATTCAGAAGACTCAATAGGACAGGTAGCCTTTGAAGCGCACTGCTTATGACCTTACCAAGGTCATATTAAGGTCATGTTAAGACCTTTTTGCGGACACCTTGTACTTCGTCTAACGCTAGACCAGCGGTCGCCTCTTGCGCAGTTGCTAACAACTGATGGGCTAATCTATCTTCCATAATAATCGGAGGATGGACCTATTAATAAGAGCATGATATATTTCATAAAGATTCCTAGTTTTGGTACATGCAGTATTTGAATAACTCTTGAACTATCGATCTTGTATAACTAAACGCTTCGTTGGATAATTCCATGGACAGCTGCCATTGATTGTCTGCCAGAGGTGAAGGCATTTTCCAAATTATACCCAACTGATCTAACAATACAGTGACATCAAGGTATTCTCGACGTCTCCCACTTGAAAAGTTAAGAATTATTGATTTAAAACGTCACTTTCATCGGCGAATCTGGACACTTTCTAGAAAAGTTTTGTATCAAATGAATTCGAATGACTCACGGACTATTGGTAAACCTACGAAAGGAATCTTTTGTAATCTGAATCTGATTTAACATTGTTTGCAATGTAAATATTTTGTTTAAGGACAACGCAAGCATTGCACTAGACGTGGCAGTTCTTTTGTAGTTAACCCTTTGGTTTCCTCAGTTTCGTATTTCTCTGTTGCTAATTTTCTTTTTGGTGGCAATGTCTTCTGAATTGCTGGCGCTGTAATACTAACTGTTTGCTCACTGCGCTCGGTATACAGGGTGTCCGCAAAGTTGGGGTTTTCCTTTACACGACGTGTAGATCTTGAAAACATAAGCAATTTTTCTTAGTACCATATACACCAATGTCTTAAGGGAACCGAGATAAAGGGCTCTGCAACATCAAAAATATCTGAATACCGTCCTGTAGCCGCGCCGCTCGATATCCCCGAGTGGTACTAGGACACTAGCTCAACCCGACGACAGAACTGGGTCGGGGTCAGTGTGTCAGGTCAGTATGCAACCTTCAACCGATGGTTACGGTCACGCGTGTAGAGGTAATCGCGTAGACGAGAATCCCTCAACAAGCACTAGAGACGTGGCTAGATAAGTGCAAGTATCAAAAACTAAAGTCTGGCAAACGCTGCGTGAAGAGGGGCTGTATCCGTTTCACGTCCAACGTGTACAAGCCCTTCAACCTGACGATTTTCCAGCAAGAGTGCGGTTTTGTGAGTGGTTGTTGCATCAACATGACAATAATCCGGACTTTTTGAAGTGCATATTGGTGACAGACGAATCTACGTTCACGCGTAATGGGGTGAATAACTTTCGCAACACTCATGTTTGGTCAGTAAAAAATCCGCACACTGTCCGTCGGGCACATTTTCAACAAATATTTTCGGTGAATGTTTGGGCTGGCATGGTGAACGGTATGCTCATTGGACCATTTATTCTCCCAAATCGATTGGACAGGATGCAATACCTAGACTTTTTACGCAACATTTTGCCTTCCTTGTTTGCCTGTGTCTGCTCGGTAGCGCATCAGCTGATTTCATTTTCTGTTGGAGCGGTATGATTTCGGGCAGAGACGTACTTAGCACTTCTCGTCAACTGGAGAGTGAGTACTTTTTCCTTTATTTTTTTTTACATGGTCACCCTCGTTTCACTACACATTGCCTTTGTCATTTCAAGGGTAGTTGTTTCTGAAAAGGAAAACCCCAACTTTGCGGACACCCTTTATAGTTTACTTCCTTCTTCTTGAACACTACCAATCTGAATGGCACCTCTAATTTTCCCAATTGTAGGATTACGGTCTCCTTCCATAGCTTTGAGCAACTTTCTTTCCCAATCTAACAATTTAATTGCTTTATTACCAGCTTTTTTATTTCTGTTTTTTTCTTCAATCTTGATTTCATGTTGTTGATTTTTTTTTGTATCTAATGGTTTACCGAATGTTGACTCGTATTTTTTCAACATCTTCTTCAAGGTATCGTCCTTTCTCATTTTTGTTTTTGGAACTTGTGACTTTTGCAAAATAATGGGAGCAATGGCAATTACATCTGCGATGAACTGCATGTCGTTGGCATTATTTTCTATAGTTTCCTCATCACTTGAGGATGACATGCTTATTAATTTGATAAAAAACTGTATCCAGTAAAAATACTAAACGGTCTGTGTACGCTCTGGAATACAACTGTCAGTGATGCTAAGTGAATAAACTCCCACGTCAACTACAAGCTGGAACAAGTCAGGACATGTCGCTCAAGATACAAATACCAGTCAACCTTTTACTTCTTCTTGGAGGATACGAGTATCCTCGCGAGTATAAGGTAATCATTGTGAATATGAAAACAAGGATATGCTTATACTTCTACCTTTTTCTCCGAAGCAAGACCTTATACTTTTACCTTCTGCTTCCGAGGAGATGCTATCCGCCTACTTCTCAGAAACAGAAAATCATGGGATTGCTTTGGTCCCATGAACCCTTTTGTTCGGGAAGGCAGGTAATATATCATCCTGAATTCTTAGACATATCGACTGGGTTCCATTTTCCATTGGTCTTTTATTAACATTAAATTTTTGAAACCCCCAAAACGTTATGGGAAAGTTTTAAGCACCGATTGGTTTTAATGCTGAGAATTTACTTATTTTTACAAAACTTATACGCCGATTAAAGGAAAATCAACTTTGAATAAATAAGTTCTGTTTCCAGGGCTATCGTCGGCAAGCTCCCCACCACCACAACCCTAGCAGCGGGCCACGGTCGTACCGGCGGGGGCAGTAACACCGCGGGGGGCGGCAACCAAGGGGCAGCCGGAGGGCAGTCAGCTGGGGGCGGGGGAAGTACAGGGGGCGGTCTCAGTTTTGGAGGGGGCGGAGGAGGAGGAGCAATTGGAGGTGGAACTGGTGGCGGTGCTGGAGGCGGCAGGGACGGCAGGCAGAACTATGGGCCGAGCAGTCCGCCTACTGGCAGTTTGCCGCCCTTCTACGAGTCGCTCAAAGGTAAGCAAAAACACCTTGATCAATTAAAAACAACAAAAAAGCCTCGTAGCGTATGGTAAAAATACTGTAAAATCGTCAAATCAATGTTTTTACAAGCGTTCGAAGTACGAAGTACGTTATGGTCGTAACAGGTTTGCTGCTCTAAAGCGACAAAACGCTTGGTACCAGTGGCGGACGCTTCCGTGTCGCCAGAACGTCAGCTGTCATCATATGATATGTATTATGCCAGGGATTTATATAAATTCTACACCTACTGAGTAGCCCATGTATAACTGGCTCTTCGTATCTCCAATATACACCTAAGATCTCTTGACCACGTTTTCCATCACTTTTTGGTAAGCTTCGAGAAGAATATTTTCAATAGCTCTCCGAATATTGTCATTTAGCTGCTATAATAGTCCAGGAAGTATCTTCGCATCTGCTAATAAAAATATTGTGGTCGTTTTTTTGATTGCATCAACAATTGTTATAACAATTTTTAGAACAAATTCCAAAAATTGTTTTTCTTGCTCTGAAACTTTTTTAGGCGTTTAGAATACGAACTTTCTCTAAAGTTGATAGTTTTCCACATATAAGCGATTCAATATTTGAAAATGTGCGAAATATGCCATTTTCGACCCTGAAAAACACTATAAAAGAATGAAACACCATTTTAATTTTGCCAAACTTCCTAGATATTAACAAAATCCCAAAGCATTTTAGGGGGTAAATTGTTATTGTATGCGAGTATATTGCGCGCGCTCAATGTATATATACTGCGTGAGCACCAAAAAGATGCATTGACAATTAACAATTAAAAGGTAAAGGTTTACAATTATCCCCTAAAATCCTTTATTATTTTAATGGACGATAGACCAAAATTAAAAAGCTTTGGCTGTATTAAAAAAAATTCGTTTTTTCAAATTGGTTTGGTAATATTAAATCGCTTATATCTCGAAAATGATCGACTTCGGAGAAAAATGCTTGGAACCTCTTTTGTTCACAATGCCTGAAAAACCTAAACAAAATTCGGAGCGAAAGAAAAACAATTTTCGCAATTTTTTTAAGAAATTATTTAGACAAGTTTTGAGGCAATTTTGGGCCTGGCAACATACATATTTGTAAAAAGGAGTATTTTTTTAATAAGAATGCGAAAACAAAACCAATCAGATTGCTTTTCCGAGAAGATGCGAAGATAGTTCCTGGACTATAAGATAAGAAATTGGTTCCACGTTTTGAAGGTACTGGAGACGCAATTTTTTTCTGTGGATTTTTTTACTCTTCATGATTTGCATTTTTAGAGGTCTGTTCATTCATTTATTGACTATATTTTCAGGAGGAAACAACGCAAACAACTACAATACGAACGGTACCTTCTCATCAGCATACTCGTTATCGAATCAGCACATGGACTGCGACACAGGTCAGGACTTGGCGAACCTGACGATAAACGGGAGTCAAAGCCCGCCTAAACAATACTCTACCTTACAAAATGCCTCGTACGGCATTGTGATGAAAGATGAAAACGACATAGACTTATACGAATCCAAAATGGATCCTATGAACCAGCTCTTACCCAGTGGTAGGTCGTATTTGCTTTTCTTATAATAACTTCAACCAACATTGATTTTAAATTTTGCTTCCTGTGCTGTTCAGTAAGTGGAAAATTAATTTAAAAACTAAATAACGTTTTTAGTAACTTATTATTTTTGATTTGATATTTTGCATGTTTCAAATTCCATGATCATGCGATCATTTACATCAAGTTTTCACTAAAGTTTAAACAGATCTCATTTACTCCTCTTCAAAACAAACACCAGAGCGGTCTTCAATTTCATGCGCTTCTATTGGCCAGCGAGCCAAAAATGCCTAGGCAAACAGCGACATGCCTAAAATTCAAATTCAAGAATTCAAATTCAAAATATTTATTAATAAACATAATAAACAAAGGAAACTCTACATATAGAGCAATGACGAAAAAGGACAGTCTCTTGATTATGAAACCGATACATTGGACCCTTTAATTCAAAGAGTCCATGCTTGAAAGCCCTGAACACCCTAAAAGCCCTCAAACAAAATAAAAAAAAACAAAAACAATAAAGAGGCAAATGAAAAGGCGGTGAAACACAAAAAGGCAAAAACGAAGAAATAACCCTCGGGAGCTGGCAAGGGACGCGAAGAACAAATCTATACAACTTGTCAGCGAGTAGCAATGTAAAAACGATATTTTTGCTCACACAAACGCTGCTAAAGTAGCTGGTGATTCTGTAACGTTTTTGTCAGTTTTGAGAATGTTTTTGACGATGAGCTTTTAACTGAAGTTCGTAAATTATTCCATAAGTTAACCGCCACAATCGTTCCAGCAACTGTGTATATTGTCAGTCATATCTATTCAATACCAGGTGCTCTGAAAGTTGGAAAGTGCGGTAAAACAGCAGCAAAATGTTCATTTGGTAAGAAACCTCAAGTTATAAGTTGTCGAAGTTGTCGCAGTTCAATTCAAAAACACACGTTTGTCAACTAGTTCTTAATTTGCAACATTCGGAGCTGTCTAGGTCTTGTACTGTAACGATTTCAGTATTCCAACAAACGTTCTTTGTTCATGATAAGCCCACTCAGCACGGAATGAAAATATCCAAGTAAATCGCTCAAATAATAATAATAATAATAATAATAGCCTTTATTTAACCTGGCAGGTGTCAGCTAAAAGCTGTTTTTCATACCAACCAGGGCCAAACAAAATTATAATACAAAATCTGGGATACATAAACATTGTTGAGTAACAATAATGAAAAATCTATTATGCCAAAAATAGGCATTTTTTTAATTTAAAGAAAAAATCCTATATATTCACAGTTAACAGTTACACCATTACATAAGTTAAAAACTAAATAATATAAGGTATTATGACATATTTTCAAAAACAAATTTCTTTACTTTTGACCTAACAAGTGGAACAGATAAGACTTTAAAGCTGACAGGGAGCATATTATAGCGATTGGGTGCAACAAAATAGAAACTCTTAGTAAATAGGGTGGTTCTATGATGGGGCGTGTTAAGGGTGTAACCAACGAAACGGAGGTTGGCTGCATGATGCTGACTTCTCAAGGATAACTTATTATTTAAGTATATAGGGTATTTGGTCAATAAAATGCTATGAACCAAACATAAAATGTGAACCAACCACCTCTGCCTCATCGTCAACCAATTCACTTCTTGAATAAATGGAGACACTCGCTCCCTTCTTCGGATTCCAACAGAATATCTAATACAGCTGTTCTGCACTTTCTGAAGTCTGTAAGCTTCGGCTTCAGTCAAACAAGGACCAAACACGGAACTTCCATATTCTAACTTACTTAAAATGAGTGAATCGCAAAGCTTAATTTTAGTATCTTGAGACAACACGTGCTTAAAGCTGTAGATGCTTTTTAGTTTAGCAAAAGAGCTCTGTACAACCTTAGAAATATGATCATGAAAAGTTAAGTGCTCATCAAAGATTACTCCTAAGTTTAATACCGATACTTTGTGTGTGAGCTCTTCACTATTGAGGCATAGCTTTATAGCATCTCCACTGAACTCGTTCTTCTTAGAGCGGAAGGTAATTATGGCCGATTTGCTACAGTTTATGTGTAACCCGTGGTATCTAAACCAATCACAAACGCCGCTTAAATCTACTGCTAGTTTTTCATTAGCATCAACACATGAGGAGGGATCATAGGATAGATAAAGCTGGGTATCATCAGCATAAGAATGTAAAGCGCAATGTTTGACCGACCGATCCAAGTCCGACACGTATAAAGTAAATAAGATTGGTCCTAAAATGGAACCTTGCGGCACCCCCTTTACAATGACCCGATTGTCAGAATAGTCACTGCCTATTTTAACTTGTTGAAGTCGATCTGATAGGTAATTGTCAAACCATGTAATCGAATTCTCAGAAAAACCAAGAAAGTGCAGCTTAGCCAATAACATTTTGTGGTTTAAACAGTCAAATGCCTTTCTTAAATCCAGCAGAACAGTTGTAGTTACGCAGGAATTATCTATAGCTCTCAAGTAGTCATCACAAATGTCAACTAATGCAGTCACAGTACTATGATTTTTTCTAAATCCCGACTGTGTATTTTGAATTAAGCTGTATTTATTGATGTGTGTTAGCATTTGCTCGTAAACGATCTTTTCTAGAATTTTTGACAAGAGTGAAAGTATGCTTATAGGCCTGAAATCGCAAGGCAATTGGGGATTATCGGTTTTACCAACGGGAATAACAGTTGCGGCTTTCCATATGAGTGGTACGATACCATGTTCCAAAGAAAAGTTTATAATATGAGTAAGAGCCTTGAAGCAAAAAGGAAGAATATAGGAAAATGTATCTATATTTAATCCATCTAGTCCGGTAGCACACGAGTTTATTTTTTGAAAGGTCTTCAAGACTTTTTCCTCGGTAACAAACTTAAACTGAAATAGGTCATTGATATTTGGTAGCATGTTGGTGTTGTAGTACTCTAAGAGTGTTTCATTTATTGAGTTATCGGGAACTGAATCCACAAAACAGTTATTTAATATGTTGGGTTCCAAAGTACACTGATTATTTTTACCCTTAGAACCATGAATCCCTAGCTCCTTTATAGCTATCCACCAGCTCCGAGAACTGTTGCTTTTTCTTAGCTGGTATTCAATATATGCTTTTTTTTCGCGCCTAATAGATGCTGTGACTAGATTCCTTAATTGCTTATAGTAGTTCCATTTGGCAGTTTTTATCTCGTCAGAAAAATTGTTCTTAACAGTTTTCTTATACTTAGATTAGGCGTTATTGCGTAACCGCATCATGAATTTAATATTGTGTGTAATCCAGGGACAACGTGCTTTTGATATCTTCCTGGTTTTAATTGGTGCGCATATATTTAGCAGATCATCAATAAGGCTGTAAAAATGTTGCAGTTTTGATTCAATGTCATCATAGTCGATAACACCTAACCAGTGCATATTAGACGCTACCTCATTCAAAAGAGACTCATCAATATTCCTTAAATCACGGGTCTGTACATATTTTGTATTTCTAACGGCTGGTTCACATTCCACACAAAAATAAACTAGATAGTGATCGGACACCGCAGGAAGATTCACAACTCCTTTATTAGCAATCTTAACTTCATCATTAACGAAAACGACATCTATTAAGGTACTACTGTTATTCGCGACCCTGGTTTCATGGTCAACTATTTGATGCAGATTCAAATCTTCAAAAATGTTAGAGACGAAGACACATTCAGGACTACTACAATCAAATAAGTTAATATTCAAATCGCCCATGCATACTAAACCCTCTGATGTTGGAAATATAGATGTCAACATTTCCTCCAGCTCCGACAGAGTTCTATAGCTGACACTGGGGGGGTTTATAAACTACTCCAACCGTGTACTTTTTTTTTGTTGACAGATATATTTACCCAAAGCTGTTCAAAACCACTGTTCACCTCTGCATGCAAGTTCTCCAGCATTGAGCATCGTAAGCCAACTCTGACATATAAGGCAATACCTCCGCCTCGCCTATCAACCCTGTCATGCCTAAAAAGCTGGTATCCCGCAATTTGTACATTACTTTCAAAAACGTCTGGTTTGAGCCAAGTTTCTGTGAAACCAACTATGTCAAAGTTTTGAGTGAGAACATAGTCCCTCACATCATGAAAAGAGCAAATTAGCGACCTAACATTGAGGCACCCTATCATTATATTATGCTCCTCATTACGAATGACATCAAATTCACATAACAGAGACATAATGAAACAAAATATAAGGATATAAAAACAAACAACAAGAAATAAAAAAGAGTATGAGATAAAAAGATTAAAAAAGATGGATAAAAAATGTGTTGTATGGAATAAAATAGAAATAAATAATATACGTTAATAAAAATAAGCCAAAGGATGTACTAGGAGTAGTTTGTTTTACTCCTGATAAACTTTTCAATGTTTTGTAGACACGCACACTTGTTATCCCATACAGAGTGACAGGTATCATAGTTTTTACCAAGTTTATTATTGGCATTTATGCAATTTATACAACACATGGAGACATCATTCCTACATTGACTTTTTTCGTGTTTACCAGAGCAAGCTGGACAAATAGTCTGATTATTACAATTTTTTTGTATGTGACCGTACTCGCAACACTTGAAACAACGAACTACAGAAAAATGCTCGTAAACAGGACAACGATTCCATCCTATGTTTAGCTTTCCTTCACCCATTATCGAATGGAAAGACTTAGGATCTAGCTCAGCAACAAGATCAAACTTGTCATTTTTAACTGGATATTTATATACAATTCTGAATAATGGGTCATGTATATTAGATAGAACGCTATTTTGGTTAAACACTTTGTCTCTGAACACCACTGCATCTTCCTTGTAATAGTATTTATCTACTCCCAAGACACAAATGCGGGGATTCCGTTTTCTTGGTAAAGAGACAGAGCAACTATTCGACAATTGCCCCTCTATGGATGCCTTAACTTTTTCCAGCGATTGCCGATTATCACATTTTAATATAATGTCGCCGTTGGTATTTACCTTATTTATCTGCACACCAACCTGTAGATCCTCTGGATTTATTTTCCTAACCAGTTTCTGCTTAAGGGAGTCGCGTTGCTCATCATTTGCTGGCTTCACCAGTAGTAAGTGTTCCTCTGGCATAGTGCGCTTAACTGCATCTCTGTAACTGATATTTTGAACTGCAGGAGCCTCCTTGGCCGCAACATTTATTTCTTCCAACTTAGCTGTCAGCACTGCAACAGCTGAGTTCAACTCCTCTATCTTGGCATTCTGAGCAACAATTATCTTATGACAGGTATCCATTTTTTTCTTCACATCCGTAAGGATATGTGCAAAACTGGCACAATCACACACCGAATTCACAGAGCGCGATGTAGTCCTTTTCGTCTCTCCCGTATTACTCATGATGATAGGCACAACGTGACAACAGAGCACCGGATTCTTGCCAAATTCCAAGAGTAATAAAACTGGATCAAACTGATTGTTTATGTTCAAAGAATCGGTGAAAAGTCCGGATTTTTACATAGTGGGATTGAGAAGCCCTTAAATAGCCATACGTGCAAGTTTCCGATTTTTCTAAACACTTTTTCCCCGAAAATTCACATAAACTCTGGCAAAATTTTCACGCGTATCTCTTCGCCGTGATGCCAAACGTTAAATCGACGAGTTCGTTATTGCTACAGGAATACGTATGCCGTTTTCGGTTACTTCAAATCCAATTTATAAACAAACAGCTCGGTGGACCTACACGGTACGTGACGCATGGATTGGATAATGACCCAAGCCGTAGCTTTTCACATAATCCTTTGGTGGGGGCGGGGCCATTTCTGATATCGCAGATTTTTTCAAAGCCCAATAACTCCGGTATCGTTAGACTTTGGTTTATGTCTCACTAGGGAAAATTGCTTATTTTCACCATATCTATACGTTCTGAAAAGTCACAAGTTTAAGAACACCCTGTATATTTACGTATTCGTAAACCGTCTCATATACGTTAAATTACAAAAACCGCTCCACCGTGAATAGAGATAAGAGCACAGAGATTTTTATAAAAGAATATATATAGAATTCTGAAAAATGTTGCGTTCTTAGATTATGAACAGATAGAATCTTTGTCCTCCTTCAAACTTTGATCAGAAGCATCTAAACTGCATTTATTTCTTGAACTTGAAGCATGTGCTAAAGCTGAAATCACTCTAAGCTATAGATCTAAAGGAAATACAAAGGTTTACATGAATCTTGATTTGACCAGAGTTAGTAGACCTCGTAAGAGAGGAAGACAGACTTCCATAGCGTATTGAAATTTATAATTTGTGATACACTTGTTTCAAGGCAACCAACATCCAGGTTGGAGATGTTTTGCTAGCCCATGGTCAATGCCAAGATCGCATGCGTCATATATACTTGAAGGATAAAAGTTGCAAAATTAAAACAATACAAATACCTAATGATGTAATTTTTGAGTGGAGTATTGCCATTCATTTTACCACTAAGAAAGACGTTATCTTTCCTTATGACACTTGTAGAGATGTCAACGATACATCGATGTATCGAAAACATTGACACATTTAACCTAGAACATCAATATTTCGACATCGATGATGATCAAAAACATTAGTGTACCCTAACTATACTGTCATCTCTCAAAATGAAGAATGATAGATCCAAAAAGGGCAGAATCTTCACATCCCCGGCATGACATAATCTGTTTAGTAGTACCCCAGTGACTATTATCATAGGTGGAGACTGTAGTCTCTGCTTTATATTCTAGATTTCCCTCAAAGTAAACTGCGCATACAAGTTACTCTGAGGATTTTAATAGTTATATAATCATATCGTTTCTCAATTTTGGCACTCTCATATATTGTTAATTCATGTAATTTACCAAAATATTGTAATCGGTTACAGAGGTATCGTTCTTTTATCCTCGTATTTCTGTTGCGTTTTTATTTTTAGTGGTGCTGGAATCGATGTGAAACAGCGATAGTAATTCCAGCAAAAAATAAAGGATGATTCATTTGGAACCCATTGCAATCGATGCATGCATCGCTGAATTAAGAGCAACAGAACACACAAGGTACAAGAAAGCTGCCTATGTTAGGATGCATCATTGTGTATCGAAGCTATCGATGATACGATGGCGATGTTTACCTGCTTCAACATCGATGTTTACTAAAAAATTGCCACATGGCAATACTCCTCTCGAACTCGTTATTTGTTTAGACCAGATTACAAATCACATCGTTGCACCTGTGACTAAACCACCCACTCCACTTGCATCTAACTCATATCCATTTGTAAGCATTCTACATCTTCTACCAAAGGTTACTCGGCTTACGATGAATCGATGATGGTAGACTTGGTGAGTGGCGCTGCATCCGTGGACCCGCTGCAGTTCACCGCGACCTTGACCTTCTCTGCGTCCGCAGAGCACGCCCTCCTGGAAAGCTTTTCCGACGCTGCTGCGGACCTGTCAACCTTCCTGCAGAGGCTGCCCAGCGAAGATGGCGACGACGAGCTTGCGGGAAGCATGCATTCGCCTGATGCGCCTACACAACAGGCGCAGCAACAACAGCAGTTGCAGCAGGTTGATCAGGGGATCGAGCCGTTTGGGGAACAGATGCTCAACAGGTAAGGAGGAGATGGGCGATTGTACGAGGGTAAGGTGAAAAGTTCTCGATCCGACAATGAAAGACTGCAGTTTTTAATTAAAAATAATTTTATGTCTTTACTTAATCCCGTATTTCGACTCCAAAAGATGTTTTATCCAAAGTTCCTTCAATCCGAGAAAATTCATAATAACATGAAATTCAAGTTTATCCATTGTAATGAAAGTCACGTGAAACGTACACTAAACAAATTTGGGTAGACAAGTTACTTGAGAGGATAAGTTAAAACTTGTCATCATAAACGAATGGCATATGCACCCGTGAAGGAATAATAAATTTTCGCAGATTGGAGCGCCATTGGTGTATCAGGCCGAGAACTTTTGACCTTAACCTCGTATAGTAAGGAGACCCAAGCAAAGCGAATATTCCCCATTATATTCAAATAATGAATCGGACATCGGGACCCCTGGTTTGCGAAATAACTGTAAAGTCTGCTTTTATTGCTGCAAGTCGTTGAAGGGGGTATTCAAAACATGAGACTACCCGTAAAAAGATCCGACTAATAGCAAAAAAGTTATGGCCGAAAACCGAGGCAAACTGCAGGTTTCGACACTTGTTGGTAATGCGACGATGGTTTCTCGCAGATATGTGAAATTCTTCAAATTCGTACTTCTAGATAACCACAACAAAACTGGGGTAGATTGGTCAAGTAGTTTTTGACAATTTCTAATTGTTTACGCCAAAACACCTGTTTTCCTGCCATCACTAGTAGCCTAGTGAGCAATATATAAGGTTAGTTCAAAGTGTATTTTATAGCAGAATGTACAAACTTACCTTGCCGATATGAATCGCAAACCATTCTGGAGGATAAATGTTATTTTTATGCAAAAAAGGATGGGTTACGTTTTTTCTTCTAAACAAATTCAAACATTAGAAATTCTCAAAAAAATACTTGACCAATATAATCCAATTTTGTTGTTATTTATAAGTATGAATCCTACGGATTTGAAGAATTTCAAGTAGTTGCGTGAAATTATCATCGCAATACCAATAAGTGCCCTCGTTTTTCGGCCATAACATTTTTCCTATTAATGGGATCTTTTTACATATGGTCTCATTTTGTCCGAGTAGGTCTCATAAATATCTAAAAATCTTATATGAAGAGTTTTTTCGATCCTGCCAAGACTTTCGGTTGAATCCCAAAAAAGATTTTCTCATTCTTTGTTGTCAAATAAACAGTTTTCTCACAAAAATTGGTGTACCCATTTTATGGGTCCCTGTTTTGAATACCCCCTTAAACAACTCGCATCAATAAAACCAGATTTTACAATTATTTCGGGGAAAGTTGGTAATATACATATACACATATAGATATATTCGTCTATCTTTGTGTAATAATCGTCAATCAGTGATAGGGGAAACGTCCTCTTTATTTGGCTACTAGACGACAACAAATTGTAATTTTCTAAGAAAAAGATTGATTTCGCCGTACCAATGTGTGTTCAGTGATCGGATTTTTAAGATACATAATTAACGGACTTTAAAGCAGGTTAGTGCCAAAGTAAACGGCTTCGGGCAAAGTGGATACACCATATCCGTACACTTACTTAAATCGAGGATATTGTTCGGAAAAAGCAATAAAACTTCAATTAGTTGATACAAAACTACGATTTCGTAAAAACAACCGCAGCAATATTTGAGCTATTTATTTCTTTTTCAGGAACTACGACACCCGACCACCGACCTTCTCCCACTCCCAATTCCCGAAGATCTACCAGGAGCCTCTACCCTCCTACCAATCATCGATGTCAACGGACCTCCAGCAGCCTAGCATGCACCAGCAGATGCTCTCACCGACACTCTCATTCAACGGCAGCGGCCTTGAACTGGACTCCTCATCACCCGCCACGATGTCCCTGCCTTCGCCGGGCGCTGCCAGCTGCTCATTGGACGGTGGGCGTGGCTCTCCGCAGACAGTGGGCGGAGCCACGGCAGCGGCTGCGGTGAGTGGGCGGCGCGAAAGTGCTGCATCGGATTCGTCCGCGTCTCCGGCTTTGCACGGCCGCGTGAACGTGCTGCACAGGGTAAGCGGCAGTTTGATTTGCGAACATAGTAGCTGGGCAGTTATGAATGATCCCAAGGGGTGGAACTTATTTTCAATAGGCTGAGTCGGTATTTAAAGTATTTGGTTACATAGAATGATCCATGAAGATGACTTGTGAATACAATATAAATACGTCGAAAAATAATGAGAGTTCTTATACATATGGATCTTGAACTAACATGCCGATTCAAGCATTTTTTCCGTTATGGACTTGGTTTAATGCATTTTCAAAGGAAATCATTCAACGCCGCCTAGCTAGCCATTGTGTACATATCTCAAATCAACACGTTGCTTTCCTGGCATATTTCAAGCGTTTTTTTATGTTTTTGGGTGTTCTATGACATTTACTTCACGGAAAGCGATAACACGCATCCCCATTGGGATGTCTGTCGACATATTTATCTATTTTTTCATTAAATTTTGAATTTGATGAGCAGAAGCAAACAAAATCTCGGTAAAAACATGCCACTTGAGTAAGCATAGATCATGATTCTGATGTTAGTTTTTCACTGCAATCAAAAGGATACCCGAAAACTTTAAATAAGGCTTCATATTCTTCACATGTAGCTACAGGTCATGAAAATTATAGTTTTGTATCAATAAATTCCAGAACTGGCCGATACGACCGATCCTTTGTCCCTACGAAATCGAGATTGGGAAACAATCTACATGAGGAGACTTTTCCCAATTATACCAACCTTAGGCAGTTCAAAACTCGGATTAACAAAGTTCCCTTAAGCTCCTCATAGTATCCGCGGTGCCCTGGTATTAAGGCTTCTGCCTGCGCGGCTGTTTCTGTGTAAAAAACGTTTCCAAGCTCCTTTCGGGTTTCTGTTACTTGGTCAAAAAAAATGGAAGAATGTTGTCTTAGTTTTTCAACCCTTCCAATTTCATATTTAGGTTGGGAAGTAGCAAAATAACAGTGATGCACCGAGTGCTATGGCCATTACGTTCAAAAAAATTTTCTGAAGGAGATTAGAAAGAATCATGAATTAAAAATGCTTGATATCTAAGGGCGGAACCAGACGGGAGGGGATCATCACCCTGGACGATTCGATAACGGCTAGCCACCACCAAAGCTACTCCTTCTTTCCAATTTATCACAAAAACATCGCGCAAGCACTGATGCAGCATACTTTTTCAACATCTCCTAGTCATTATATATCCGTATCTACCAGACATCCATCCAGAACCCCCTGATTCTCGACCCCCGCTATCACGTGTTACCTTTCAGTGTCTGTTACAGCTTGGTCTGCCTGCCGAAGTGCAGCTGGAGTTCGTGAACGGCGGCCACGGCATCAAAAATCCGTTGGCCAATCAGGAAACGGCACGTGGCGGCACTGGGCGGAGCGAAGAGAAATCCAAGGCCGCCTCGATCACCACAGAGGACGGGCAGACGAACTTTGCCTGTCGGATATGCAACAAGACATTCGCGCTTCAGCGACTGCTCAACAGGCACATGAAGTGTCATTCGGATGTCAAGAGGTATCTGTGCACGTTCTGCGGGAAGGGATTCAACGATACGTTTGATTTGAAGAGGCACACGAGGACGCATACAGGTAGGATTTGGTTGAAATTATCATCAATAATATTGATTAACATATTCCACCAATCCGAGTGGCGCATCCGGGGTCCAGCCCCTTCCGAACTATCCGAGTTTAGAAACATTTCCCAAATCGTAGACGACCCCCCCCGCGCTCTTCAGTTTTGAATTTCCGATCCCCACACTTTTCAATAGTCGATACCCCTCTCTAGAGACATCTTGAACATGGACCCTGAGCTTCTCTCCGTGGTACTTTTTTGAGTGGGTAATTTGAAATTCATCAATATTTTTGCCGTGGCACCGCTAACCACTTATGTTTACAATTATACAGGGTGATTCTGAAAAACTACACACAAAAACACATAATCATGTTCCTATAATCGTAGGTCCTAACATGTCCCATTAACTAGATACAGGGTGTTGTAAATTTCTACGCCACTGATGAAACTGAATCAGAACAAAACATAAACATTGTTCAAATAACGCTATGTTGAGTTTGTATTATACTCTCCCAATACACTACATGCCAAACCTATCTCTCACTGATAATCGGCCCCCCTGAGAAAAATTCCTGCGGGCGCCCATGAAAGGGGGCATTTTGAAACTCCATATCAGTTTTTGGTCTACATTATTCACTAGAAATGTTCCTCATTTCTTTTAATCGTCCAATATACGTACGTGTCGGCCACCGTCTTTAGGTGTCAGTGTTGCCACTTCTCGGACTGTCGCCGGAATGCGATATCTTGGGAATAATTACGAGGGAGAATGAGGGCGTGTGTTGAGATTATGTTTGTTTAAAAATAAACAATATTTCTTAAAACCAAAATGAATTCTGCTTTTCATGAAATATTTCGAGTCAGAGCGCTATTGTCTTTGAATGTTATCAAACGGTTGTTATAAGTCATAGTATCGATAAGTCGGGTTAAGAAACGCGCTACGTACAACAATCAATTAACCGTCAGATTTGCATCATAGATACCACAATAGTTGACCATAGCCCCAAAAATGTCCTCATAAATAAAAGTAACGTCGCTGCTGCTGATTCGTGTTTTACGTAATAACCCTAACAACTTTCTGTAATATTGAACAGCTGTTATATGATTTGTTCAAAAATCCGCATAACCTCCACATTCCAATCAGATAGGCCGGAGGCAATTATACAATCGTGAGTTCGAATCTCGTCGGTAGCGATTTTTTCTTCACTTTTTTACATTATGTTTTGGTAAAACAATTATTCTGAAAAACGTATTTTTTTCAGGAGTACGGCCGTACAAATGCAGCCTGTGCGAAAAATCCTTCACGCAACGCTGCTCGCTGGAGTCACACTGTCTCAAAGTCCATGGAGTCCAGCACCAGTACGCGTACAAGGAGCGACGCACCAAGGTGTACGTGTGCGAGGAATGCGGACACACCACCAACGAGCCGGAAGTCCACTACCTCCACTTGAAGGACAAACACCCCTACAGTCCGGCCCTGCTCAAATTTTACGATAAGCGACACTTTAAATTCACCAATTCAAATTTTGCTAACATGCTGTTGCAAGTACGTACCTAATCAGTTTTATTTTCTATTTGTTTGTTGCTCGGGCGCTGTATCGCGGAAAATCGGCGCGATTGATTTTTGACCTAGAAACGCTTTTATCGAAACACATTGTGGCAAAAGCGCCTTTAACATGTTATAAAACCATTGATTCTATTAAAACGGGAATATCTATAATGCCTGGACCTATATTTGCGTTTACACCAATAAATTCTCTAAGGTGTCCAGAGTTTTCCGGTCAGCGATACAGACTAGAAAATAGACGATCCTCGTAAAAAACATACTTACTACTGCCATTTTACAGAAGAATATCAAAATTTCAAAGTACTATTTCTCGCGTTACTGGTCATGAAAAATGCAGATACAGCATTAGTAGCCGAAGATTGCATAACAGTCAACCGGTGTATTGCGAAAACAGTTCTGCATGGGTTTTCGCGTTATCGAAGTCGTTTGACGTTTTCGGGACGATATCCGAGGCCGTATAAAATAATTTCTACATATGTGGTTTCATTTGTCCAGAAAAAAAGAGATCTAATCAGCATGAGGCACAGGAAATTTCTGATGTTACATTAACCAAATTTTCAAGACTTCAAAAATTACCACGCATCTTCAAAACCCGGTTCTTGGGTAGATCACGAATCTGATATCAGTGTTTCGTTGGAAGATTGCATAACAGTCAACCGGTGTATTGCGAAAACAGTTCTGCATGGGTACAAAATAATTTCTACATGTGTGGTTTCATTTGTCCAGAAAAAAAGAGATCTAATCAGCATGAGACACAGGAAATTTCTGATGTTACATTAACCAAATTTTCAAGACTTAAAAAATTATCACGCATCTTCAAAACCCGGTTCTTGGGTAGATCACGAATCTGATATCAGTGTTTCGTTGGAATTGACAGAAAGCTATGAAACACACATTTTTCTGCTACAAATCGGACAATTCGACAATTTTCTAATTCGAAATCAGCGTCCCAAATTACCCCACTGAACTAATTTTCCTTTGCTTGAGTTAGGGAGATGAAAGTGGAAATCTTACACTGAGAAACTTTTTAAGTTTAAAGACATGCCGTTGAAAATAAATCGGAATTCCCAGCGTGTCTGTAATCTCAACTGAAGAAGAAAAAATCAAACTATCAAAAAACAATACGTTGCAAAAAACAGTCTACATGATTATTGGATTTCGCACTGTTCTCGATTTTTTAAAGCCAAGTAAGTTCTTCAGGTGAAAGAACAATCTCTTAACTCCCAGAAAGACATGCGTTAGTGAATTTTACGAGAAAATCTTGTTTTACACATCATAAATTGCAAAATACGTTGAAGTTACAATTTTATTCTCTATTGCAGCCTGAGCCACAGCGAATATGTTGATCTACGACGTTCCAATTCTAGAGGAACACACTCTTCAGGACAAACCAGAGATTTTCCGCGGTACAGCGCATTTTACTTTTAACCAAGACGTTATAAGTTTTAAATTGGAATGCTTCACGATGACAAGAGAACAATGAAACATGCCTATCACATTGATAACCTTCACTAATCCGAAGATGTTCAAATTAGATGGCATTTTCTTCCTGTTAGGGACAAATGGAGCATATGCCAAGCATGTAACGTATTACAAGTATAGTGTTTCTGACTACATTCAAGTAGATACTCAAGTGGAAGGTAGTAACTTTGTACACAGTATGTACATATGTAAAAAGACGATAAATGGACATTAACGTTAATTGCCGGTCATTGATGTGAATGCTCATTCCGGGTGGACAATGTTGTTAATACTCTTATTTTGACGTCTTCGTCCACCGATTAACCATCATTGTCCGCGGCTTGGTGGTCATAAATGCCATTGCCGGTGATATTAACAGAGCGCTTCTATTATGATTTTATCAACAAAAGACAACTTTACTGTGCATTAACGTTTCTGACCAGTCCATAACGTTATTGCCCGATTTGCGAGAATGAGTTATGCTACTCTCTTCCAATTGGGTACTTAACTGTAGGACATTGCATATAAATGAAAAGTATCCATGAGAAAATAATGTTCAGGTTATTATTTTCGCATGTATAACTTTTCGCCAAGAATGCCTAACCCTTAAAAATGTGTTTATAATCACGCGATTTGGATTCTGAAAGCCAAACTTATAACGTCTGCGGTATGAAATCCGTCCAATATAGAGTTGGTTAGTCTCACACACTTGATTATTTCTCTTATTACATTGGATCTATCTTTCTGTGATAAAATACAATTTACGATTTACTTTTCCCTTATATTATTGATAACTGTGAGGTTATCTTCAGGAAATGGAAAATAAAATGAGGAAACAGGCCTAGAGAGATGTCAACGTTAATATATAGTAGGCGGCGACTATATAAAAAATCGGGTTATTTGTGCAATCAGAGGTGGAAGGAACTGGGGTATTTTTAAGTAAGTGTAGTAGTAGGAATGAACTGTATAGTACTGGAACGACGTTAGAAGTCAGATATTTCAAAGATAGTTTCATTAATGTACTGACAAAAATGGCAACCATCACTTCAAACTACGAAAAACTGACATTGTTCAGTTCAGCTACGACTCAAAATCAAAAGCTGAACTATGTTATTTTCGCAAATCAAGGTTATGGGCCCAGATCTGCCACCATATCAAGCACTTGATATAAACGGAAATATTCACAGATGCTAACGATCATGACGTATTTCAATTCAGGCATAGATTGAAGGAGCATGATTATAATACATCCTACTTCAAATCTATAATAAAACACATTGAGATACAGAACGTGTTGCGTCTCTGTGTTTACAGTAAAAACAATATTTGAAAAAAATGAATGTCGCAACACTCTCATTTTGATATATGTTTTGTATCTCTGAGTGTTTTATTACAGATTTGAAGTATACAGTGTTTTCCCATACGCGCATATAAGAATGAAAAATAAAATAAAAAAGAAGTACGTTGATTAAAGCTTTAAATACATATTTTCTGAAATATTTAAATGCAAAAATATCATAGATGCAATCTAGTTAAAATTTCAGTTATTTTCAAGCCCTAAAAACACCTTATTGACCCTTATCCTGTGAAAAGCTTAGGCAGTGTAGTGTAAGTGTTGATTGCCATTTGACCATATTGGCCTTTAACGCGTTCCTACCTCGTTTCTGGTGCTTCATAGACATTGTCAGACACTATGGTGCTGCAGAATCTAACTTAACAGTAGATTTTTGTATGATGTGATGATATCTGTCTGTTTACTCAATTATACAACGAACAAATTTCTGCAATACTTTAGTCTTGTTGAAGTGAGAATTTGTTGATTATTAAATAGAAGTATGTGTGTTGATACTACTGTTTGTACATAGAATTATTTAGTTTATTTACTATAAGTACCTTTTTATAATCTGATAGTTGATCTTTTTTTATATATTTATGTTTGCCAGTGTACCTAGAAACATTAAATTGAATAGTATTTATGTCTCTTTTTTTACGTCACAGTATTCACGATGTCTAGATAGTTATTTAAAGGAACTGAAATTATTTTAATCTTGGAAACCTTCTCGAAGCTTATTTAAAATTTGTTAGCTTTAATACTTGTGTTTCAGTTATTTTGTAACTTAATTTTGTATTTATATTTCCACACTCAATTGTAACTTAATATGTAATTTTCCTAATGTTGTTAAACAAATAAATTATACATATTCACGCCATGTTTTATTTTCCATCGGTTGTCATGATACCATTGGCATTGGGCCAAATGAGAAGTAAAAGGCATACGCAGATTATTTTTAATGTTGCATCTTGAGTTTGGAGCAAAAATAAGAATGTGAAGAAGTAGGTACGAGTTCCAAATGGTTACACAATAAATAACAAAGAAAACACAGATTTTGCCACGCCTTTTTTTGGTTAATTAATAATACACAATGATAAATTAATACTAACGGTTGGTCCAAGCAAAACAGTTGTCTAGTGGCGTGCAAATTTAGGCCCTAGCTCAAAAGCGGAGAGTAGGGGGGGGGGGTTAAGAGCGCCAGTGACTTAGGACGAATTAAGCCACAACTCCCCGAGATGTTAGTCGGAACTTGTTTTGCTTGACCACCATACAAAAGGAGAATCTAACAGAGATGACGAAATTTAAGTAACGGTACATACAGAGAGAGCCAAATAAAACAAGATATTAAATGAATCACAATATATGGATTAATAAAAAAAACGCACTTGTGCTCCACTACTGGAGTGCAAGTAATAAAAAAAAGAAAAGATGTTGAGTCTCTTCTGTTTCTATTGACTAAAAGAAAGCAGATATTGAACGAACGTCATCAGGACACGCATTAAGGCACGTGGTCCGAAGGTATATAAAAAAAAGAACTTACCGCTGAGGGTCAAAATCCCATAGAAAGATGGAAGACGTAGCACCTAAACCAAAATGACTAAACTTAAGTTACAAAAAAAGGGTGCTAGTCCATGAATTGGCGCTTGGGGCCTAATATCCCAGAGTCCCAAAAATGACTAAACGACCCCTGCACCGCGACCTCAACGGAAACAGAAAAGCGAATCACGCAGAACACGTAACGTTCTAGAAGACGGTATCTTGAGTGGCCTTGAAGAAGATATGTTTTATAGGAAACCAACTAACGGAGAAAGATGTAATACGAGTGAAATTATACAATCAATAAACTATTAAATTTGCCAAAAGAAAATCATTAAAAAGGGTTTGGCCTAGGAATGGGAAATCTATTATCAATGAAGAGAAATGCAAATTACTGATAAGTGATAAATAGTAAAAAAAAGGTTACGTGATTTTGGCACGTGACAATTTAACGCTTGGTGATGTACCTACGGAGGTTTTTTTTGCAACGATTCAACAACTGGGGGGTTCAACCCACTTTCGAAGTGTGGTACCATATGCGATAAAGTAGTACGACTGAACAAACAGTTAATCTGTATCACGACCAATACAACCCATCGAGATAGTATCTAGAGAGACGCTATTAGAATATCTTTTGCCTATACAAAAGGGCATCAGGAAGCGGAGCCTAGAATGACACATTAGTATCGTATTTGACAGAGATCTGGCACAGCTGGCTTAAGTTCTGCGCTGTGTATACGTAAACAGCAATTAAGCAAGTGAAATGTGTTCATTTGGCCCTGGACAATAGTCTTTAACCTATGAAACTGTATGCCTAACGATTTTTTAGTAACCACAACCTAGATGAAGAGACTAAATAGATAGCATTTGCTAGTAACAGGTTATTCATCACAGTTTTCAACTAAATAATTTGAGCATCAATTTGGAATACATTTATTTACAACAATACATAATACATATGTTTCTTTATAAAGTTAAAATAAAGCTTCAGTTTTCCTAAGCTACTTATAGATAACAACTATTTTGTTCTAGCCCTTAGACTATCTGACATTTTAAACCATCTTCTGGAAGATTCTGAGTCGGAATGTAGTTTGATTTCTGTATCCTTTAAAATATCGTACTGTAGTTTCTTATATCTATTAAGCTCGATCGTGCTCTTAAATATATAAATAAAAGAAAATTATGGTTTAAGGTGTAAAGAATCACAGACAAGGTCTCAATTCCTTATAGAGGCAGTTAGAGTTGAGCATCACAAGTTAGGCAAGATTTAGACTTCAGAATGAAATTTTTCAGAAGTCTCCTATATCTATGTTGAACACCTTGAATGTCGGAAGTATGAAATTTCAGATATTAGATTTTTCCCAACAAAATATAATGGATATCAGTGCACGTTATTTTCAGAAATACAGCTAGTTCACAATATCTAAAACACCACATGGTTTCCTATTATTTGCGTGAGGCTTTGATACTATTTCTGATATTTGTGGTAACTCTAACTTGTTTTCACAACCTGCAATATTAAAAGAACTCTAAAAACTATACTGTAACTCCTGTGCGTACTGTAACATTGTCACACTTTTTGCTCAATTTTATTGAGCCACTGGAAGCGCTGCGTTTGACGCTAGTGATGTGCTCCACCTAATAAAAAAAATCGATAAAGCAGCCATTTCATCGTTGTTGAGACTCTTCAGTGCAATATAGGACCGATACTAAAAAAGATCTATAAATAAAAACGTTGGCCCTACTATCACTAACATCATGTCCTGAATTGAAGGACTTTAAGGCCAAATCCTATATCACACTGATGAGTGCTGATAAAGCCGAAACAACAATCAATGGTTGCAGGGTGGGAAAGAAATAAAAAATTATTATCATAAGGAGGAATAATCACTAACCTGTTTATCAATAGCCCTAAACTGCCACGACCAATTAGCTCTATACAAGAAGGGTCTCAAGTCAAACCTATTATCGTCGGGGCTGTATGATTCTGCGTGATAAGAAGGAGTGAGTACAGTCATCTTATGGCGATTTATCGCATAACATCTGAAAAAATGTAACGCTCAAGATTCTAATATCAACAAAAATAGTTTTGTTTTAAGAATTTCATACTGTTTATGTTCATTATTGATTACTCATCCATTGAAGTCAAACTCACCTGAAGAAATGTTTAACCTTTTCAGCTACTTGCTTGGGTGTATACGAACTAGACCAAGTCTGGACTAGTTTACAGTACATGGAATATGGCCCACAATTTTCAATTTTTCGTAAACGTCCGAACTGGCTCAATTCTGCATAAGTCATTCCCATATCTTCCTCATCAGTTTGAGCCAATTTGCCCTGTTTTAAAGGCTCTAGCTCGGCAGTTGGCGGGGCACTAATTATTTCCCCTATGATGGACATTTTGAACTTTTCTTTTGCGTAGTTTAGGAATCTGAGAAAAGAGCGGTGCAGATAGGAATTATTTATTATTCGAACTGAAAAACGTTTCTTTACTCATATGAGGGGATAACATAAAAAAGTTATGGTAACTTGATGCCTTAGAATTTTGGGTTCTGGGGTTTTGGGGTCTTGAATTTTAGGATTAGGATATGGGAGTCTCAAGAATGGATATTTTGAAGTCTTGGGGGTATGAGGATTTTGGAGCTTTATTATGGAATTTTGAAATCTAGAGATTTGAGGTTTGGGGATTTGTAGAGATCTTAAAACCTTGGCATCCTGGTATTTTGGGATCTGGGAATTCTGATATCCACTCACATCCTGGGAACTAGCGATTTTGTTTATTTTTGCAGACGGAAATTTTAGGATCTGTGAATCTCGCGATTGGATATTTAGCGAATTTGAAGTCTTTTAACATTTCGATGTCTGGATTCTGGAGCTTTTGGTATGGTAACTAAGGATTTCAGGATTTCGTTATTTTGGCATCTTGTAATTTTGAGATCTGGGAATCATTACATTCTGGAACATTGGAATATATGCATCCTGAAATTTTAAAGTGTCGGGATTTTAGGATCTTCTGGTCTTGGGATTTTAGAGCTTTTGACATCATGGAATTTTGAAATCTAATAAATTTTGGGACTTAAAGATCTTAGGACCTTGGCATCTTAGAATTTTGGGATCTGGGAATTTTGACATCATGAAATTGGAGGACTGGATACCTTGCGATTTGGACATTCAGATATTTTGAAATATTATGATTCCAGAACTTGGAGTCATTGAGATTTTGGTATCTAGGGTCTTCAGCATTCTGGATTTTTGTAGATGTGGAAATCATGACTTGTACTTTCAGCAATTTGAGATTTAGACAATCTCGAGCATTTGGCGTGAAACTAGAATGTAGCATTTTTGAGATCAGAGGATTTTGAAATATGGAAATAAAAATGCTTGTAACATCAACGATTATTTTGTACAACTTACCTTCTCAAATCCGTCTTGGATATCCCCCCAATAGGGTTAATATCCGCGCTAGAACAATCATACTTCGTCATATACCCTCTGAGTGCCTCATCCACATTTGCTGACCCCAAAACCAACAGACCTCCAGGCCTGTCACGCGCCCAAAGCATCAATTGTGCGAAAAGGTAACACAGCACCATGCGCATGCGCGCTTGGATGTTCTGCAGTGCTAGGTTTTGCCTCGGACAACCGCCGTTTACGGCGAATTTCGGAAAAAGACCCGTGACGCTGCTGAAGATTTCTAGAACGGCGCTTATAGCTTTGTCTATTGTGATGTGCATGTGGTAGCTGAAAGAGAAAGTTTTCTCAAAAGTGATTGTCAATATAAAATAATAGTGAAATAACTAGTTTCTAAGCGTCAAAAATGCGTGAGAGTTAAAAGTTTTCCGAAATCTTGATCTCAGACTCGCAATCTATCTTCTCCAATTGGATTCACGTAGGAATCGCAGAATTATTCATGATGAATTGGAAAGAGAATTCTTATCCAGACTCTCATGAAGACGCCCCGTAACCACAAGAAAAGCGCGAATGTGAATGGTTTCTAGCCATCTCACAGGATTTTCAGTTCTTACACTAATCAGCCATATCCAAACTCTTGAAAGAAATGATAAAAATTTTGTATAAACTATTCAAAAAATAACAATGAAGGTTAATATGCACAATCTTGGTGATTTTATACAGAAAAGGATAAACTGGCAAAAATTACTTCAAATTCCTCAGAATGATGTAGACAAACAATGGAATTATTTTAGTGGTATATTTCAATCTATTTTTGACCAATCGTTTCCCATAAAAACAGTAAAAGTGACAAAAAGGCTCCCTAACCCAAATCATTCTCAGGAAACGGATAATAATATTAAGGAATGTAGGGACTGACTGGATGTTCTATATGTTATAAGCAACAGTGACAATTCCTATAAACCATGCTATAACAAAGTCAGAAGAGAGTACAATCTATTGTTAACTAATGCCCGATGTAAGTCATATCAAAGATGAATAGAAGAGTCAGATAATAAATCAAAATGTGTGTGGAGTATAGTAAAGGAAATAAAAGGTCAAAATAGAGATGACTGTGTTATTCCCGGTGATCCTGAAGTTATAGCAAATGCTTTCAATGAATGCTGTATTAATGAAGTAATTAAAATATTACCACAGGCACCAATACATAACTCTTCTGACTTTTAGACCATGTGCAAGAATGTATACCACTAGAATATGTTACTGCTCTAGAACTAGCAGAACTGGGCAAAAAACTTAAAAATAAAATGAGTAGTGGTGATGATGGCATTCCAGCTAGTATTTTAAAATATTGCTTATTAGTAATTCTGGAACCTTTGGTTCACATAATAAACAACTCACTTAAGTACGGTATTTTCTCCGAAAAACTTAAATTAGCTATAATTTTACCTATATATAAAAAAGGAGATCCTAGTGACTTGCTAAGTTATAGGCCAATAAGCTTATTTTCTTGTTTTGCAAAGCTTTTTGAGTTAGAATTATGAATCATATGATATGTAACAACTTAATTACAGAGTCACAACATGGGTTTGTTTGAAAATCCATCAACACAGCGATCTATTCTTTCAGCCACAACATCATAGAATGCCTTGAAAATAATATATCGCTGAGTCTGTTTTTTGATCTCTCCAAAGCTTATGATTGTGTGGATCATTCTCTACTATTGAATAAACTCGAGGCATACGGGATAAGGTGAAGTGCTTGCATCTGGATTAAGTCTTATCAGACAGATCGTAAGCAAAGAGTTTTCATTAAAAAGAATGAAATATTAGCCGTTTCATCACAGTTAACGGTAGAAAGAGGTATTCCACAAGGTAGCGTCTTAGGTCCTCTCCTCTTTTTGATTTTTGTGAACGATCTGCGTGCTAGTATTACAAGCCCAAATAATGTATGCACGATCCAGTACGCTGATGACACTAGTGTACTAGTCTCTGGCCAAGATTTCAACCATTGAACTGAAAGTACTTTGAGCCTCTGTGAGAAAGCGTTTTTGCGGTTTTCTCGTCATGGATTATCTCTGAATACCTCAAAAACAAAATCGATTGTTTTCAAGTTAAGAAAAAAAATCGAAGCTACAAACATCACTGTAGCAGAAAGAATGGAAGTCCCTCTGACAGACTGTGGAAAATTCTTGGGAGTTCAAATTGACCAAGCACTTTCCTGGGCTAAACATATAGAACGTCTAGAAAAAAGGTTAAACAATGCATGTTGAGTACTAAGCAAGTACCTAGACCTCAAGACTCTAAAAATGGTATATTACGCGAATTTTGAGTCCATTGTACGTTTTGGAATATTTTTTTTCGGACATAGTAGCCATACCAATAGGATCTTTCTAGTGCAGGAGGGAGTGCTGAGGTGCTTCCTAAAAATTTCCTCTAGAGAGACTTGGACAGGAAAATTTAAGAGTAATAAAATTTTAACTGTAGCCGCAATATATATTCAAGAGATTCTAATTTTTACATTTAAAAATATTGACAATTTTATCGGTAACCCACGAAGTGACTATAACACAAGAAATAGAAATATAAATCTTCTGTATCCAGTCCATCATCTCACGGTTACCGAAAAAAATGTCCATTATACAGCTGCACTAAAATATATAATAAGTTACCACAAGAAATTGAAAGGTTTGCAGATATAAAAGAATATAAAAAGAGTATTTATCAACTGTTAATGCACTTAGAACCATATGACATTCAAGAATATTTTGAAATGTAAAATTTCTATTATGTTATATGTTTTGCGTCTTTGTTTTTCCTGTCTTGATGACACTGTGACATATATTTCACCTAACAGTGTGTAATACATTGTAATCATGCACTGTTATTTTGAAATAAAGATTTATTATTATTATTATCTACCTTCCAATTGCTGCTGCCAATGCTGCAGCCCTCTGCTTAGTTTCCTTGGAAGAATTTTCTGTTCCCATGTAACATGTCACTAAAAATCTGTTGCAAAGCTCACTTGCACTTTTTGGAGTATATTCAGGGTCACCAGTTATCCTTCTTAGATCAGATAATACTTTTGAATCTGTTGAAAAACACCAAACAATAAATATGAATAAGTTAAAATTTACCTATCAATCTTCTGCCATTTCCTGGTTTGTTCAACAAATGTTCACAGAGATTATATAAAAATTCAAAGAATTCTTATTTACCTCCACCTCTTTGCACATTTTCCATTATAAGGGTACACATAGAGTATACTAGCAATGCAGTACTTGAGGAATCAACTCCTCCACTCAATGGTAGAAAAAATCCACCCTGACCAGATCTCCTCAAGTAGTCCCATAACCAACAGGCTGGACCCTGTTTCACAATAAAATCAATTAAGTGATAGTATAAGAAAAACAGAAAAATTGGCACGATTCTTGTACTCGTTGGAGAGCTGAACATCAAGTATGTATCAATGGTGCACATGCAAAATGTTTAGCATAAAAATATGTGGAGCAAAATTACCTGTGCAATCTCTTCTTCAGGGGTTAGATACACCCAGTCGATTGGTTGAGCTGTGGGTAACACAGTATCAACTTCAGGTGACAAGGAAAAGTCTACCAAAATCCTGGGATAACTCTTAGTACTAGAGGCCAATAGTGAATTTGACCTTTTTGAATGCCTGTATGATCTTATATCTTCTAGATCAATTGTAGCTGTTACAACTTCCTACAAAATCAATTCAAACTTCAGTTGCATGAAGTCATGTTTTAAAACTTACTTACAACTTCATCCAAAGAAAACTGTCTCGCTCTGCTCAAGACATGTCCATTCAAAGTAATGGATGACATTCCATCAAAATACACTCTTTGACCATCACAGCCCCTCAAATTACAAAATACATAACATCCCCCACATTTCATTGTTGCTGTTTTTACTAAATCCCTGACCACATAGCCTTTTCTCAGCTCTGTATGGCTACCAGAACCATTACAAATTATTTCAACGCCATCTAGTGACAGTGGAACATGAGAACTTTCAGCACACCATAGCTCTTCACATATTTCAAATCCTGAAAGTATAAATGGATATTAAGATCAACCTTCATATTAGTTCTAAATCTTTTCTTACCTATGCATGTATCAACTGTTGATATCACAGCATCACCGAAAGGTACTAACTTTTGACCAGTAATGTTTCCTATCATCCGTGGCAAGTGAAAATCTTCTACTTCCTTATGCAAAAGATTTGTAATTTAGATTTTAATAGAACTAGAAATGCATTTGAATATAAATCATCTAATAGGGCTATACAAAGTTAGAGGAAATTTAGCCTCATTTTCCTCTACAAAATAATCTGTAAGCTCCAACAGGTGTTTTAGCATCTGTTCTCACTACACCACTACAGTGTTACCATTTTTTTCAAGTTTTCCTGAATTTTAAGAGAGTATAGTTGTGGTCACCATTCTAGGCGGTTACAGCATCAACGCCATATGAAATAAGTAAACAGTCGAGTCTCTGTACCATAGGCGGAACACTGCGCAGACTAATCTTCAGCACATCTGCTTACTCTCTCCAGTATGCATGAAGTGGGTAACAGGGGACTGCTGTTTTCATTCTCTTCCTGGAAATACTCTAATAAATTTAGCTATCAGCCTTCTCCATTGATCGTATTTCTGGACATTGTACAATTTTACATTGAAGATTGATAACACACCTCAAACTGCACACTGATGTCAAGTAAATTGTCACTCTGACAAATATGATTGAAGGGCAATCATACATAACGACAAAGTTTTCGAGATGGAGACACACAACCTATGTCTTTGACCTTAACGAACAAACATCCACAAACAGGGGTAGGTTACATATGTATGCATGAGGGAGATGGAGATGGATAGGGATATTGGTAGTCTTACTTTGTCCCGCCAAGAACAGTGATGACAACTATACCACAATTTTTCACTTATGTGCAGTGTTATCAGGTCTAACAATTTTTCAGTAGATCTAGCTGTTTCAATTTTGATCTAATGAGCTCCATATTTCATTGCAAAATCTACCAAAACAACTTAAAAAATACTGTTATTACTACACTACAGATATTTTTTATTATTATGCCATAAATGTCTGACACCCAAATTATTTATTGCATCTGAGTCAGCCAGTTCTGTTGAAAGAATACTGTTGCTTGTAAACCTTATGCTGTGAAAAATTTATTAAGTGTCACAATTTTGTCAACAAATTATTAGTTTCTGATTTGCAGTTTCCAATATGACAGATAAAAATTAGTATGTTCATGTCATGTGTTATGAATTTTGTAGTTAATAGTTTATATGTACTAATTTTATAGACTATTTAGATTGTTTTTGAATGATAATGTATTTTTGTTGTTTTTGTCAATTAGCTCAGAAGTGAGAGTTGACTGATGACTTCTCTATTGTATTTTTGTTGTGATACATTTCAATTTAGTAAGCAGGCAATTTACATATAAACATCTTTTTTACTTTTTCGTAATTCCATCTACTGAAGAATTTCACAATCTACCAAAAAATGTCTCACAATTCTATGAAAAACAGACCTTGCCACACCAATCTGTGTACACTTGCAATTTTTTGCAGTTTCATAGTGATTTGTGATTATAAAATCATTTAAGCAGCAGGACATGACAAAACCATAATTATGGTTCATTTATCAAATTACAACGTATGACCAAGGACACAAACCTTTTTCCAGCTTGTGAACCACCTAGTTTCTCTATAATTCCCATCATCACAAAGTATCTTTTTGGGCCTTATAAGCAATATTTTCTTATTCAGAAAGATGACTCTGCAGTTGTATGCAACATTCCTGTGCATAACTGGCATACCAATATCTATCAGCATGTCCTTACAGAGTGGAGCCTGTAGGAGCTCTGCTAGGACTTCCCAAGAATGCAGAAATGTATCACTTTCATAGAAATGATCTTCACAACTGTACCCACTAAAACAGAGGTGTATGAATGGATGAGATTAAGATAAATAATCCATCTCACCATATCTCTAGCTCAGGCCCGGTTCTGAATGTGGCTCCCATTTCCTTTGCATCCAAAATTGATTGTAAAATTCTGTCCAGATTTCCTTCAAAATCTAATGCCCACTGATTTAAGGTAGCCGCTGCGATAGTCACTTTTCTCCCCATCTTTTAGATAATAATAGCAGCCCAAGGAAGAACAAATAATAAACACGTACAAAATGAGCTTTCCGGGTGATTTTGGGTACTTTTGATGGCCCAAGCGCCCAAGTTTGAAGGTTTGCAAACTCAGCACAAAAGCAAAACAAACACAGAAGTTGAATTGAGGTTAAGCTTTAGGCACATTTAACAGCACTGCAACCAGTATTACAAATTATAAATCAAATTCAAGCGGTTAACCAAATGAAAATGGTATTTACCATTTTGGATTGGTAAGTATTTAACGATCCGTTCAAGCGAGTGTGGTTATCAGTTTGGTTATAAGATCCGTGACATCATGAATCAGCTGTTATATGTCATAGTTATCATTATCACCGCAAAATTGTGGTATAGTGGATACCAAATAAAATCCGATGCACGTCATAGGTGATGTCATTCATAAAAATCATGGTTACCAACAGTTGACTACATTCAATGTGACATTTCTACTTGAAGTTTAAATTTCCCCGTCTCGATTCGGTTGGTAGTGCCGTGCAGAGAAATGTGAGGTTGCCACTTCTCATTTGTTGACATCAGTTGCCATTGTCCTTTTGTCGTACTATTAGTTCTTTATTGTTTAGTTTGTGAGTTTTGCGCTATTTGAGCTTTGAGTCGTTGCCTTGCCAATTAAAAATTGTTCTTTTCAGAGCAACAGTTACTGTGAAGTGGTGTAAAATATCCAAAATGCCAAAACAACTTAACAGTCGGTGTAAGGAGCTCATATCATTGAATATCTACCAAAATCAGGTGTTTTTATTCAGAAAGGAATTTAATTTTACAACAAGTTTATTTATTTTTAATATAATGGTATTATAGTAAATGGTAGGTATATATAAACAATTTATTTTATTAAATTTATTTGCTTAAAAGAAAATGTGCAAATTCTGGCAACAGCGCACAGCTCCAGATCGATGACGTGCATCGGGTTTTATTTGGTATCCACTATATTTACCCAACTCAGGAGTAGTTTCATATTTGTGGTTATTATTTGACATGTGACAAGTTAGAATTTTGCGGAGTATTGGTTATTTTTATTGTACTTCAGCTTCATTTTTTGGAAACTTGATACAGGCTGACTTCAGTTTTAGCATAAGAGAGCACCTTATTAGTTATAATCATTAGATCATTACTGTTGTTGGGGACACTTTAAATCTAATTCCTATGCTTAACAAAGTATCCTGTATAGCCATATACCACAAGAATATTTAAATATGGCCATATAAACTCACTGTATGATGTCCACCTGTATACAGTTTTGTTAATATCTTTTTTTCATCGCTTTTTCATCATTTCTGCTAAACCAATAAATATTTTCTTTGACACGCGGAAAAGTTTAGAGAGTTGAAAGTTATTATAGCTACAAAGCCTTCAGTAAAAAAAATTTTCTGAAAAAAAAAACATTCCTCCCATTAATACTATGAAAGGTTTCTTTTTTCAACTTTCCACACCTCGTTGTAGCCGAAAAAGCACCGATTATTAAGTGATAATAAAAATAATCAGAAATTATATACGCGCTTTTCTAAAATAAACAACTTGAAACAAACCGCGGTTAAAACCAACGCCTTCAAGCGATTCGAGTAACTGACGTCATCATCCCGTGTGTCATCTTGAACCATATTATAACCGCGGTACATAATACGGAAATTTTGGTTATTCGCTTGGATTTGATTATAGTTTCATCAAAAAATGCAACCTGTTCAAAAAAAGGGCATGCATAAATAGTGGAAAGTATACTAATCTTACTCGTTGAGGCATCACTGGTTGCATTATGTGTAAGCATTTTGAATAAATATTATTATAAAATAAATAATATTAGTTTAAAAAACTAAAAAACACGCTTGGACAGCTAACCAAACTAAAAAGTAGAAAATAATTTTGAACTACAAAGAGTTTATATTGCAGTAGTAGATGGTCGAACAATCAATCATAATTGATGACTTCAAAATAAAATTTTAAGTTATTAACAGAATAATTCAATTCAGAGTAAAAAACGTGGGGTGCTTGATATATTAAATGTTACAATAATTCTATTGGCAACTATCTATGAGAGAACAGTTATGAAAATGTAGTAAAATGCACCCCACGCTTTTTACTCTGAATTGAATTATTCTGTTAATAACTTAAATTTTATTATGATTTTATTTTAAGGTCATTAATTATGATTGATTGTTCGACTATCTACTATTGTAATATAAACTCTCTGTAATTTAAAATTTTCTACTTGTTAATTAGGTTAGCTATAAAAGCGTGTTTTTAGTTTATTAAAGTATTATTTGTTTTTCATTATTTAGTTCGATTTATCAACTAGTTTTTTGTGGACATGTGGTACTGAAATGTCTTACGAATGATTCTGTAATCTAATCATTTCATTTAAAGCTTCACTGTTGCATAGGGTTTTTCCTGTTAACTTAGAGCAATCACGTTCTTCAATCCGAATACCGTCTAGATCTTACACGACTAAGCGCTACATAAGCTTGTCCTCTATTACTCCCCTACAGAGGATCTATAAAAGAAAGGACAAGTTTACCATTTTTTGTTATTAGCTCAAATGAAAGTTTAGGAAGAATGAAACAAGGTGAAAAAATTACTAATTTATCTCTAAAAACAAAAAAGTTACATTCCATCAAAGTTGTGCCCCATGAGAATATTTTTATTCCGTCTGTACGTTACGTGTGACGTCGCACTTCATTATCCAGTTGCAATGCCCGTGGCGATTCAATCTCCTAAACACATGCATAGGCGACCATACAGCGGGACACATGGTCGGCTAAACGTCTTCCTCCCCAATTTTTTTTTTTTTATACTCCAACTACCACGAAGGCCTAAGGCCTAAGCACCCATTGGGTACCGTGGGGCTATAGGGGGATACATGGGAAAAGGGGGGTTTAATTAGACTGCATATACGATCGGTTATGAGCGAAATAATAAAAAAGGTTGTAAATACTCTACCGTTCCAAAATGTACGAGCACAACAATTACAACCCCTAATAAACATGTTTTCTACGTACCTTCACATGCGGCGTCCATAATGGTATGAACTTACGCAGCACTCAGTAGTTATCAACTGGAAACTACGTCTCCGAGCGTACACGTGTGCCTTATGAATTGTCTATAGTCTATAGACTAATGACTAAACGCACAGACGCTGTCGAACACCTACGCGACGAGACGCTGGGCACTAGAGAAGTGTGACGTCAGACGCGAACAAGGGGCAGCTATGATTTCGCGCTATAATGCGCCAAATTCAAGTATCAATTTCTATATCATTTAGAGTCCGATTTTAATAATTTTTTCACTGGCTGATTATATTTAGTCTATATTTTTGCTGGTATGTCATTACTTATGCGATTCTGAATATCACGAAACTTCTCCATTTATCAATCCTCGCGATCCTAATATGGATAATGGAAAACTGTTATCAAATTATTGCATTGTCTTCGGTCCTTGATACGCGTGCGAAGTTTTGAATTAATCAAGCGTCTGGAAATTAGTAAAAATTATGCTCAAAGATTCCGTTACATACATACATATACCCTCTTTCACGAGCAACTATCACGGTAGACTGACAGCTGATTATCTAGTAATATCTCAAAATTCCCCATAACGGCACAAGACACTTACTGCTGACGCATCCATCAACGTCAGGTAGTCAGGGCCGTTTTGTTTTTTTTTGTACGCTACAGATTCATTTTGTACTTGGTAACATCTCTTTTATTAAGAAAAGTTCATTTGCATACAAAAGACAGAACGCTACAAACAAGTTTCAGTAGATTTACACTCGATTCATTATTAACACACTAACACAAAAATATCACTTGCTAATCAGCTGTTCACCTCAGTAGACGTCACAGCGTGATGGATACTCGTGAAATCTGGTATACATACAGGCCAAGCCTATAAAAGTATGTTAATGAATATACACTAAATACACTGCCTATGTAAACTAATTGTAACTAGTATCGAAGGAATGGTAAACCTGCACGTTTGGGGGCAAAAACCGTTTTATGGTATAACAGTAGCCAAAGGCTCAAAACGGTAGATCTACTGTAAAGGAGGTAAATCTGGTATCGCTGTTTTCCCATGACCTAGTAGTGCTCTACTCAGAGAGTATACGAGCCCCTTCCCACTTCAGTTGGCCCACTTCAAGATTTGTACCAAAATAAGCCTTTATAAACTAAACATGACGAAACTATTTACTTCTAAAACAATTTATTTTCTCAAAAAAAATTTAGATACACTCTAGTCGTAAAAAATACATATTTGACATCACTTAGATCCAAGGGGATTCAGCTACTGAATAGCTAAGGAATATAACAACATGCCTCAGGAGTTTGTGGGGCTGAGAGAACTGCCGTTCAAGAAGACAATTAAATCTTATATTTTTAAAACAGCAATAATGGAATTTTATGATTAATAGATTTAATTTTCATCCCATAGTTGATTCAGTGAAGCATTCAACTCATACATTCTATTTTTATTATTTTATTTGTACCATTTTTTTTCCTTTTTGTATCTTTGTAATGATGAGTGGAAGAGCACGCAATGTGAACTCCGAATCTAGGTTAACCCGTATGCGGTTATTAGTTTTCTATGGTTACCGTACTAATTCCTTATTAAAAAACGCCGCCTTCTTTAAGACTTATGTAATTCGTAACTTGTACGAGCCCCTTCCCACTTCAGTTGGCCCACTTCAAGATTTGTACCAAAATATGCCTTTATAAACTAAACATGACGAAACTATTTACTTCTAAAACAATTTATTTTCTCAAAAACTTTTTAGATACTCTAGTCGTAAAAAATACATATTTGAAATCACTTGAACCTATAACTAATAGAACATCTGAAAAAATAAACATTGTGCGAATAAATACGCGAAGTTAACAAAGCAACAATTGAGAGATTACCATTGGGTAACATTACCTTTATCTTTTATTACGGCTTAAATTCTTTGGGGCATAGTGTTAACCAAGTTTTGGCAAAAATTTGGTGTAAAACAATCCCGTATTTCTTGAAGCTTTTGTATCAGTTCGGTGATTGTACGAGCAGGATCTTGTCGTAGAACCTTTTTCATCTCGTGCCACAAAGTTTCAATAGGTGACAGATCTGGATTGCTAGAAACCCATTTCAAAAGTGGTACATTATTTTCTTCCATCCATTTTATAGCCTCTTTTGAGGCATGGCACGCTGCACCATCTTGCTGAAACACAAAATCTTGGCCGGATGCCAAACATTCTTCTATCACTGGTAAAAGCGATTCTTATAAAATTGCCAAATATTTGTTTGTATCCACATTTCCATCAATAAAATGAAGTTTTCCTACTCCTTTTGATGACATACTGCCCCAGACCATAATGGATGCTGGAAATTTCACGTTTCTCTTCAGACAGTCAACATGGAATGCTTTATTTTTTTGCGAATAACTCTACTGCGACTGTCACCAACACAAACTTCGAATCGGGCCTCATTACTCCATTGTATTGCACACCATTATTGAGGTGTCCATTGTCTATGTTCTTTAGCCCATCTAAGCCGATTTATCTTTTGCAGTGGAGTTAATAGTGGCTTTTCTTTGGCCTATAAACAAGTTGTGCAACTTTAGGGTTTTTACTTCACTTTTTTTTATAAGAAAACTTACCTTGCAAGTGCTAAATCCCAGTTTGTGGGCCTCTCTATGAGTTGTGGACCCAGAAATTCTCGTTCCAACAGCATCACTCCACAGAGCACTTAATTGTAAATAATTGGCACGCCTGTTTTTCACGATTATTCTTCTTAATGCTCTTCGGTCAGCATTTGTGATAATACTTTTTTTCACATATCGTGGCTTAATACTAACTGAACCAGTTACGTTATATCTTATAACAATATTTCTCACACTGTACCGCGTGAAGTCTAACAAAGTTGCAATTTCTGAGTTTGATAATAAAGAAAGATCACCTTTATTTTTTATTACGGCTGAAATTCTTTGGGGCATAGTAAGTTTTGTCAAAAATTTGATATAAAACAATCCCATATTTCTTGAAGCTTTTGTCTCAGTTCGGTGATTGTACGAGCAGGATGTGGTCGTAGAACCTTTTTCATCTCGTGTTACAAAGTTGCAATAGGTGACAGATCTGGACTGCTAGAAACCCATTTCAAAAGTGGTACATTATTTTCTTCCATCCATCTTATAGCCTTTTTTGAGGTATGGCATGCTGCACCATCTTGCTGAAACACAAAATCTTGGCCGGATGTCAAACATTCTTCCATCACTGGTAAAAGTGATTCTTCTAAAATTGCCAAATATTTGTTTGTATCCACATTTCCATCAATAAAATGAAGTTTTCCTACTCCTTTTGCTGGCGTACTGCCTCAGACCATAATGGATGCTGGAAATTTCACTTTTCTCTTCAGACAGCCAACATGGAATGCTTCATTTTTTTTGCGAATAACTCTACTGCGACTGTCCATTGTCTATGTTCTTTAGCCCATCTAAGCCGTTTTTTCTTTTGCAGTGGAGTTAATAGTGGCTTTTCTTTGGCGTATAAAGAAGTTGTTCAACTTTAGGGTTTTTACTTCACTTTTTTTATCAGAAAACTTACCTTGCAAGTGCTAAATCCCAGTTTTTGGGCCTCTCTATGAGTTGTGGACCTCGAGATTCTCCTTCCAACAGCGTCACTCCACAGAGGACTTAATGGTAAATAATTGGCACGCCTGTTTTTCACGATTATTCTTCTTAATGCTCTTCGGTCGGCATTTGTGATATTACTTTTTTTTCACATATCGTGGCTCAATATTAACTGAACCAGTTATGTTATATCTTCTAACAATATTTCTCACAGTGCTATAAGTCTAACAAAGTTGCAATTTCAGTAACCGAATTTTCTCACTAATAACCTTTCCTCTACCCATTTTGAAAACCTTAACTACCCAAAACTATTTTAAACATATTCTGACAGCTGTGATTAATAAAAACAATTGTCATGGCTTTTATTTTTCACAGCCACCTATGCGTTATAGACTTATTTTGCATTGAAATGAAAATAGGTTGATATGCTATAATTGCAACATGTGTTATTTTTATGCTGCAAATTTGATTAGGGAGTGATAAAGTTGGTGTTTTCTACTATATATTATCAAAATATTCATTGTTAATATTTTAAACCTATAACACCCTGCTGCATTTTTATTATTTGTGTTTGATAAGAAAAAAACGAAGATTTCAATAGTTGGGCCAACTGAAGTGGCAAGGGGCTCGTATAGCTTGTGCTACTCAGCACCAATATCATTCCACTACTCCATTTACAGTTTAGTTGCCTGATATTCGCTCGTGCCTACAAAATTATCTCAAAATTGAGGAACATGTAATTGTATATCAATCTTTGACATTGATATCTCCACAAAGAGAATATACATTTTAATATTTGATGAAAGATCAGAAACATGTTTCACAAATTATTTATTGGTATAAACAAATAAACAAATATTCCAACAAAACAAATAGAATTTTCACCTTCACATTCTAGCATATGGGTCATTATCTGCCACTGTACACTAGACATGTGACATAATTTACAACAATCACAGGTAAACATATTTTGAAGGAATGGAAATTGAAAACATTCATTCTGAAGTAAACACGTTTGTTATACACAAATATAGAGGTTCAGTAATAAGTAGAGAAAATTTATGCCAGATTATCTGACAGTACAATATAAGGTGAATTAAGTATTAAAATACAAAACATATATATATATATATATAGAAAAATATATAACAGTATAGAAATACAAAAACCCCCTTTAACCCTCAAATCAATTGGCCTGAGTTAGTGCTACACTTAAGACTAAGAGTATGCTAAACTGCGGTCACATAAAACTTAGAAGCTGCTATTGAATCAACAGCAAATGTCGAAGTTTGATTTTTTGCATCACTATATTAGACAAAATATTTATATTTTAAGGAGATAAATATGTAAAAGAGGTTTTTAGGTAATATAAGAATAAGAATATATTAGATCATGTGGCACATTTCACTCACAATACTCAATATACAAGTAGTAAAAAAGCTAAAAACACACAATAACTTAGATTTTTAAACTAAATACCATACTCAAGAACTGTTCATAATGGATTGTAATATATCCATCTTGATCTGTATCATGCTGTCTGAATGATGCTGTGAGGGTCTAAAATAGAAACAAAATATTGACTTCTTGTCAAGCATTTTATGACAATACTTACATATAGAACAATGCAACATTGTATGAAATCATCAAACAATATTGTCCCATTTCCATGTCTATCAAACTTCTTGATCAACATATCAATAATGGAATCAGACAGCCTATATCCAAATGAGATAAGAGCAGTTTTCAATTCATTTCTATCTATATTTCCAGAGTTATCCCTATCAAAAGATCTGAAGCAGTTTTGCCAATCTGTAACATATTTCCACAGAGCCCCAAAGTCTTCAAAGCTTACTTGTCCCCTGTTATGACGGTCAAACATACCTTAAATATGATTCATAACTGAAAAACATGGTTAGCCAAATATTGATACCATATTTCATAGGAAATAATAGTATAGTTGCCTTGAAAATAATTCAATATAATGCTGTGACACTGTACTTACCTATCATTAATCTCACAGTTTCTGGGTTGAAGGGGCTCCAAGTACCATTAGATAGTGCTGCACCAAGTTCATCTGCATTAATATATCCACTTCTGTCTCTATCGACCCTGGAAAGGAAATCCTAACGTAGAACGAGAATAATAGTTACTGTAACAGTACTCACTTTTGGAAAACATCCCAAAGAAATTCCCTACTGGGCATTGGAGATGAGAAACTCATTTTTCTCTGCCTAGTTGAGTTATATGAGTCACTTATATGTTGTGGAAAATCGTGTGAACAAACGAAACAACGAAAAGATAACAGTAGCGATATTGTAATTCACGTATGATTTTTATATGTTGCAAAAACTCAGGAACTTGGAATCAGTTTCGTGTCGTTTTCCCATAGATACATATGTGATGTACAGTGAAAATTTCTGGAAAGATACAGGTTGTTTGAAATTTGAATTTATGAATTTTAAACATAAAATCTCTAGGTCCATAACTCACAGCTGATCGTCAAGTTTTTAGACAGGGACGGTTCAAGCTGCTTGTGCACGAGGAAGATTCAACTGAATCTGCTCATTTACCTGCGTCAAATGTAAAGCAAATGACAATGCACATATATTTCAGTCTGCTACATCACTTAGGCCCGTATCGTCAGTCGTCCCTACAATTGTAGGGCGCCTTTATGGCCTCCTTGATTGTCATAGTTTTCTACTTCTGTGCTTGCTTTTGAGTTATATCATGTTTTATCAGCCTGAAATTTCCTACAATTTAAAAAGAAAACATATCTTCACAATTGGAGAGCGCTGACGCTGACACGGGACAAGTGTAATCTAGAAATTTTTGAAGGAGAGAAAGGAGTATGACAATCAAGGAGGCCATAAACGCGCCCTACAATTGTAGGGACGACTGACGATACGGGCCTAAGCAGTGATGTATTCTAGTGAAACAAAAGTAATGAGAAAAACATTTATTTTTAATGTCTATTCGAATGATTCAAGAAATACATCTAAGACGGTCCTGTTGTTCAATGCTGCCACCTCACCCTTGCTATAGCCTAAGATAACTATGTACTTGACAGGTAGCTTGACTTTGACAACTTGTTATAACCTAACATAACCCTTATGTTTTTTGGCTTCGTTGCATGATGCAAATCTAATTTGAATGTTGCAAACGTGGTGCAATAAAGCATAACAGATTCCAAGTTCAAATATTGCATTTAAAGTGTGGCATTTATTGTGTTGGTAGATTTTATATATTGTTTACACGTTTAGATCCGGTAGAAAACGCCTCATTATTCAGGAGAAAGGTATGTAGATGTATAAGACTAGTGTAACTCAAAATTGCTGAATATGATCTTAAAACTTTGTTTTCTGGAACACATTTTTGATTGGCTAGCTCAACAGATGTATCATCGGTTTTAGAGGAATGTTTTTTCATAAAAACAAAACTCAACTGTAAAAAAATCACATGCCAGAATAATGTTTTAGTACTGTGTTTACATTCACACTTCTTTTTTTCCAAAAACTTTTGAAATAACTTGCCTCTTACCTTCAAAAACTAGCTTAAATTGTGCAAGTAGTTTTATAGATGATACAGTAAAATGTGCAAAATACATATAATTTTCCATCATTTATCCGAGCCATAACTGAAAAATAACTAGGTATAGAAATATAAGTGAAGTCACACAGTTTTTTCAGGTTTGCTTACGTTAAACAAAAATGGTGCTAGATTTGGATTCATTCCGAAAGGATAAGGGTGGAGATCCTGAAAAAATAAAGGAAAATCAGAGAAAAAGGTTTAAAGATGTGAAACTTGTTGAAAACGTAATAGAAAAAGATGAATATTGGAGACAGCTAAGACATAAAGCTGACCAATGGAACAAGCTAAAAAATATATGTAGCAAAGCTATAGGAGAGAAAATGAAGAAGAAACAATCTCAAGGAGATCCTGATGAAGAACTCCCAAGTGATATCACACAAAACTTAGATACACTAACTGTGGAAATCTTACAAGCACTTACTGTAAATCAAATCAAGAAGGTTGGTCTCTGAGCTCATTTGCTTATTGTTTATTTGACATACATAATATATTATGTAGAAAACTCATCAACAGATTAAAATATATATTTATAAACTTTAACTGACAGCCTGTGCATCTTTTACTTATCTTACGTTATCTAAAGAGTTGTCAGTATTCTTTTATAAAGCATCCTGTTACTTTTTTTAGGTTCGTACATTGATTGATGCTGCTATAGTCAAGAACGAAGCAGAACTACAAACAACTGAAAAGGAACGTAATGAGGCACTAAGAGAAGTTGGTAATCATTTACATGAATCTGTGCCTGTCGATGATGACGAAGATAACAATAAGGTACTAAATTCTATCTAAAAAATTTTATTAGAAAAATGAAATGTTTTTGCTATCGTTTCATTTCGAGAGTTCTAGTATTGAACAAAAACAATTATAATTATTTTATTAGGTAGAAAGGACATTTGGAGATTGTCAAGCAAAAAAAAAATACTCTCATGTGGACCTGATCCATATGATAGATGGAATGGATGGAGAACGTGGCACAACTGTCTCAGGAGGCAGAGGTTACTATTTGACTGGACCCGCAGTTTTCTTAGAGCAAGCTCTTATCCAGTTATCTCTAAGAATCTTGCATAAGAAAGGGTATAAACCTCTTTATACACCTTTCTTCATGAGAAAAGAGGTAAGCTACATTAACAAAATTGAACAGAATTGATTGGCCATCCTACATCTCATTTTTTTAAAATAAATTGGGGTTTAATAAGGTTTCTTCATACTATGTTTTGACAGATTATGCAAGAAGTGGCGCAACTATCTCAGTTTGATGAGGAGCTCTACAAAGTCATAGGCAAAGGTAATATAATAAATAATTTTTGCATGACTGAGGTATATCTCTGTAATTTTATCACTAGCATATGTTGAGAGCATTACTATTCATAACTATTTTTTACAGGCAGTGAAAAGGCTGAAGATAGAGAAGTAGAGGAAAAGTACTTGATAGCTACTTCTGAGCAACCAATTGCTGCATTCCATCGTGATGAGTGGCTCCCTGAGAACTCCTTGCCTATAAGATATGCTGGTTTCTCAACCTGTTTCAGGCAAGAAGTGGGCTCACATGGAAGAGATACAAGGGGCATTTTTAGAGTACATCAATTTGAAAAGGTGTTTTATATAATCCACTGTAGATCACTTGAGTTATTGTAAAATGCATAGTCAGTCTTGTAACTACTCACTCAAAATAATTCTCTTGTACTTCAAATTTTTAAGCTGAAAAAAGTTTCTGGATTCCTTTCCACATTTTACTTATTACATCCATAGATCTGTTTGGCATTTTTACTTCTAGGTAGAACAGTTCTGTATAACTTCACCTTTTGACAACAAATCATGGGAAATGATGGATGAAATGATTGGGAATGCAGAAGAGTTCTGCCAAGCCTTGGGAATTCCATATAGAATCGTGAATATTGGTAAGTATCAGGTTTCATGTAAATGCAATTCATGATTTGTATTCAAAAACATTGCTTTCAACTAATCTCACCGATACAGGGTGCAGCGATGGCATAGTGGTAGATGTTATGGGTCTTCTAGAGACAGATAATTTTTCTCTTGGCTATGGATGTGATTGCCTGTAGGTCGTCAACAGCATGCAAACGTTTTCCCTGACTAGAGTCCGTGCGGTGTTCCCCCTTTCCCCTGTATCCCCTATAGCCCCATGGTACCTACAGGTCCTTAGGCTTCACCTTCGGCAATCGTGAACATTCAAGTATAAAAAAACACTCATTAAAATTGTAGAATTGGGCTTGTCCTGTGAATGTATGAATGTAGAATGTGTATGTATGATATCTGTGCCAACAAAACAATTCTTTTTTTAATTTCCTTGCAGTTTCCGGAGCTTTAAATAATGCAGCTGCGAAGAAACTTGACCTTGAAGCATGGTTTCCCGGATCAGGTGCATTTAGAGAACTGGTATCTTGCAGCAACTGTTTGGAATACCAAGCTAGACGTCTTTTAGTTAGGTAATTTCGATTATTTTCGAGTAAACGTAACTGAGAACTAATATTAACATCTAACAGTAAAGTTAGCTATTTTTATCGTTTTTGTTTTTAAAGGTATGGCCAGACAAAGAAAATGAACACTGCAACAGACTATGTGCATATGTTAAATGCCACCATGTGTGCAGCAACTAGAGTGATTTGTGCGATCTTGGAAAATAACCAAACTGAAACAAGCATTAAGGTATGGTTGACAAAAGACGAAAAATTCATGCTGTTGAGAATCAAAAAAAAAATATATTTTGAATGAGGCTCCACTATTTTAACTTTGACTAAAATCTCAAATGTTTCATGAGGTGACATCCTATAATATTTTAGGTACCAGAAGCTTTGAAACTCTTCATGCCAGAAGAATACCAACATGAAATTCCATTTGTTAAACCAGCACCTATAGATTTGGAAAAAGGGAAGAAGAATAAACAGGAGAAAGGGAAAGGAGAAGAATAAGATGTCTTCTGTTTCTTGTCAGAACTGACAGTTTTTCAAGTCGTCCAAAATGTGATGACAAAATGCTACATTGTGCTATTTATTTTTCATCCATATAATGTAACTTGCTTTAAATAAATAATAAAGGATAATGTATGATTATGTGATTACTCCTATTGCATCTGTCAAAGGTACAAAATGATTTGTATAAAAATATTTTCTTACAAAAGTACGACTTTATTTCAAAAACAAAAATATGTACAAATCAAAAAGTTTCACTCTGCAGTATTATATACAAATGGTGGCAGTTTTTTCTCAGTGTACCCGTTTATCTACCTGAAAAAGTGATTAGTAGGAATAAAGGTGTATCATGGAAATATAAAAAATTAACATTAGTAAATATTTACCAAAAAAACAGAACTCACTGAATCAATTTCACCTCTACATTCCTCTTCTGTTTCTTCTGACTTCTGGGCTGCTATAAAAGCTGCTTGCATCTCCGTAAATGGGTTCTCTTGAAGCTCCACAACTTCCAGCACATGTTCTAGGGCTCCCACATCCACAATCATATCTGAAAATCCAAATAAATGCTCACTGATTTCGGATATGGTGTTCAAAAAATTTGCTACAAAGCCCTATTTGAAGTCTGAAAATAGGCCTTTCAGATTCTGATATGTCACGACGGTCGCAGTACGAGCAGGAAATTCAAAATGAATGTCCGGTCAGAATAGATTAGATTGGGCTCTAATACTGTAAGGATACATTCTCGTATGATGCGATCTGATCCTGAAATGATCTTAAACTAGATTATGTATAGCGACCGCGAAAAGAGTGATAATTTTGAAGGAAAAGTAAGTCGTCATCATCCCTGGAGACTCAAATTTCGAATATAGTGATCAAAAAATTCTGAAGCGAAGTCCTATTTGAAGTGAACAAAATAGGAGCTTGCTCTAAACAATTCTATGAAGCGTTTCCATGAATACAGAGCGTCCCAAGCATACGAGAACGGTGTTTAGCTCCTAAATAAAAATGTACCAAAGAAAACTATCTATGGGTTATTAAAAGTACACGGTATCCGAGAGCACATTTTTAAAATGCTCACAATCATTCGTGAGCTTAGAAAAATTTAGCGTGATGTGAATATCAAGGTTCTATCAATCTTCTTCCTTAAAAAGGGCCTATCGGAGTGTGTAAGAAAAAGTAGGGCCTTCCATTTAAAACAAATATTTTTGATGTGGGGCAAAATTGAGACACCCTGATAATTGTGAGTATTTTAGAAATGTGTCTTCTGATGCCATGTAAATCCATAAATAGTTTTTTTGATACGTTTTTATTTAGGAGCTATATTCCGTCCACGCTTCATAGGATTGTTAAGAGCCCATGAGAAATTTTTATCAGGATGCTCTGGATAGCTTATCCCCAAGTTCACCGGGGACTGATTTCCGTAAGGTTTGTGCCCCCTACTTTAGTACCAACCTAGAATCCAAAACTAAGTGCAAATCGAAATTTTCCAAGACACAGGCTAACAATGTTAACCAGGGATCCGGAAGTCATGATGAAATTTGCAACATTTTGCCCGATCATGTCAAAAAAATATAGCTTCATGACAATATTCAAAACTAAAAGTATACAATTTTTACTAAATTTACCATATTATGCGGCAGTTAAATTCTTTTAGGAAACTTTTATTAGATGTTTTTTGCATTTGCAAGAGGAATCCCACCAAACGCATAGAACCCAAGTTGGTGTTGATAGAACCTGATTTTTGACAGTGTCGCCTTTGGTAGTACTTTGTTCCTGAACCAAATCGAAGCCGGTCCTATCACTCGATCAAATCCACAGCGCCAGCGTACGACTACGATGTAAATACGCTAGTATGCAACCTAGTCTAGATGCCGGTAGTGTATACCCTACTCCACGAGTATCCATCACGCTTTGACGTCTACTGAGTTGAACAGTTGATCAGCAAGTGACATTTTTGTGTTAGTCTGCAACGTTGGCAATAATGGATCAGGTATAAATCTAGTAAAACTTATTTGTGACGTTTTGTTTCTGTATGAAATTAACTTTTCTAAATAAAAGAGCTGTTAGCAAATACAAAATTTATCTACAGCGTACAAAAAACCAAAACAAAATTCGGCTGTGTCTACCTGGCGTTGACGGATTCGTCAGAATTATGGCTCCTGTGCCGATATAGAAAATTTTGAGATATTACTAGATAATCAGCTGTCATTCTACCGTGATGGATAGTCGTGAAATAGGGTATAGGTCAAGAAACCATTACATTGGTAACCGATTGCTGTCCAAAAAACAAAAAAATAAATGAACAGTCATACACCAATAGCGAACTAGTCGTCATGCTGTTAATTTACGGTGAGTGTCTTCAAAATGCGACCGAGGCTTCGCGGGTGTATGCAGATCGTTTTCCCCGACGTCATCATCCAAGGCCCCGTAGACTTGTTTACTTTGTGCAGAGACTCAGGCATACGGGTCGTTTGGAGGAATGTCGAGGTGGGCACAGTGGGAATCCTAGACAACCCCGAATGGTGCTGCGGGGGAAGTACTGAATCTCGTAGACGAAAATCCTTCAACAAGCACTAGGGACGTGGCTAGACAAGTGCAAGTGTCGAAGACTAAGGTGTGGCAAACGATGCATGATGAGCGATTGTATCCGCTTCACGTGCAACGAGCACAAGCCCTCCAAGCTGAGAATTTTCCTGTAAAAGTGCGGTTTTGTGAGTGGTTGTTGCACCAACATGACAAGAATCCGGACTTTTTGAAGTGCATATTAGTCACAGACGCATCCACGTTCACGCGTAACGGGGTGAATAACTTCCGCAATATCCTCACGCTGTCCCTCGGTCACACTTTCAACAAACATTTTCTGTGAATGTTTGGGCTGGCATGGTGAACGGCATACTCACTGAACCATTTATTGTCCGAATCGGTTGGATGGGATACAATACCTAGACTTTTTACAGAACATTTTACCCACCCTGCTAGAAGTTGTGTCTTTGAGTGTAAGACAATCAATGTGGTTTCTCCATGACGGTACACCGCCCCATTTTAAACGCGAAGTGCGAAGACTTTTTTCTTTGCTGTGAAATGAAACGCTTGGTGTACAAAACTGAGGTGCACACGGTTGACGAATTACGTCTAATAATAGAGCAAGCTTCTGCATTCATTCGGGGAGGGGACTCCACTCTAAAAGCTTGCACCGATGCTTGGCTCCCTTGAGCACGCACATGTGTTTTTGAATGCAACGGCGGTCACTTCGAACAGTACTTGTAGTCTAATCACATTAGACAAAAATACCCCTGTTTGCGAAATAATTGTAAAGTCTGGTTTTATTGCTGCACGTTGTTCAAGGGGATATTCAAAACATGGACGCATAAATTGGGTACACCAATTTCTGTGGGTAAACTTTTTATTCGACAATAAAGAATGAGAAAACGTGTTTTTGGGATTCAATTGAAAGTGTTGGCAGGAACGAAAAAACTCTTAATATAAGATTTTTAGATATTTATGAGACCTACAAACTGAGACTACACCTACAAAGATCCGACTAATAGCAAAAAAGGTATGGCCCAAAACCGAGGCAAAACGGCGGTTTTGGGCCATAATTTCTAATTGTTTATATAAATGTGTATAGTAACGTATGTTTTTCGAATATCGTAGCGCATTTGTTCAATTACTCACAAATACGAAATGTTTGAATTTGTTTAGAAAAAAAAACGTAACCTTTGTTTTTCGCATAAAAATAACATTTATCTTTTGGAATGGTTTGTGCTTCATATCGGCAAGGTAAACACGTGTGTTTTGCTATTAAATGTTCTTTGAACGAACCCTGTATATTGCTCAATGAACTAGTAGTGATGGTCGGAAAACAGGTGTTTTGGATAAACAATTAGATATTCTCAAAAAACTACTTGACCAATATAATCCAATTTTGTTGTTGCTATTTGTATGATTCCTACGGATTTGAACAATGGCAAGTAGTTCATTGAAACTATCGTCGCATTACCAACAAGTGCCAAAACCTGCATTTTGCCTTGTTTTTCGACCATAACACTTTTGCTATTAGTCGGATCTTTTTACGTGTGGTCTCATTCTGTAGGTCTCATAAAAACCTAAAAATGTTATATGAAGAGTTTTTTCGTTCCTGCCATCACTTTCGATTGAATCCCAAAAAACACGTTTTCTCATTCTTTGTTGTCGAATAAAAAGTTTGCCCACAAAAATTGGTGTACCCATTTTATGCAAATACGAAATGTTTGAATTTGTTTAGAAGAAAAAACGTAAACTTTGTTTTTCGCATAAAAATAATATTTATCTTTCGGAATGGTTTGTGATTTATATCGGCAAGGTAAACTCGTGTACTTTGCTATTAAATGTTCTTTGAACGAACCCTGTATATTGCTCAATAAACTAGTAGTGAAGGTAGGAAAACAGGTGTTTTGGGATAAACAATTAGAAATTCTCAAAAAACTACTTGACCAATATAATCCAATTTTGTTGTTGCTATTTAGAAGTATGAATTCTACGGGTTTGAAGAATTTCAAGTACTTGATTGAAACTATCGTCGCATTACCAACAAGTGCCAAAACCTGCATTTTGCCTTGTTTTTCGACCATAACATTTTTGCTATTAGTCGGATCTTTTTACGTGTGGTTATATGAAGAGTTTTTTCGTTACTGACGAAACTTTCGATTGAATCCCAAAAAACACGTATTCTCATTCTTTGTTGTCGAATAAAAAGTTTTCCCACAAAAATTGGTGTACCCATTTTATGCGTCCATGTTTCGAATACCCCCTTGAACAACTTGCAGCAGTAAAATCAGGCTTTACAATTGTTTCGGGGAAATTTACTAATATGATTAGACTATTATAAAATACGTTCACCAGGACAAAGTGACACCGACGTCATATTTTTGATCTCTTTTTTGTTACATGTGCTCCTCGGATTTTACGACAGAGCCGTACTTGGAATTTCAAATCAACTGAACAGTAAGTACTTTTTGATTTATTTTTATTTTTTGTTCGCTCACGTTTCATCACACATTAGTTTTGTTATATCAAGCGCAGCTGTGTCTGAAAAGGAAAACCCCAACTTTCCTGACACCCTGCTTAAAGATATTTCTTTACTATTTTCAATCAGTGACGTAACATGCTATCTTACCCGGATGATCTTGGTGACGGCGACCCCCTCAACAAGCTAGCTTCATAATTTGCGGCACACCGATGCGGGGACGGTACTGGTGTCACATTCAGGCTAGGGCCCCCTCCTTGTCGGCCCCCGCCGCTGTCTCTCGATGATGAGCCACTCAACATAGTCGCACGACGTTGCACGTTCACATTGACCACTGGTCGCATATATGTTGAGTAAACTGCAAGAAAAATATTTTTTTTATAATATTAAGTGGGATTTTTCCGCAAAAAAAGAAGTAATCAAGTACATTCTAGTATTCAAAAATGTGGGTCATGTTATAATGGCCCTTCTAAGCGGGCATTATTTTACTAACGGCTATACTTTTTGGCATTCCCGACCTATATTAATAATAATAATAATAATAATAGGCCTTTATTTTACCTGGCGGGTATCAGCTATGAAGCTGCTCTTACCACCAACCAGGGCTACACAAAAAATACAGTACAATTTTATTGAAAAAACAAATTAAAAAGCAGATTAAAAGAAAATGTAAATGTCACAAACACATACTCACAAGGCACTCATTAAACACATTGAAAGAAAGCTCGATACTAAAAAGGATGAATAGGTTAGTACAAGATACATATTAACAGCCTGATACAACAAAGACACTTAAAATTTATTCAAAAATTGAAACACTGTTATCTAAAACGAATTGCTTGACCTCCTCTGCGAAACTAAATTTGGAAAGTGTTTTTACACGTGATAGCAATCTATTGTATAAATTGGGAGCGATATAAGAAAATGACTTCCTAAATTGAGCAGTTTTATGATGTCCAGGGTGTAACCCACAAATCGTAGGTTAACGCAATGCATCTTCATACCTCAAACTAAGCTTACTATTAAGATATATTGGCGTCTTTGTCAACAGTGTAGTGTGGACCGGTGTCATTAAGTGAACCATCCATCTCTGCCGCATCGTAAGCCAATTTATTTCTCTTAAATGATTAGAAATTATCTCTCTTCTTGCTACACCAAGAGAATACCTAACACAACTATTTTGAACCTTTTGAGTCCTGTACGTCTCAGCCTGTGTCAGGCATGGACCGAAAACCGAATCACCATATTGCAGTTTACTCAAAATCAGAGAGTCTAATTTTCATTTTTTGAGGTAGAACAGATTTATGACTGTAAAGTGTTTTAAGTTTCGCGTAAGAGTTCTGAACGATTTTTGTGACATGATGGTGGAACGTTAGATATTCATCAAATATGATCCCCAAATTGCGTACTGTCGATTTATGAACTAGTGTTTCATTTTCGATACATAGATTCATTAGATTACTATCAAAATTACTGTGTTTGGATTTGAACGTAATGACAGCAGACTTTTTCGAATTAATGCATAGGCCGTGGTTCTCGAACCAGTTACATAAGTTGTTGCAGCTAACATTCTGTTTGCTCCGATATACGCAGAGGGAGTGAATGAAAGGTAAATCTGAGTATCATCAGCATACGAATGCACACGACAGAACTTGATGGAGTTAACTAGGTCTGAGACATACGACGTGAATAAAATCGGGCCCAAAATTGATCCCTGAGGGACACCTTTAGCCAGTTCCTTTTCATCAGAAAAACAATGCCCAACTTTGACCCTCTGTACGCGTGCAGTTAGATAGCTCTGGAACCAGGTAACTGATTCATGAGAAAATCCAAAGTAATGTGACTTTGCTAGAAGCATTCTATGATTCAAACAGTCAAATGCTTTACTCAAATCAATAAAAACAGCTGTTGTTACACAAGAACCATCAATAGCGCTCAGATAGTCGTCGCAAAGATCAGTTAAAACTGTAACAGTGCTGTGGTTTTTTTGGAATCCTCATTGTATATTCGGGATTAACTTATTTCTTTCAATATAAGCTAATACTTGTTCATGAACAATTCTCTCAAGTATTTTAGATAAAAGCGGTAGAACACTAATAGGTCTATAGTCTTCTGGATTTTGTGGATTATCATTTTTAGGTATTGGTCTCACTCTAGCTGCTTTCCATTTTTTTGGTACGCATCCACATTCTAGCGAAAAAATAATAATGTGCGTTAGAGCTTTCACACAAAAAGGTAGAACGTATGAAAATATATCAATATTAAGCCCATTAAGGTCTGTTGCGTGCGACTTGATTTCATTAAAAATTTCAAGAATTTTTTCTTCAGTAACAAGGTGAAGCTTGAACCGTTCAGTAACAGTAGGGATAGTATTGTGTAGATAATGGCTATATGTACTCTCATCAGATATTGCTGTCAGAATGGCAAATTATTGGAATCCTACTTAATGTAATGTAAGTAATGAACTATCGCGACGCTTACAATTTTGTCTTTTTTTGGCGGAAGGTGTATTTTTAGGCCCAATTTTTCTGTAACAGATGCCGGAACTTCAGTTGAACCCTACTTGATTTTACTCCTTGACATTATAAACAATAAAGCGCCAATTAGTTATAGTTAATTTATGACTGGCATGAGATCAACAGACAATCGTTGAAAGGTTCAAAACTTGGACATTGAAAACACCTCGTTTTATTGAAGGTTTAAGAACATATAACGGATTACCACTAGAAATGAAGATAGCGCCAAATGCAACAATATTCAAAGGGAAATTAAAGACTTTATATTTTAGATCCAAGTAATACGTGATTTTTATCTTCATGTTAAAATAATATTGTAGCTAAAAGCTATATAAACACCTAAACAGGAGTATCGAAAACCTTGATCTCTCAAAAAATTGTAAAATTGACCCCAAAATATTCTGACTACAATCAATAACCATTAAGAGCTGAAGGAACGAAATTTGAGCGACGATCTATTTTTTACTTCGGCACCACTAATGCAATTTTCAAATTGTACGAGTAGTAGCAATGATTGCCGGACATATACACACCACAACGAAAAAAGACTAAGACAATAAATGATCCATAACAATACTTACAATAGAAGGTCAAGAAAAAAATAGTCATCATTGTAACAGCTGTAGCAATCGTGTATCTGTAATTTTGCAGGAACACATACAAAGGTGATCTTCCAACGCCACACACTTGTCTTTGGATGTTGCCAGTTACTTTTACCAAGACCTGAAACATACACATTTTATTAGCTAACTACGGCACTCAATACTTCACTCTGGCAAAAGCTGGTGAGTTGGAGAAAAGACGACTAGCATCGCCTTCCTCGCTAACGAGAGACCTGGAGGTTATCACAGCTTCGGGACGCAACAATCTGGTGCTTTCAAAACACAGTACTGTACATTGACTAACAAGAGGCGCTCATCTGGCTTCGATGGATGGCCGAGTTCTACCAAACTGCCGTTCATTTCAGCTGGTTGGAGTCAAGATCACCGAGGACTTGATATGACAGGAACACATCTCGTCAATAGCGGCAGCTATGGGAAATAGCTAGTCTATTTCTTTAGGACTAAGAAGTACTTTTCTCCAAATAATCTTCTCTCTCTGTACAATACCCAGATAAGACCAAGCATCAAGTACTGCTCACATGTTTGGTATGCTGCCGCCGTGACTACACTATCCATGCTCAATGCTGTTCAGAGGAGGGTTGACCAACAGATCGATGACTCTTCGATAATGGACAGTCTCGGGATCCTTTCGCACAGACGAGCAGTCGGCGATCTAGCTCAACGGTCTTTGCTCCTCACAGCTCTCATCCACGATGCCGCCACACGATATGCCTGCCAGACAGACACGCTTGACTTTGGCTTCCCATCCTGATGGACTCAAACTTCGTCCATCCAGGACTAGTTGATACGACCCTTCTCTGTCCCTAGGGTATCGAGACTGTGGAACAATCTACCTGAGGAGGCTTTACCCAGTTCCACTAACCTTTGGTTGTTCAAAAATCGGATTAACAAAGCTTTTTTTCAGCTCCTGATAGCAGCCGCGGTGCCCTGGTATTTAGGGTTCTGCCTGCGCATATAGAGAGTGAATATATTGGGATTTTGATGCAAAAACTGCGATTATCACGAAGAATATCAACGTTATACGCTTAAAAAACTAAAATTGCACGTCAATTTTTGTGTTTTCACTACTTACCCTAATATGCTGTTTAGTTATTGGTGATGAAACTATGACCCCCATGGCATCTTCCATATCTGCCAACCTCCAATGATAATCAATCAACTGAACTTGGAACCTCATCGTAGTTTCATCGATTCTCTTGCCTTTATCCACATATAAAATACTGCTATCTGCCGGATAAACCTAAAAATACATTTAATAACATCAGTCTATCATCTTCCCATTGCATCATCTCGACAAGACTGAAAATCTCACCAACGGGGCAAACTAATATATTTTTGAATCACTGTTGACTGTATCTTGTTGTTAATATTTTGTTTTCCAATAATGCAAAAGAACAATATTACCGAACGTACAGTCACACACACACACAGTGCTTTGCTACTTATTTTTGAACGGGTCAAGGTAGCAAAGTGAAATTGGGGGCAATGGAATCGATACATGGATACTATATTTTAGCGTAAAATTTAAAGTTGAAAATTTAAAGATTTGTTTGTTTAAACAATTATTTCAAATAAATTACAAAAAAATTTTTTTCATCCGTCTAGTTTTTTTGATTATTCCGAACAAAAAAGTAGTAGTAACTTTTCTCTAAAGTTAACGATTTTCGAGTTATATGCGATTTAATGTATGAAAAACCCTAAAAATGGTTAAATGCAATGCTTAAAAACTGTTAAAAATAGTAATTTTTGAGTCGTCGAACATCCGCATTAATGTTAAGATCTTGCTCTACAAGACCCCGAAGAGTATTTTAAGATTAGTTTATCTTGAAGCAATTTTTAAGCTTGTTTGTTAAACCAAAAATTGGCGAAGTTTTCATTTTCGCAGACTGTACAAACATGAGAAATCAAAACTTCACGTTTCTTTCAGGCGAGGCAATGTGACACTGCTTAGCAGCCTCTCTCGTGCACTTTCGATTTCTTATCTCCGTACATAACATCTTTTAACAACTACGCTAATCTATTTTTTTCTGTTGTAAGACTCAGGATTAAGCATAATGTAGGTGTTGACCTACTAGCTTAGGGTTGAAGTATGAGGTTTAGAATAAAGATCTAGTTATAACCATAAAAAAAACCGTTCGAATAACTTGTCTTACCGTGATCTGATCCAATACATCCGGCAACCCAACAACGTTGAGTTCGCCCAAAAATGTACTTTCTGATAGCTGCACTTCCAAATCCGTATACACGCCAGTCAAAAATTTGATGTTCAGTTTCTTGGATACGGTGTCAAAGTCTGTGGTAGTAGCCCATATTGTGATATTGGTTTTGAGTACGGAAATGTCTGTGCCATTAACGCCGAGGTTTATCAACTTGCAGGCATACTGACCTAAAAAAACATTATGATGCTTTCTCAGATATTCCGAGCACTTAATTAAAGCTGCATTTTTAACGTGCATCGTGGTGGAGTGGAGCACAGAGCTACGTTAGTAAATTATGTGGTAATGTAATACCGTACACCGTAATGGAATGTAGATTGACAGATAAAATTTTACTCTCGAATACTGTGTAACTTTATTTTTAGAACGCCTAAGTTATTACAGTCATATAATGACACTTGATGACACTAGCCTGCTAATTTGTTTACTGCGTCTATTTTTGTATTACAAGAAATGCTAAGATAAAAGGTAGCATATCTATTGTGACAAATAAAATCTGTAACAATTCACGAATGCAGCCCAGGCAGGAAATGTGTTAGAGGAGTACCGTTAGATGTAAAAACGGGATCATCTAGGAAACGTTTAAAAAAACCAAACGTCCATAGGTCAAAAATAACGGAGAGACCTTTTAATAAATAGTATTTGATCTCATTTCGTAGAAAACATTTATTGAATACAATAGGCTACTTGACAATCTAATTTCATAGAATAAATAAGTGTTTCTTACAGTATTTTTAATAGCGCAAGATGGGTATATAAGACCTATTAAAAAATACATTTTTCATTTTTAATATGGAACGGTGAAAAACGATCATGATGTGACGTCACACAAAATGTAAACAAAGAAACGACATCCGTGTGTCTCTTGTGGACTGAAGTTTAATTGAAATATTACCAAAAAACTCCTAATCAAAGTAAAAAGGTATTGTTCTGTCGTGTTATTAAGAAAAACAATCATGGACGCTGGATTCGTAAATGCAAAAAGGACAAACTTGCCGAAAATTCACATATTAATGATTGGCAATTTTTTTGAAAATTGAAATTTTTAAAAATGGTTACCTCTTCAAAAACATGTTTGTTTACCCTTAAAAATATTCATAAATTTGTAAGGCATACAAAAACAAACTTTAAGACAATCTGAATGTTGTAATTTTTTTTTACACATAGCACCCCAAAATTAAGTAGCATTACCTACTATGACCCACATAGATTTACGTGTTGTAGACATCGCAAAACAAAAAACCTTTATCCAAATTTCTAAAATGTTCATATTCACAGTATAGTTGTCTTTTGACTGAGAAAACTTTCTGCAGATGTCCACGGTCAATACGACGTCTGTAAATTAAGTGATGAGATTGGCAACACTGGAGGCGCCGGGCTTCTAGGGCGGCAGGGGAACATGTGACCTGCCTCCAGTACAAGTTTGAACACGAAGCGGAAGGCCTTCATCTTCAGGAGCTGATGAAAATATCGACAGAATCCGAGATTTTGTGCGTTCAGATCGTCGGTTGACAGTCGGAATTATTAGGAAAGAGTTGAATTTGACTCACATCACCGTTCATCAGATCAAGAACAACTGGGTGTTGCATAACGATAATGCTCCTTGCCACACAGCAAAGTCAATAAACGAGTAAAAACATTCCTGTGACTCCTCAGCCTCCTTATTCGCCTTACTTGTGTCCTTATGACTTTTTTCACTTCCCGAAATTGGAAAATCACCTCAAAGGAACTCATTTTGGGACAGTCTAAAATATTCAAATGGCTGTAACCAACCAGCTGAAGGCTATTTCACACTATCAACACTGTTATAAGGACTGGAAGAACCGTCTCCAGCGCTGTGTGGCTTCAGAAGGAAGTTATTTTGAGCGTGAAAATATAAAATTGTAATTATATTTTAATGAAAAAATTCTTATCACTTAATTTACAGACCTTACCTGACAATTCGAATTATTCAAATTTTACCCTCCACTTGGGATTCGCCACAAGGTAGGTGCCCCACCCCCCTACAAATTTTGAAATGGGTCCCTGAGAAGCAAGCTACGCCACTGAAGCACTTCTTGATGCAGCTTGGCCAAAGCCTGCCAAGGCTAGAAAATGATCTTTAATATTGAAATATCTTGAACATCTTCGATTTCTGCTAAACCTATCAATGCACAGCCATCACTGTCAGTGTCCGTTAAAATTAATAACCGAGAAAAATTACTTCGGAATGGTACACGTTAGAAATACAGCTTGAGGTCGAATAACATTTCGAGTTGGATGGATCGCGGCACATAAGATGATTTTGGAATGGCGGTTTTAAGGACATTTTTTTATCTGAAAGGACTTACCAGTTTCTGGCACCCAGCTGTTAGTAATATTGAATAGATGATTCAATGTAACTTGTAAACTCTTGTTCGAAAATTCCGCGAAACATCTGAAACCAGTTGGTCTCACCAGTTTTCTAACATCTGTTCTGCACCTCCATCCTTGAATCTATAGAAGTAATGATACATTATTTTGAACATACAGGTACACACGACATAGTTGCTTAAAAAACACCAGTTACGTCTATGGTTGTATATACTTTTAATGTCGTAGACTACTTACCAAATTATTTGTCTTTATTCCGACACTTCTTTCGCTTTGCAGTACTAATACAATCCTCTCGACTGAGTATTTTTCACCATTCGTCAAGACCATGGCTGGGTCGTCCAATAATTCAATTTCTTGCACTGGATATATGGGTATGGTAATAGGCGCCGATTGCAGCAATGAATGGGTCAAAACTACGACGCCCTACAGAAAAAAAAAATGGCGTCAAGTAGGTGGCTCTGCACTTCCCACGCTACGCTGTCGTCAGTTCACAAAGGATAATTATTATAAGAAAATGCTATCAGAGCCAAACAGGCCAAATAATTAGTTTTTCCCTGTCCTTACGGAAAGTATCGTCCATCCGGCATCGCCAACCTTGCTATGTAGGCCAGCTCGAGCAGTGTGGCTGTGAGGCGACAGGATTTTCTGGGCGCCGGGACAAGTTCGTAGCGTACAATAAGTGCAACCTAGACGCGACACTTCTGTTTTATGTTTCTCCAGGTTTTAAGAGTAACTGTACGGAGAAGTATATGTACTAATAGCTGAGTAGAATTACCGGGCTGGAAGCGTATGAATGTACTACCAACAAAAAAAAACCACCCCCTACAACCCCAACCCCCGATTTTTAACCCCTACAAAATATTTTCCGAAAATGATCAGGAGCCTCTGGATCGCCAAAGGAAGAAATTTGATCGATTTATATTTTTCTCATGCCTTCGCCTCTAGCTCCGCTGGCAGTGGATTAATTTTCAAAAATTACAGAGCTTTTTTGACCTTGGCATAGTAGTAACCTCGTGTGAAAATTTCATTCAGATCCAAGCAATACTTTCCAAATAATAGATGAGCCAAAGATTGGTGGACAGGCCGATGGAAATAAGCGACATTGTTTTTCGTGGTGGATACAACATAATATCTCATTTTCGAAGGGTTTCGCGATTACAATACTTTCTCACCGGAAGGCGTGGGAAGTAACAACAATATACATTTATTTCATACTTGGTTTCAGGGCAGTAGAACTAAGGGCAATATTTGGAAGACACCTTTATCTGTGTTTGAATATTCTTGAACCCTGTAGATACAAATGTAAGTAGTTAACGTCTCACCTCTTTATTTCCAACAAACCCTATGTCTAACGCAGGATTGATGCTTATCAAACTCTGGTCGCTGCTTCTCCATGTTCCTGGGATATTGTTAGATGTCACAACAGGCGTCCAGAGACATACAACGTCGCCACTGGTCAAATGATCTAGGATCGGTCGAACTGCCTGTTCTACATTCAACTTGACGTAATCAGCGGTTTGTTGGATACCTAAGAAAATAAATTATAGATAACTTCCTTATTCAAATCCACCTTTAACCATACAGGATGTTTCCTAATTGAAGGTCATTATTTAAGTGAGCGATTTATAAATCAATTTTAAGAAGAAAACGTCTTAGCTTTTGAGATACAGGGTGGTAAAGTTTTCAAAAATAATGTAGCGCTCTGGTATCTAGTAGGGGTGAGAGAAGATAGCTTTTACGCGTACCTTGGATAACTCGTTCTAGTTCCAACTAGATACTTATTCCAACAACCTATTCCAAAGGCAGATCGGGAACCTCTGTAATGCTGGTTGCGTATAGGCTAGGTATCTGGGCAGTGAAGAGTGAAAAGAAATTGTTCTTGTTCTTTTTCAAATTTGAAGATTTGTTATAGTTTTGCTATACGGATTAAAATGAATAAACACTCAAGGATAGTGAGGATTTTTTTCATTGTACGAAAAAAGCAAACTGTAATTTATGTAAGGGGGACGGGGTGAGTATCGACGATTACATACAATTTTCTTCGTGACAGCTATATTGAAAGACTCCATATTCCTCTTATTGAAAATTATTCATTCTCACCCGTATCAACTTTTCAACCTTCACATTTTTAGATTTTCCAAATGACAGAAAAGGAAATCCAATAACCTAGGAAAACAGATCGAGAGGTGAAAATGCTAACACCTAAAGACGGTGATCGACAAGTATATAATTGTAAGCACAAGTGGTTAGAGACTACGATATATCTGCTTATTTTCGCGCAGGGAGGGCTTTCAATAAGATTGAGAATATTGTAGAATATGTTATTCAATAATGAATTGACAAAACAAATTGTATGGTAATAAAGTACCCTACGTATAAATTACTCACCGTCCGCCCAGGCTTTGAGCATAGTATGACCTTCTTTCTTTGTATAAATCCACACTGAAGCCTCTTCATGGCTTTCCGTCACCTTCACCAAGTCACAGCGACTGGTGCGAATTTTTAATTCTTTCGGTCCTGCGCTGAACTTTTGGCCAATATTGTCATGGAAACTGGCTTTCAACTGGAACGCAGTACCTACGAACAAAATATTCGACATCGAATAGGGCACATCAAACACCTCGTTAATATGTAGGGAACGGCACAATCTTTATCATATTAAATTATTTATTGTTTTTCAACCTTATTTAATACACCCATCCCTATGAAAGAACCAATCATCAAGCCAGCGTTCCCATTGCTCCTTCCAAATAAAATCACGCAGCGTCTCTTAGCACGTATTTAAAGTGAAAACTTACCAAGAGGTAATGTCCTTGTAGGACTATCCGAATGTATCCTCCAATCTGCTAAAACAATCAGATTCATGTAATGGATCGGCTTGACCTCGACTGTCACGGCTAACTTTTGTTTCAATCCCAACTCATCTTGAGCTATGACCATCAACATTGTGTGACCCAAAACACCGTAAGATTTCAGAATTCCAGTAGATGACAGAGTCACTATAGCATCGTTTGTGTGTGACTTGTCAGCCAATAATTCGGTGGAGGCGTAAGTTGAGTCCAACAGTCTGTAAATTAATTACAAAATTTCACTGCAACTTTGCATTCAAAATAGCTTTTTCAGTGGAAAATTTGAATGACGCATCAGCCTTCTACAACAAAATGCGAGCTAAACGCTAGATACACACTTGATTCTTTAGCAATTACATGAAAATTTCATCTAGAATTACTTTGTAGTTTTGTATTAATGACCGTTGATATCAATTCAAGCCATAAATTCTTGTATTTGGACACTTAAACCGTTTATCAACAATAAAACGCTTCGGCGACTTTAAACGCCATTTTCAGGTACATGTGATTTTCTAGATCTAATCCCCTGTCTGTAAATTAATCGCATAATTTCACTACAATGTTGCATTCCAAATAGCATTCTCAGTATAAGCTATGAATTATGCATCTTCCTTCTGCAACAAAACATTCGAGCAAGACCCTAAAACCAAATTTGTCTGACAATTTGAGTACAATGTGTACGAGAGAGAAGCCGAGAAGTGTGTATCAATCAATACATGCTAGAACGAGATGTGAAGCGGGCTGAAAAGCGAAAGTCATCACCATGATGCCTTGCGAGGGTGACGCAGAAGGTCGTGCAATTTGCCGTGTTGACAATATGTTATACCAGAAAATGTTCGCACAGACTTATACAATAGGTTAGGTTACTGCCAAACCCAAGAATGAGGTCTATTCGAACATTTAATTCAGTATTTTTAATTCAGAATAATCTTTGATTTCCACCGGTTTTGATAAAATCAACACATCCTATGTCTCAAAATCTAACAAATACCATTACGCGATACAAATTATCACTGCTTGCGTGTACGCAGGTGAAAACCATTTTGGAAGCAGAACGATACTACCCAATAAGCGCTAGATGGGTACTGACCAAAATCGCTATTCTATGATTATGGAGGTGAAAACCTTGCCTTGAAATGTACGAAATGCGGTGTTGATAAGCGAATCAATGTTGCAGAATTTGCACCGGTCCTGACCTTGCAATTCGACCTAAAATAGAGCGCCATTAGGACCGATCTGGAATAGATCCTAAATCGATTCGACACAATTCACAATTCAAAAATGTGTACGATCAAAATAAAACTATTATTTAGGCGTAGAGAATAACGCATACTTTCAACATCCATCTCAGTTCAAGCCGGCTCCTATCTCTTTCTAACATATGAGCCTATACAAGCTTCTCTCGCACACACTAAACTCAAGCCGTCACACAAATTTGGTTCTCAGTGTATAAGTTGATTTTTTAGCAATGTATAAAAATATAAGTGTTGCATTTAGAATTACTTGAATCCTCTAAAAAGTCAGGCACACAAATAATGGTAACTACTTACATCATAAATATCCAAGTTAAAAAAAATGCGAACGAGTTTTTCAATACGCAAATGCCATCTAACCCCCGCTCTTCGATTTTCAATCCCCCTACTCTTCAATGTTGAATCGTCGCACCCACCCCTCCCAGCTCATCAATTATTACTGATGCAGCAACCGCCGACACCCCTTCGCTCTACAGTTTTCAATCGGCGATATCCCTTCCCCGAGACGGGTATTGTCCTGAACATCAATCGTGCACGCCCCTCACCCCTCAGATTTAATTTCAAATTCACAATATGGATCTCTCCCAAAAATATTTTCTAGATCCGCCCCTGACTTAGATAGGTAGAGAGATACTGTATTGATCCTTAAGATCTTCTAAAAAAATGATGATGCTGGCTGATACATACATACAATGTACACTTCATTAAACGTAAGAAAACGGACCCTTGCTATGTTTGTTGTATAGAAAAATTCCAGATGTACAATCACTGAAGCATATTAGGGGCGACACAATAAAGTTAATATTAGTTAATATTGCGATTCAAAGTATAAAAAAGAAAGTACTTTTCTGCTACATTAGTAAGAACATAAAAAAACTTTGGATAACCACTGATTAAAAGAAAAAACGCCGAGACACGTCAAAAGAGTTTGTCAAGGGAGACAACTTTATAACCAAAATCTACTTCACTCCCTTTCACCTTCTGCCCCACAGGGTCATCCCCCTAAAAATTTCAAATGACAAGGGGTATCGAGTAATAGCTTGTTTAAAAGGTTTTTCAAAGTCCTTTATTTTGACGTTTGGTTTTTTAAAATCAGTCGATTCGTTTTCCAGAAAATTAGAAAAATCTTTATCTTAATTTGTTCAGATAGAAAAAAACATGAAAATATCACTTTTTATTTCAATAACCGTTCAAAATGTTGCCCGTTAGAGTTTGCCAACTCTACAATTCGTTTATAATTTATAACGGAAACTACCAACATGAACAGCAATTCGGAAGATTAGACGTGACAACAACCAAACAATACCCGAATTTTTTTCCGCATTCTTATCATCAACACAGATATCCTGGACGAACGGTATTTATGTTATACCTGTTTAGTTATTTCTTGCTAAGGGAAAGAAAGTATTTAATTTGCTGTCAGTTACCTTTGTGACAATCTTGGGATAGTGAAAATTAATTAATTGATTCAGATTTTACTTCCAAAATTGTTTACTCACTAGCCGAAAGAGTGAAAATGATTCTAATTTATGGTGGCCAAAATCAATGTGCTCGGCAAACTGCCGTTACGTTTAACGCCACACATACGGGGAAGATAACTTTGCATAGGTATATTTTGGACCTTGTTACTAAATTTGCTCAAACTAGATCTGTTGCAAATAAAAAACGTAATCATCAGAGGGTTTTGGATGAAGCCGCTCAAATTGAAATTTTGGGTGATTTTGGAATAAATCCTAATACTTCATTACGCAAAATTGTTGCTGCGACTGGTATTTCATTAGGCTCTGTACACACAGTTACTAAATTCCATAAATATCATCCATTCAAAATGAAAATATTGCAAAGAGTTAACCGAAGGTGATTTCGATAGGCGAGTTGAGTTTTGTGAATAAAAGACTGCAGCAATTAATGATAATACCATTCATGTAAAGAATATCTGTTTCAGTGATGAATGCACATTTTATCTAAATGGATAACTGCAGGTATTGGAGCAATGAAAATTCTCATGCTTTTGTAGGAGAGTATACGTATATATACCCAGTACCCCCAAAAAATTAATGTATCGGCAGGCATTATAGGCAGCAAAGTGACTGGGCCATTGTCTATTAATGGAGATATTTATTTGGATATGTTGGAAAATACCATCAATCCGCTTATCACTGAAACCATTGAAAACCAAATCGAAGAGGATGTAAACAATATACTTGAAGAGGCTGAAATGTTTTTCCAGCAAGACGGCGCTTCTCCTCACTATGTTCATCCGGTTCGGCAATGGCTAGACGAGGAGTTTCCAGATAAATTGATAGTGCGAAGAGGGCCTATAGAATGGTCTGCTAGTCTCCTGATTTGACGCCATTAGACTTTTTTCTATGGGGCCATTTGAAATCTATTATGTTTACTCCCCAACCTGAAAGTTTGGACGAAGTTCGTCGGCGCATCATAGAAAGCTGCCATGATAACCTACATTTTTTTGAAAATGTCCATCAGAAATTTGAACATCGCCTATATCATTGTTTGGCCAATAACGGGCAACATTTTGAACACTTATTGAAATCAAAAGTGATATTTTCGTGTATTTTTGTTTTCTATCTGAACAAATTAAGATAAATAAAGAAGAGGAAAAACGTCACAATAAAGGACTTCGAAAGACCTTTCAAACAAGCTATTACTCGATACTCCTTGTCATTTAAAATTTTAGAGGGGATGACCCTGAGGGGCGGAGTGTGAAAGGAGGTGATGTAGTTTTTGGTTAAAATCAAATCTTTTGATGTGTCTCGTTTTTTCTTTTAATCAGTGGTTTTCGATAAATTCGTGGTGGGAAGTTTTCAAATGAATACCCTGTATAAATAGATAAAGTATATAAATGGACAATCATAAAAGTACATAAAATCGAAACGCTTAAACAATCACATTTCAGATAGGTTTAAACCATGGTACACAAAATAAATTACATAAACATTATTGATAATTTCAGTTTATTGTCAAAATTCAGATTTTATGTGCCACCAAGAATGTTAAGACGTAATAATGTTTATTTTCATGTTATGCCACCTAAATCAGATCTGATAAATCATTCTCCTGTTTTTTATCTAAACTATGTAATGAGCACAGTATTTGGCTTGATATGTATAATTCGAGTAATTATATTGTTAGAAATTTATCAAAGTCTATGTTTACATTTGAGTAGTCTTTTGATTTTGTAATATTTAAATTTATGATTTCTATATTATTGCATTTCCTCATTTGAACATCTGTATTAAATTTCGCAGATGATTATGTTAATCTCAGATGATTGCCTTATATACTATTATATGTTACTGTTACCACGTATGTAGCGCCACTTACGCGACGTTTGCGGTGCATTTTTCTATTTATATTACACATGTACAATGGGTTCGCCCGTAAGTTAAATAAATAAATAAAAACTTAGTTTACGTGAAAGTTATCTTCGAATTTGATGTATCCAGATTTGTCATCAATTGGAGTTCCGAGAAAGGTGCCAACAGCAGATTGGCTCCTTTGACTTCTTTTGGATTGGTTAAAATCAGTTCTTGGATCACCTCAATTTCAATTGCAGCTCCCAACATTACAGTGTCAACATTCTGAATGTTCACAACAAAACCTGGCACCTGAAATGTCAGAAATAACTCATGAAATATATTTGTTGGAAATAGAAGCTCTGATGCTTTGACTGAATTCAATAAATAGTAGCGAAAATAGTACAAAAGCTAACCGTAGCATTCACAATAAGCCTAGTCTTTCCTGGCTGCAGAGCTTGCACTTTGATTGCTACTCTATCAGGTTTTCTTTTAAAAACTCCCACAGGATGAAATATGCCGCTCAAATCTACCATCAGTTTATCATCCACAGTCCATCTGCAACAATAAAGGTTTTTTTCCAGAAAAAATGATGGTAATAAAGCAGTGAAATTAACGAAGATGCGACGTTATTTTCACAAAAGCTTCACACTGATTGACATATTCTCTAAGATGCCCAACCATGCCGCAGCCATATTGCCAAGTAGAATCACAGTATATAATAAAAACAACATTTTCCTTTTACATGAACATTCAAATTGAACACAAGTAAAACTCAAGCTATGTTAATTGGTAAAAACAAATGTACAAATGTTTAATTAATTAATTCAATTCGTAGAAAGTTTAATATACCTTGGGATTTTCGTTGACTATCAATTAAATTTTGATATTCATTATGAGAAAATTATACACAAGATTAGAAGTAGAATATTTATCAAGAGTTTCTGGGCGTCAAGTTAATATAGTACAAAAATTGTCTATAATACTATCATTCTTCTAAATTTCTTGTACTGTTCGACTATTCTATATTTAGCTAATAATTTTATTTTTGGAAGACAGAAAATTTTACAAAACCAGCACAGGAGAATAATACTGAATAAATAAATATACTTACATACATTTATAAAGTAAAAAATAATATATGTATAAATAAAGATGACTATAATGTATGTTACAAATCTGTATTCCATCAATAATTGATTGAATATAATAAATTAAACACAGAGATAAAAAACCGACATACTTCGACAGAGGAATCACTTGTTAACTCTACAATTATGGCTTGTCCGGCATATGCGATATATGACATGACTTTACTAATTTGAAGTTGTTTATAGTTATTCCGGTTATGTAGACAAACGTGCTAAATAAATCTTTCTGCTGCTGCTACTACTACTACTACTACTACTAAAGGAAATATATGGTATTCTCAAAACGTCGCGATGTCGGAAAAGGAAATCTCATGATAGTTGGAGAGGTGGAAACGCTGGCGCCTAAATAAGGTGGTCCACGCGTATAAGCATAAATGATTATAAAATACAGAGATGAGTTGTGGAATAGAAAGTAATGTGAACTCATATACAAAACAAGAAAAGTGTACAGAACACGGATATACAAGCAAGAAAATATCCAATAATTGAGTGGACCTTGAGAGTATATAACTTTTTTGTTTTTAGAGATATATCTATAGTTTTTGCACTCTCTTGTTCCACTTTTCTTAAATTTTCATTTGAACTGATGAGAAAATGGCGAACTTCTCTATTGGGTATCTTCTGATAGAATATGTTAATAAATGATATGTACCAAATTCAGCAAATACCTGAACTCAATAGGAGGATGCATTACAGATCCCAAAACAATAGGCGAGATGTCGGGTACGCCCCATACCCAGAATGGGACAGTAGCGCCGACAATGAACCTTTGTAGCGGAGACATAATTTTTATACTTTTCAATTGGACCACAGTTATTTCTATGGTGTCCTCTGAGTAAACTACATTTTGGCCGGTGGTCGGATGTATTCCAATAGCTTGCGCGAAGATTCTGGATACGCCGAATGCTTTGCCTGTCATCACACCACGCTCTGATACTTCTATCACCTGCATAAAAAAGAAACAACAAAAGAATAATAGTTTTAGAATATTTATTATAGAGAAAAGAAATATTCCATTAAAGCTCAATGATCATGCCTTTCTTTAATGCCAAGATAAGGCATAGTTTGACAGTCTAAAGGTCTAGGTACCAGCACTAGGCTATAAAGTATCGGTAAAAGGAAATATAAAGTGGATTTCACAGTTACAATCTTTCGAGGTTATCTTAGGAGATATAGTCACCAGATATAAAGCAAATGAAAGACAAATATAGGAGGTCTAATAATATTTTCCTTATTAAATATCATTAGGTTGGATTAATTTTTACGTTGTTGCTTCAGTTCGCGGCCAGCGGAGAAATGCTTCTCTTATTAGGGCCGTCAAAGAAATGAATAATTTGTAAAGCCAAGTCACCAACCGTATTACGTAACTTAAAAAGTATGGGTATTTTGTAAAAACTCTAAAAAACCAATGAAATCTTATCTTACAGACTAGTTAGTTTTTAGTGTGCAAATATACTAAGTGACATATAAATCCGAACACCCAGTTTAAATGGTTTTATTTTAATAAAAGTTGGTGAATGTATTTATCTTACTGTAAATAACAAGTGAACAAATTTTCAGCCTTATCAGTTGGACATTCCGGTTTTTATACTGCTTTTTTTTAATTCACTAACGCTCTAAAAATGAATATTTCAGCCACAGTAAAGAATCAACGTTGGCGGATTTTGGTTCTTGGCATCCTTTACGATCGGTTACGATGCCTAGAGTACGGAGACCTGTACGATTTCGTCAACTTAGTGAGTTTGATAGGGGCCGTATAGTGGGACTTCGGGAAGCTGGACTTTCTTTTCGGGCAATTGCAGTTAGAGTGCAAAGAAGTGTAGACACTGTGGTGAGGTGTTGTCAGGCATGGCTTCAAGAAGGCCGTACGCAAAGAGCAAGGGCACTGGACGCCGCCGTAGAACAACAGACCGTGAAGATCGCCGCCTAAGATTATTGGCCTTAAGGGACCGTTTCTCCACTACCAGGTCCATTTCAAATGAATGGTTTGCAGAACACGGAAGACCTATTGGCATGCGAAGTGTTTACCGACGAATGAGAAGTTTTGGCTTGTTTTCATACCGGCCACACTGGGTCCTCCCTTAACTCGAGAACACCGACGTAATCGCCTTGAGTGGTGCAGACAACGGTCACTCTGGGATCAGGAATGGAACAGTATTGTCTTTAGTGACGAGTCTCGATTTTGTTTAGGCATGCACGATGGTCGTGCCAGGGTTAGAAGGCGACGTGGTGAAAGGAGGAATCCACAGCTTTTTGTTGAAAGACATGTTCATCACACTGTTGGAATTATGGTTTGGGGTGCTATAGCTTATGGTTCCAGGTCACCTTTAATCTTCAGCGTTATATCCACGAAGTTCTAGAACCCCATCTTTTACCCTATCTTGACACCCTGGCAGATCCAACTTTCCAACAAGATAATACCCGACCACATGTTGCAAGAGTCACAATAGACTTTTTTCAACATAATGATGTCACATTGTTACCATGGCCACCAAGATCTCCCGACTTATCCCCAATTGAGCACGTGTGGGATATGATGGGTAGGAGATTGCTCAATTTGCAACGACCTCCTCAGACTCTAGAAGCACTTCGAGAGGAGTTGGTGGTTGCCTGGAATGAGATACCACAGGAGGACATTGACCACCTGATCAGAAGCATGCCTAGGCGCGTTGGAGAATGCGTAGCACATCAGGGTGCATCCACACATTATTAAAGGTCAAAGGGCTTTAAAGCAGTGCAATCATTTTGAAATTTTTATCATTTACTTATTATGCTTCATTAAGTACTTATACAAAATTTTATTAAAATAAAACCATCTAAACTGGGTGTGCGGATTTATATGTCACTTAGTATAGTTCATTCCACGTTTGCTCGCTATGATCGGTTTTCGCTGACGTTTAAGCAATACGTAAAGTTGCATTTCACAATGAGTTTACAACAGCTTGTGCTAAGTTAACACCTTGTAGAAAAACCTACGTTATGTCACAAAAACCTACGAAATGTCAAAAAACGACAAAATGTCACTTTTCAAGATACGTAATATATATTTTACGTAATAACCTTGCGGGACCTTAGCAAGAAATTACACAAAGAAGCTTGATGAAAAATCAAGTTCATTCTAGGTTCTGAAATAAGGTTATGTTAAGTTAATATACGATTGTTTATTTATTGCTGATGGGTAAATCTACAGGCCTTTTACGAAAGGCGTTATAGTGCACATACAAAAATTGTAGTAGTTCGGCCAAATAGAATATTTTTAGGTATCAGTATTTAGAACTAATTGCGGATGCAAGAATTCCATCACTCTATACAGGCCTACCAGAAAAATTGAAGAATAACTGAGGATCTAACATCGCACTAATGAAACTCAGCAAACTATGTTTTGCTGCCTATACACTGTATTATAGAACTTCTAAGCGAGGAAAAAACAATGTTTAAGTAACGTTTTAAGATTGAAAATATTGGAAAAGTTGCCATTTGCCGCAATTTTTTTTTGTATTATTTTAAGTTATTGACTGCATTAATAAAAGTAACACTTACAATCTTCTATCAAGGTAGTATTCAGAGAGGCATTATTTGAGTCGGCTTCAGGTGATCAGAGCCAAGGATGACATATTTGTATCATATTGAAACAGGTCTGGTTTAACTTTCAGATTTTGTATAAATCAGTAGCCATTCAGCAATTGTGTTTACAATACAAACCTGTAAAAACGTGTGACAATTTTTTTTTAATATCCATTGCGGATCGCCTACAGTGCAATAGTCCTCCAAAATAACGATGAAATTAGTGTACGAAAAATAAATATTTCTAACAAAACCCTGCTAAGTTTTGCAAAACATAGAACATATATCACTCAGACAGATTTGTACAATAAACATCTCCATGATCAATGTCATATCGCACCTGGAGATATCTATATCAATGAAAATACCCATTACCCATTGACATATCGTCTCTCTCCATAGGGAAGCACCTAGGGGTACCATGAAGCCTAAATTCAAATAAAGCAATTATTGAATGCCATACCTTTGGGTTAAGAGCTTTGTAGAAAACGTTTGCGTCAGGTTGTGGACCTCCGTTTACAGAAATTTGCCATACGGATCCGATCAACATAGTACCGTTCCTTGGCGATAACCTCATAGGTTGGAATACCTGTAAATCCATTGGTGCACTGGTGACATCTTCATCAGAACCAGGTACTGAGAAAATCAGTTTTGTATTTCCAACCTCAACACCTGAAAAAAAAAAACGATATAGCATTGTATCCCTCCCTAAAAGCTATAAAAATTGATGATAACGTCAAGAGTCTTAGGAAATGACAGAGACATAAAATATACATACTTATGTTGCGGTTACTATGGATATGAATTCTGAAATTTGATAATTACTCTGTGCGCCTTTTCTGACATTTTCGTAGTCAGTACGTGTCCGACTCCCAACAACTATCGACTAATTTTGTTTCCTTCAAAGTTCTTTACGAAAGCTACTGTAGTTAATTGGTGGAAAAACAGAGGTTATCACTGCTTGGGGACGCCACAATCTGGTACAGTTTAATACTTCCAAAATATAGTACTGTACCTTGACGAACAAGAAGCGTCCTAGCGCTCATCCGGTTTCGACGGATGGCCGAGTTCTACCAAAGAGTCGTTCATTTCGTCCAGATCATCGATGACTTGATATGTCACTAAAACGTCTCGGCAATAGCGGCAGCTGCTGGGAAAAAGCTAGGCTATTTGTTTAGGGCTAAGAAGTACTTTTCTACACATGACCTCTTCACTCTGTACAAGGTCCAAATAAGACCTAGCCTCGAGTACTGCTCACATGTTTGACGTTCTGCCGCCCCGACTACATTATCCATGGTCGATGCTGTTCGACCAATCGATGACTCTTCTCTAACGGACAGTCTCGCGACCCATTCACACTGAAGGGCCATCAGCGATTTACCTCTATTCTACCAATATATCAACTGGCTTTGCTCCTCAGAGATCTCCTACATGATGCCGCCGTGCGATTCGTCTGTCATACAGACCAGCCTGACCGTATCGACCTTCGTACACCCAGAACTGGCCAATACGACCGCTCTTTTTTCCCTAGGGTATCAAGATTGTGGAACAAGCTGCATGCGGAAGCTTTCAATCCTTCAATCCTTTATTTTCTGGTATGGACGACAAAGGGGAGTTAGAAATGTTATTTGAATAGCTGCTGAACCGACAGCAAACATTTTTCGAGTATTTCAGGATACGTGTAATTGTAATGTGTATATGTATGTGTCACGTAATTGATAATGTAAACACATCAGAATAAAAAAACTGATAGTATTGAGTTCTGTAACAATTTTCTCCCATTTTTGCCGAGAAATATCTCTATTCTGGTAATTTTTGTCTTCCATCTACTACAGTGTCACTCTGTACACAAGAGCTATCAATATGTTCATCATGAAATAACCAATATGTATCAAAAACAGACACAGGCCATACGAAAAAACCAAAACTGTTTGAACGCTGAAACAGTTCTGATGACGGCGTGCACATTCTGGCGCGCTGGTCGCTGCAAGTGTAAACAGGGTCATTGGAAAACAGGTGTTAATTCGTACGAATTCTTCAGAACAAAATTTCGTCAAAATTCGCATCCTTAGATGTATGATCAAGCTACTCATTATTTAAAACCAAAGATGGTTTTGAATATAAAACAGATTTTACCAATAATTCAAATACTTGTAAAAAAAGTAAACTTAGATGACCTTCCATATGCTTGAAATATTGTTTACTGAGGACGTTTCAGCCACAATGGTGACCTTTTTGAAGTGGGAAGAACATGGAGGATTAACATCATGAAAACCACATGATAAGTTTAAGCCTTTACCATGCTGTTGAGTAGCTAAGAAGAACGAAACAGCTGGCCATGTTTGGCTGTCTTCTTTTCTGGGTCAAACGGATGAAAACATCTTGTTTAATAAGTTTCATATGTTACATAAACTTAGATGTATAATCAATGAAAATCAAAGATTACTTTAAATATAAATCATAGTTTTTTTATAGTTGACCCATCTCGAAGGCCTAAGGCCTAAACATCCGTCGGTACCGTGGGGCTTCAGGGGAAAGGGGGGACGTCACACACACGAGCGAGGGGATATGCACACATTCTAGCCTCGCCTCTGAGAAGAACAAAATTCTCTTGGGACGAGATTAGAACCCGCGCACCTCACGGCGACTGATTGGTAGACACGTAGGGTCTATCACTACTTCTCCGCACTGCGCCTATAATCTAGAAAACATTTGTAAACTGTCCAAAAATGTTGCTTAACTAGAACTGCCATGCATCCTAGCATGTTCACTTACCTGTGATGATGTAGTGGATCTCTCCGGGTCCCCAGTCCCCCTTATTATCATTGTCTGTCTGTATATTCCCTATTTTATTATCAAATTCCGGCCTTAGATCGATCATTGCAGGCACTATACTGTCAAGCAAGTTGTCATTGTCATCATAAAGCCTCACTATCGCCTTGATGCATTTTCCTACGAAATTATATAATTGTTAATAAAAAAGTTGATGAAGAGAGAATAACACCTCAGGTATCATTTCATTAGTTAAATCATAGGCTTCGTTATACCTATGTATGTGTACAGAAAGGGAACTCACCAATTTCAACTTTGTCCACCATTTCCACCCTAATCATTCCAATTGACACTACACTGACAGTTAAAGTGGCGGGCTTAGAAACCAGGCACAAATCGATAAGTTGCAGCTAAAATAATAATTAATATGAGATTACTTGTAGATAATAAGATAGTTAATTACCAGGCGAGGATATTTCATTAAATCTTCAGGCGGAATTTAATCTGTATCTAATGAAAGAAAAGCTGGTAAAAATTACTATATTTTTAATAAGGGGTAAAACAAAAGGTTTGTTTCAACAACAAGTTACAAACTAGTTCAGAAGGTAATTACAGTTGGCATTACAATGACCATAATTGAAGTAAATTTAAAATTTACCAAGTTTACATGTAAGAGAGAGAATTTATTGTTTTTTGGCATACTGTAGATTTAAAAAAAGGGTAAAACGGGATGGTAGATTTAACAACAGACGAGTATCCTTCGTCTTTATTAGAGCTGGAAAATTCATAATTTTGAATTTAGAAGAAGCATGATCCGCTAAAGTAGCAGATGAGGAAATTAATTTAAATGTTAACAAACTACTAATTGTTTTGAAAATAGAGACATATATAAGATTAATATTACCAACAGCATGATTGAAACAAATTCATTAAAACGATCAAAGCGTGCCTAGTTGATTTTCATGTCTGGTTCTTGGAACCCCTATAACCAGCTCAAGCTCTTCATATTACTCAAATCTGTTCCAAAGTAATCTTCAATGTCATTAATATGTGTAATAAATGGCACAATAAGCGGATCATATTAAGCTTTGATATATGACGAGGAAAGTTAGAAAACACACCAAATGGCAGCCACAAAACCCAACTTCCCAACTATGATCAGTTAAGCAACGCCATTTTTTAGTTCTCGCAGAACCAGAACTGTTCTGTTCTGAACTGATTCAGAATCAGTACGGAATTTGTTGGATCAGAAACCTGCCAGTAACAAAATCAGTTCCATTTTCTATTGAAACAGTAATTTCGATCTGCGCCTGCTATGTTCATTTCAGAAATAGTTCAATGATTTGTTGGAACAAAGCTATAGACAATATGGCAAATTTTAAGGATATCTAGCCAGTTTTCAAATTCGTTTGCTTAGGGTTGGTAACTTACAATTTGACTACACACTTTATTGAGAACCTGCGAATACTAAAATATGCTTCAGTGCATCGCTCTCAAGTATGAATGCAAATACGCGCTACTTACCGTCAATTCTCCAGACTTGACAGGCACAACTTCAATTTCCCTGGATGTATCCAGATATTTGACAAGAACTATATCATCGGCACTTAACGCCAGCTCAAAATATCCGGACCCCTGTTTAACATGCGCTATTCGTTTGTTACCAGGATGATTGAAGATATTCATATGATTTGGCATAATAACAGCATTGCCGACTAGATAAAGATTCAAACTTGCAGTAATTGGAGGTAGATTTTTATCTTTGTCTTCATCGTCCGTGAAAACGGGCCATTCGGTTTTGATGCCGTATTTCTTTATAACCTGAAATATCAAGAAATTTGTTAACCAGAGGCTTCTCTCAAGTAAAAAAGAATTTAATTTTCTAATAGTATTTCGTCTTTTAAAATGGTTCCCTGAGTAACCCTCGCTCGTGCCCTTCAATTTTTCATTTTTCATTTAGCCGGCCCTCAGGAATATGACAGAGTACTTATGAAGTGTCGTTTTCTCAATGGCCATATTGATTAGGTTTAATGTCTCTCGGAGTGTTTCTGTAATGTTCATTAAAAATGTCATGTAGTTCCCACCCATTGCTGTCATCAGTTTGTGAAAGGTCGCCACAAATTAGCCCTTCAGACAAAAGTTAGCATAAAAAAATTAAATGACTTTCCCTACCCCGGAAGGAAATTCAGGCGGGCGCATGTGATCGTTGCAGGAGCGGTGGTGGCCCAAAGCATGAATTTAAGTGAGAAAAGTGAGATTTTCAAAAAAGAAATGAGAAAATAGTGAGCAATAAAAACGGACAATATAAATAAGAATATTTGAAAAAAAAAACGAGGATATGTCTTATAAGGTCCTTGTTACTGTTTTATTGACGTAAGCAAAAATAATTATTTATATGTATGCATGTTTTAAGATCAAATACATACGATGCATAAAAGAAACAAACATAACAAATTTTTGCAAATATGGGACAGGTACTTATATCTATCAACTATTCTTGCCCAATTGACTGAAACTACATTTTAGCGAACTAGTTAATGTTAAAAAGTAGAAATTTAACATGGTTATTACAGATGAGTATTTTTTGCACAATAGTTGACTAGCTTAATCATCAGACCGTAAGATTAGAGAAATTATCATTAGGAAGTGAGGCTCTATTCGATGGGTTCCCATAGCCACTTCCTGGCTTCACCATCAGATCATTCTCATGTCATAATAGTATTGCATTGTCAATAGTCATACTAAACGTCCGCCATCCCTTTCATTTGATATCCATAATATGGGGGTGAATATGGAAATTATAAATCGATTTTTTGAGGCGGCCACCATATTGGATCTAGAATGACGTCACGTTGCTTACTGTAACTCTCTCATCAAGCCCTTTCAGTCGATAATTATATCGTAGGGGTAACTATACCTGTATAAATTATAAAAGCTATCATGCGTCGGTCAACATATTCGATTTGAAATGACGACACTTTGCTTACTGTGTTTTTCTCAAACCCTTTCATCTGATGCCCATATTATAGGGGTGACTATTGTGTTTCTCTCATCAAGCTCTTTCATTTGATATCGATATCATATACTATGGAAATGCTAAATCGCCATTATGTAGCATTCGCCATTTTAGATTCAAAATGGTGGCAGTAAATTCATTATATATTGTCACACGAACCTTACAGGGATACAAAATTTCAGCTCAAGTTAATTGGTTCAAAATTCTGTTTCAGGATTTGTCCCACACGTGCATACTAACGAACTAACATACTACTTACTACTACTTGTAAACGGCTTGTAAAAATTTATATTAAAATCCCAGCTCAAATTAAGGTAAGAGAAAATGAAAACGGTTCAGGGTAAATTCTTATGTTCTGTCTCTCTAAAAATACTCTGAATTCCACACTATCTAAGTAACATTTTATTAGTTGCCTAAATGCGCAACTTTGCATCCATAAACGAATTTGTATTGTGTTATTATTTCCGAATTTAAAATTACCAATGCATATATATGGAGTGCTTCTACCGAAGTTAAAATTAATATTCAATATAGATTCCAACTAACCCAGTAATTTCTCATATAATAAAAATTGGCTCAGCTTGGAAAGAACCTTGTACAAGAACAACTTTGTCATAGTTGACTTTCAAAAAAAAATTATCTTCATTTAATTTCGTGGGGCTTTATAGGAGGATAGCTCCAAAAACGTTCCTAAACTACAATATGTAGAGCAAGAGAGAAAACAGTGAGAAAAGTGAATGTTTTCAATGAAACGTTAGTAAAAGTGAGATTGATCGAAAAAAGTGAAAAGACTACCAATCCAGCGTGAATGACGATATTAGCCTTCACCATGCACAGTGCACGCATCCCACAGAAGTGAGGAAGCGATTGCCGACTATGATTCACGACCATCGACGACGACGATTGTCCATTGGCAGACGTCGTCGCACGTATCAACACTCGACTGTAGGAGAAGTTTTCAGAGTAAATGTACGGGGGCATGTACGATGAGTGAAATAAGTCTAATATGTGCGTAGAATTACTGCGGTTGGAGGCGTATAAATATTTAAAGTCAAAAAATTGAGATACACCAGCTCCCACCCACTGCAACCTCTAACTACCAAGTTTTACTCATACATAAATTTTTCCAAAAAAGTTCAGGAGCCACTGAAACGTTAAAAAACAAGCTATATGACCGTTAAATCTTATTTATTTACTATTTAACCGTATTTTGTTACATATAGGTTTTTATATTTAAGTTCAAAATGTATGACTATTCCTATACAATGTTTTTTGTCAAGAGGAAATAAATAAATATCTAGGTGCTGCTGAATCTTTAAATTTTCCCGGCAACAGTCAGTAACACTCTGTGTCTACCATTCGAAGCATCATATTCTTATAACAAAATTTTACTTACTGCCGTCTTGTATCCAACCACGGTAACGTTTAAACTAACTGTTCCTATTTCAACCAGCGGCGTAACAGTCTGAAAGAAAGTCTCCCCAATGGGCACGTCACCCACCGTGAGATTCCTGGGGAAGACTCCATCCTTATGCTTCACCTTAGCAACTAAACTCTCTTTCTTCGCTTTTGGTCCTCCGATCTGCCAGTCGAAGAGCAGGCTACTGACGTTTAGGAAGCGTTGACCGCAGTCATCGAAAACGTTCACTTCTAAGACAACATCATCGTTGGATTGGACGGCGGCACTGCCAGAATTGAGGTCCATCGGACATGCGCTTGGGTCTGCAATCTAAAAAAATAGATTAGGAATCTTATATGCATGTTCCAAGAATGGCTGTACTCAGAATTGTTTTTTATTTTGAAAATGTGTATGGTTCAAAATAAAATTTATAGGCATGTTCTAGCATGGATTAATACTTTCCAGCAGAATATATTCAATTCAAGTGAAAGGCGTGCGTGCGCGAAAATGGTCCTCTTCGGAAAAACGAGGCAATATTTCCAGAGTAGAAAGTACATCCAACAATAACAAAAAAGTTCATATAAGCATAGGTCCTGAAATGACTAATTATCAAGGGTGTTGTGCATTTCCAAGTTACTGATGAATAATAATAAAATGGATTTATTCACCTGGCAAGAAATCAGCTGGACTTGTTATTCCTTTCTAACCAAAACACCACTTGTTAGTCTAGAAGTTTCGTTTACAGTACTAACATAAATTATTGAGAATAATCAATACATAAGAGAAAGATTTTTTGAAATTACTTGTTCTGTGAACAGGGATATTTAATGAATGACCGATAAATTCGAGATAAGCGCTGTGATCTTGATTATGCATTGACGTTTAGGTGGGTTGAGTGCTTATTACAAATAACGGAATGAACCAAACAGCACAGACCTTTTTTTCATAATCGACCATGGAGGTTGCTGCAAATATAACGTGATACCTTCTCGCCGAAAAACTCATAACTGTACACATGGATTTCGAACCTTTTACCTGTAGCATTCATTTTGTGTGAGGCAAGGACCAAACATAGAATCAGTGTATTCTACTTTGCTTCGAATCAACACACCAATTAACCTAACTTTGACAGACTGAGAGGTACACGTCTGAAACTATACAGGAAAAACAGAATTCATCTGACGGCTCGAGTTCAATGTGTACGAGGGAGAAGCGCGACAAGTGTGTCATCACATGTTAAAAAGAGATAGAAGCCGGCTGAAAAGCGAAGGTCATCATCACATTGCCTAGCGACGAGGACGGGGGAGGTCGTGTAATCTGCCACGTTGCGACGTGTTGCACCAGAAAATGTTCGTACATGCTTCTACAATAGGTTTGGTCCCTGTCAAGCCTAAGAAGGAATACTTAATATTTTGTTTTCATATTGATTAGAATTATTTATTTCAATTTTGATGGATTTCTACCTTAATTTATTTTAGAATTAGCTTTGGTTTCCACCGATGGTGATAAAATCAACACATCCTGAGTTATTGCTACATTTTGCGAGATCGAGCGGTCGGCAAATGTAAAAACCATTACGCAATACAAATTATCACTGCCAGCATGTAGGCAGGTGAAAACCATGAAGAACGACTCTCCCCAATAAGCGCTAGATGGGTACTGAAAAAATCGCACAACTATGCTCATGGAGAGGAAACGTTGCCTTGGAATGTACGAGATGCGGTGTTTCCAAGCGAACCAATGATGCAATGTTGCAGAATTTGTGGCGATCCTGACCTTGTATCTCTTTCTAACATATGTATGTACACACTACTCTCTCGTACGCATCTCGCGGCCGTCAGACAATTTTTTTTCTGCTTTCAATGTGCCATATAAGCTTTATACTATTTTTGTTACATGGTCCAGCTCCAGCGTATTTTAAAAATAGAACTGGGTTAAAGTATATACGAATTTTACTTCAAATGGAGTAGTCTGACTAAAATTCCCCAAGAGACGTGATTAATGTAGAATTAAACACTTTATTCAGAAATCCAATAAATGATTAAAAAAATCAGTGGCGTAGAAAATAAGTGTCTTTTCTTCAGTAATGGTCAAAGTTTCCCTCATTTCTACGCCACTGCTGTAGTCTAAGGCACCAACATTTTTGCATGGTTTGGCTGTGCTGTTAGTAGTGAATAAAATGTTGAGTCAATACCTTAAAACACTCGGTAGATATATATATTTTTTTTCGATTTCAAGATTGAACACGCTGGCTCCGTGTGTATGAGTACTGTTTATGTTATTTTTTTTATCAACGTTAAGCCCTAGAAATATTGCGATATTTTCCTGAAATCTATTGAATTTAAGGGTCGCAATACCGTTTAAAAATAATCTGATATAAAATATACCTAATATTTCCGACGTATATATTTCAATGGTAAGACATTAAGAGACTGTAGAGCCTCAAGCCATGTCTTTAAATTGTACCTCATAGGCTATATTCCAAAAATTTCCTGAATTACCTGTAGAAGTGGCTTGATAGTGACTCTTCTGGGTTTGCCGCAGGTTACTCTGGTTGTCACTGTGCTGGTTTGTGCTTTACAATTGGACACAAGTGGAGTATTGGAAATCATCAGTTTGATGTCTGTTTCGCCTATTTTCTTACAGAGAACTCGTACTACTGTGTAGTCTTCAGCTGGCATTTGATGAGCACTTGTTATCTCAACTGCTGTTGCTATTTTTTCATCTTCACTGACAACAACCTGTAAACAATTAAGTAGATCTGAGGTTATTGCTATCCTAAGGGTCATGATTTAAAAAATATCCGAATTCAAAAACGAAACTGTTGCGAATCTTATATGGAGCAAAAAGAGACTGTAGATACACAAGCATTTTTGACCTTTTGAAATTTTTGACTTTATTCAGTTTCTGAAGTCAAACGTTTTTTGTCGCCAGTTGTTACAAGCAAGCAAAACCCTGTTCACTTGGAGAACTTGACACGCTGATTTAAAAAATGACGTCAAGTATGTTGACTCTGCACTTTATGAGACATACCAAGCTCACCTACTCAATTTCATTTTTTAACACACTCACCTTGGAATGATCGCTCGCTCTCCCCAACATCGGCCTCGGCCCACCACTATATACCACATTTATAGTGGTACCCACTGCAAGTACTATCTGCCTCTTAGGCTGTACCTGCACCAGCTGATTATACGCGGACACCGTAGCGGAATCTTCTAACTCCATGCCGTCAATGTAGTACGACACGGTGACCTTGGTGGTACCCACTTCCAGGGCTGTCATCGCGATGTTCGCGCATGAGACTCCAACTGGAGGTAATACCGAGGTTTTGTTCTGTCGAAACTTCGCGTCGCTTTGCTTGATGTGGAATGGGAGCTCTTGACATTGGGTGAATGGAAGTTGGATTGTGACACCATCCTTTTCCTGAATAACAAAGAAATAAATGTTTCAAGTTGGGTAACTATAACTTGTAAGGTAACAATTCGTTTTTCAAGTTCTGATTAACCAACCAGTAACTGTTGATCTGACAATGCTGTTTCTACGTCTGAACTATTATGTTTTGTACGTTTCATGATGCTAGAATTTTGGGTCTCATTTCATCTGTGACAATTCAGTATAGGCAGATAAAAACTGAAAGTATACAGTACCAGAAGCACCTAGGAGTTATAATTGTAAATAATTTAAAATGGGAAGCTCACATTGCCAACAAAATTAAAAAAGTCAACTCACTTATGTTTGATTGGAAAATCTGTTCAAAACCATACTTTGATAGTATGTACATTCGACCAAAACTTGAACATGCACCCAGCGTGTATAATACCTAATTTGTCAAAGTTATTGAACTACTGAAAAATAACGCGAATTCCGCCAGAGATTCGACTTTTGCCATAAAACAACGTCTAAGGACTTGAGAGATTCAAGATCAGTGGCTGCTATTCATGTACCCTTCAAATATTTAATATGAGTCAGAATCTTCATCTCCGAGGGAATACCAAAAAAAATAGAAAAAGAAAGAACATCTAAAATCTCTTAATGAAGAAGCAGTTGGTGAACTGTCAATTTATTCATGAATAAGCTGGATAAGGAACCAGAAGACGTTTCGTGCATTATCCAGCATAGAAAAGACTTTACACAACAGTGTCATCGGACTTTTTCTCCTTCTGTTGTAGTGCTAATAATAATAATAATTTATGTTGCTGTCAAGCAAAAAAGGTTAAGCACTGCGGTTCAACTGAACCCTTCTAGTTAGTCCGTAGATGGTCTTCTGCTTCCAATAATAATTTATGGTCATAAGGTTTACAGTGGCAAACATAGAGCAGCAGCGGTGGCTGCAGTAGTAGACTCTTCGGTCTCCTGATCAGTCGCCGTGCGGGTTCGAATCCCGTTCCAAGAGAAAATTTTCTCTTGGCTATGGATATTGTGATTGTCCGTATGTGGTAGACAGTCTCTGACTGTCCAACGCAGAGGTATCACCCGGCAGATCTCGTAGGAGGGGCCAGAGTGTGTGCATGTTACATGCACACGTGTTCCCTCGCCAGAGTCCGTGTGGCGTTCCCCCTTTCCCCTGTATCCCCCTATAGCCCCAGACCATTGAGCATCTTGTCAAGTTGCCATCTCTTTGGTGTGAAGGATTGTATTTGAATACATGTGCCTTATGGGGTTGCGGTTGCCAGATGCTCATAGTGAAAACGGTTCCAAAGAGTATCAATAAATAATTTGCATCAACTTACATGTTCTGCATATAATGCTACGTGTAAATACACTTGATTTCCAACTTCAGTCTCCATGACAAACTCGACAATTTCCATCCTGGATGGTGGTACGATGATGAACTTTGCTGATGCCCTGTTATGATGGTTCCTCAACATAACAGCAGAGACTTCAAAGAATCCATTTGAGACAGTCTGCACGTGACCAGCTTGCGAAACCAATCCGATGGAATTGTTGGAGCTAACCCACATGAATTTGCTGTCCCCACCTCTTGCCTGGAGGTCTATTTCATACCTGAAATAATTGGATTTAAATAGTATGCCTCAAGTTTCCAAGCACTGATATAAAGTCATGCCATACAAATAGCTTTTGGTTAAATTAAGGAGTGTATCCAACAGTGTCAAGAAGACCATAATACTATGTATTAAAATCTCATTCACTTTCGTCAAAACAAATGCCAGCACGCAACCTTAAAATTCGTGCGCTCCTATATAAATGCCTGGGCAGGCACCGCCACAGCGAATAGAGTCGACGGCGGTGATCAAGTGATTAGGTTTGCTTTGAGGCGAAGTAAATGAGGTTTGACTAGAAAATATAAATTCAAATTTTGAAGCTTGTCAATTAAAAAGTTGTATCTTAGTCTCCTGCTTACAAGCGAACAAAATTCTGCAGAATGAGGGAACTTAGAATGCTGATATCTGATATCTAATATAATTATACAATTAATGAATTCGTTAAAGCTTATGTGTATTGGAAAAATGGAGCTTCTGGGGCCTTACCGATTTACCCACAAAATGGGTTTTGGTCAAGATTACACATACATATTACAAGAATTTTTTCACACAGTAGCAGCTGTGCAAGCAGAAGACTAAATGCCAGGGCACCGCAGCTGCTATGAGGAGCTTAAAGAAATTGCTAATTTTAACTTACTTTGGTCGTGTGATGGGGTCCCAAGGCAATATCACTTCACTGGGAACAACAGTGATCCTCGGATAGATGAGTAAATCATTTGTTGCTTCAATGGGTTTATCAAATTTTATTTTACCAGTTTGAGTGCTGAAAACACTATCAAGTACAGCTTTCACCGAAGCTATAGCTGGCTTTATTCCATAACCTGTTATCCATGAGCCATTTGCCGATCTACTGGTTACTCTGAACTCTGGGGTAACATCTATGAACACCTACAAAACATGTAGATTACAACATTGATTTGTTTGTTTGTACATACGTATACAGGGTGTCCGGTAAATAGTACGACAAAAAAATGGGGAAGATAGGCGAGAGGCAGATCTACAACATACCAAAAAATAACCCTAGTAAAAGTTCTTGAGATACTAATTTTTTTGTCTTTTTCGACTTTATTAAAACGATAACATTATTTCACCTTTCTGAAGTCCTGAATAAGCAGGTAATTTATCGCAGTATTTTACGGTAGCAGTCTAGTACATTTTTATTTCACAGCTGAATACAAAGTTAAGTAAAATAGTTTTCTAAAATAACAATTAAGAAGATGAAATTAGTTTGTCAAGTTTACCTAATTGTATTTATCGAAAATGATATTTCAAATGGCGACCAACTATCTGAGAATATTTTGCAAAAAAAAAACAAACAGATATCCTGTTATTTCTAGGCACAGCAACAAAAAATAGACTAAAAGAGGAAATTTTTCGAAGAAGACAAACAAATTAATATCTCATTATCAATGAAACTGTTACTAGGGTCATTTTTTGGTATGTTGTAGATCCGCCCTTTGCCTATAGTCTCTATTTTTTTGTCGTACTATTTACCGTCACAAAAAGTCATAAATTGTCGACCATGAGAAACTGTCAGTTCAAAGGAGGTGTCTGAGTAAGAGGGGTGTCCGCAAAGGGGAATTTCACTATACTCCCATTTAAAATACATATTTTCAAAGTAGATTTGGAATTATAGCAGAGACAAGAATCATAGTTGTGACAAATCCTCATAGATGATATCTCATCTCAGATAATTTTTTGGATGCCAAAAAACATATATGATTGGCTATCCTTAGGTAGAGCAGGTTAATTGATTAATGAATATAATAAATCTGCAACCAAGATACTCAAGTACAAGGCTCATGTTTCAAGTATGTTGAAAAATAGATCTGAAAATGTGTTGTTTTTTAAGGGATCCTTACCTGAACAGATCCTCCAATGTATATTCTGTGATCTGTCTCAGAATACACTTCCACTGCAATATCATGATGATCTCCAAGTAAAATTGCCCAGTTCTTATGGGGCAAAACATTAACCACAATATAACTTGGTTGAACCACATGTAAATTAGCTGCTGGTAGTTTCATCAGAGGATCATCCTTGCCAACATTTTTGTCTCTCAAAACAATTCTTGTGTTGCCTGGTTTCAACCCTGTAATGTTGCCTGATTTCTTCAGGGAGAAAGCTACAGATGTATCTTCAGCTTCTAGATAATATTGGGCATTAGGGAGGATGATTTCTTCTATGCGGCCTCCATTGAGCTGCAATAAAAAATTTAATCTTATTATTAATTAACAAAAATTAAGTAGAATACTTACAAAGAATATTTTAAAAGGAATAGTATCTCCAGGCATGATATAGACCTCTGCAGGGGATATCAATAAGTTGGCAACAACCATTAACTGCACTTCATTCGTAGCCACATGTTTGTATTCTAGATGAGGTAATCTGACTGTAACCTGAAAGATCATTTAGTGAATATTATTCACAATGGAATTTTTTATTGATGATAGATCAGTTCAGAGTAAGGAGCCCAATCTAACAAGGTTATATTTTTTCATAGGTTTCACAGTGATGTTGGTGATTATTTTACATTCCATGGATTATTTTGTTAATTGTTTGTCAGAGGTTCCAGAGTGATGTTGATGATAAGGGTACAACAAAAAAATGTTTACCTTTGCAGATCCACTCTTGATTCCTTCTAAAAGGATAGCATAACCTTTTTTACCCTGAGATTCCAATGCATCAATAGCATGTGGAGCTTCATATGGAGAATCCCTAAAGGTAATGAATCTCAAAACAGCATCTTTTTTAGGGCCTAGGCTCACTATGTTCCATTCAAAGACGATTCCTTCGAGAGTAGAGAACTCATTGCCTAGATGATTAATTAAAAAATGATTTATAAAAGTGCAAAAGTATAAAATATGGTGCACTATACCTATGAATGTCTAAAAATATGTTGAAAACCTAAAAAATCATTGAAAAAATAAATGACATAAATCATATGAGTATACCTCTAATGAAACACTAAAAATCTTACTGGGTACAGGATATTTCTATGACATAGTTAAGGTAATCACATGAGAAATGCCTAGCTAATAGTTTACCCAATATTCAAATCAAATACTAATTATAATTTTTTTCTATACCTTGGTCATCAAGAGCCTTAACTTCAAAATCTTCAGGAGCTTCCTCCATGAAGAGCTCTCTGGTAGTAGTAGAAATAGACAGCTCATGAATGACATCAACAATAATATCACATCTCAATGTTTGTTTAGTGTTATGGTCTTCTGCTAATACCACTGCAATATTACGAGCTGCCTCTTTTGTCACAGTGCTGACAATAACTTTCACAGAACACTTTAATTCTTGATGTTCATCTATTTGAGTAAGAGATATGATGTCATTTCGAGTTGTGGTCCTAAAAAATATTTAACACATTTGGAAAATAAATTTCAATTCTTATATTGTGTGCAAAACCTTTGAATAGTTAATTTGATCCATTTTTCAGTATGACAAGGTGGTTTATTACATAATAAATTGCTGTGATAAGGAGCATGGATTATAACCAGCAGCGGCTATAAAGCGGATCAATGGGAAACCCACAAGCTAGGCTAGGACTACTCTTCGACTTATACGAAATAGTGTCATTTAACTACATTATCTTGCTCCAAAATTGATATAAAAGTTACTGTCAGTTCTTACCATTTATAGCACCCTCCTTCAGTAGCCTCAAGGGTGAAATTCATCGGAAAATCGTTGAAAATTGGGAGCAAGACCCTTGGTACATTTAGTTTGGAAGCTCTAACACATGTGCCAAAAAACATAAACAATATAATAGGTATCATAAGCGTCCTGAGAGCTGACACAGCCATGATTTTGAGCGGGGCGTTCGCACTGTTTTTACATCAGCCTCTTTTTAATCTTTAAAAATTTTCAGACGCCAAACTGATCGACGCGGTTTAAAAGCGAGGTTAGATTCGGCGCGACACTCGAGACAGATGTTTGAATAATTGCGACGTTGCCATATCCTCACAAGAAATTCTCTCAATTCCACTCAATTCGAATACTACAGGAGCGTGTCTCTGTGAGCGTGTCTGACAATCTGATGAACAAATAATGATATGATATACGATATACATTCAAAAGAAGTCCACAGACATGTTATGTGTCATGTGCCTATATTGACTATGCTGACATTGAATTTCACTCCGAATCCGGCACGGGTATCACGTATCTCGAAAACTGACATTATGCCGATTTTTTTTGACATTATGCTGTTTTTTTGACATTCTGTAGGTTTTTCGACAAGATATTAACTTGGCACTTAGTTGTACGAGTTGCATAAGCGTCATGAGGCTTGTTATCAATCTTTGTCTTTGATGTGATGTAAAATCTGCTTCTGAGATGGCATTACTGGAGGTCTAAGCTGTAAGTTGTATGTGTTGATGATAATTACATTGGGTTCTTGTCTCAAATACACTTAATTGAGATTCAAAGCTAGAAATTAGTTTCGCATCCACTTTTTCTTATCCATTCTGAAAATTACATATACAAATTTGCTGAATTTCAAAAATGAGAGAGGTAAGAAATAGTAATTATATTCACTGTACACTGTCGAATTACAAGCCATATACATGCGTTTAGTTTAGTTGAGTGATTCCTTCTGAGATGGACGTTCACAACGATCCTAGTGAGCAAACGTAGAATGACTGTTTGCGCCCTAAAAACTACCTAGTTTGCAAGATGATATCTTATAGGTTTTTCAGATGATACCCATGCGGAGTTCTAATCTTCGCAAAATGATGAGACACTCAATATTTTGCCGGAATATATGAATCATTTAAAATCTGGCAACTATGTGAAACAATGTTATATGAAATATAGTCAACCCATTATACCAGCTGTTGTAATATTGCTTATCTAAAATTGTAACGATCAGTCATGTTACGATTGGCGCAATTTTTAAAAATGTGACATATTTGTGTGTAAGTCTTGACCTTTTTAAAGACAAATGCTTCAATACAGCCAGAACATCTTTTGTACCATTGTTACATTGATTCCAGCTATACAAATTAACAAAATTGTTATTACTTGCTAATCGCATAATGCATTTTCTACCAGTTTAATTTGATAAACTTTTCAGCGGCCTTGTCGCTACAGCGTTTATAACAAACTAATGAAACTAAAACAGAAGTAATCAATCCTTCAAATCAAAATAAAATCTCCAAACAAAAGATCATCCATAACATCTCTGCATACAATTCCGCATTAGATCTCTTTTGTAGCAGAATGCACAATAACAAAAAGATAAAACTAGTATGTCCTTATCACTATACGGTTTTTTCTACTGCTGCACTTATCACGGATCGAATACTGTGTCAAAAGTTCAAAGTAAAAGGAAATCGCTTGATAAACGACCAAGTGCCGACTGTTGAAACAAAAAGTAAACATTTGTGTAAGTTTTCATTCAACATTTCAGTGATGTGAGAAATAAGAGATATCATCGCCCTACATTTTAAAGTAACACTGCCAAAATGTGTAATATTTTTAGTTTGCTCCTGATATTCTTATCGGTTCATCAAGCGTTTGCAAGTGATAAGTAAGTAAAATTTGAATTAACAAAGACTTCGCAAAATTAGATATACGATAAGAAATTAAGGATCTTCTGAAACTCTTTTTGTGAACTATAAACAGTGAAATGAGCTGGAAATGCACGTCTTCGATTTTTTTAAAAATACAGGCATAACTGTGTGGACTTAATTACGTATTGTGTATACAGGGTGTCCCAGAAGTCGTCGTCAAGCCGAAACCGGGTGATAGGCAAAGTCATAACAGCTAGCAGAAAAAAATTTAAAAAATTTTTATGTATGTGTTTTGAAAATTATAGGTCTTTGAAAAAAATATAGAAATTTCACACCCTAAGGCAGTCTGTCAACTCCTGTTACTACAAATATTAACTTTTTTCGATTTTATTTTTACAATGTAATGACGAATAATGCATCTTCAAACTGGTGTCTCAACCTTACTGCCAACTTTTCTCGTTCAGGAAAAATTGCCACTTATTTCCCAACCAAGTATTCCAAAGTAAAACTTTCCTCAACTTTAACTGGCTGTACTGGAAAAAATGTACTACGAGAGTTTGGCAAGTAACCTTAAAAGTTGGCGCATTTAATAAGGATTCCAAAATGGTATAACATTTAGAAGATTACTCGTTAACTTATGCACAATTTTTATTTGAAGAAAAACTGATGAAAATTTTTCAAAATTTCCTAATTAAACAGCTATTATGAAAACGCACAAGGACCCTTAAGGATAACTGTTTGCACAACAGTGGGCGTCAAAATGCTGCTGATGATGATTTACCTTTACAGCAAATGCTCAAACTGTTTTCCTTCAGCCGCAATACACGCTCGACATCTTCTTAAAAAAGATCGGGTTATTAAACGAGCGAATCCACGGTTATTAACAAACTCAGCTGCTTCCAATAGTCTTTGCCGTAGCTCAGCTACATTTTGAATCGGCTTTTTTCTTTTACAGTTCCCCAGTAAAAAAAATCTAACGTATTCAAATCTGGTGACCGGCCTGGCCACGGTATTGTACCAGACCGCCCTATCCATCTGCTTGGAAAGTTTTGATCGAGATACTCTCTCACTGAGAGTGCATAGTGCGCTGGGCAGCCATCATACTGAAACCACATGTCCCTGTAAATACTCAGTGGCACGTCCTCCAATAAATTTTCTAAATGATTTTGCAAAAAACCTAAATAAACCTCAGCAGTCAAAGTCTCTGGGAACTCAAACGGACCGATTATTTTACCATTTAAAATTCCTGTCCAATTGTTTATCTTGAAGCGATATTGAGTTTTATCTTCTCTCATCAAATGTGGGTTTGCTACTCGTGTAAGTTATGCAGGTTCATGTACCCATCTTTCTTAAATGTGGTCTCATCTGACCATAACATTTTTTCAAAGAACCGTGGATCTTCCCTGTGTCTTTCTAACATTGTGCGACAAAAAGCAACTCGGGGCTCATAATCCCGAGGCAGAAGAGCTTGAACACGCTGTACGTGGTATGGATGGAGCACGTTTTTTTGCAAGATTCTATGGGCTGTACTTTTGGGCACACCTGTTTTTAGTTCTATTGCACGTTCTGAAGTACTCAGGTCTTCTTCGACAGCTCCTAGCACCACGTCATCGTAAGGAAGGAAAGATCTTCCCTCACCGTGTGATTGGTTTGGTAGTTGGCCCTCTGAGAACAGTAAGCGATGCACATTTGTGAACACTCGATGATCTGGATGACGAGCTGCATTCGGGTACCTCTCACAGTAAAGTCTCGCTGCAGCACTAGCGTTGCATCTGCATTCCCCATAAATGAGGTGCATGTTAGCATATTCTTGTACGGTGTACACGGACATAGCTGCACTGCACAATCACACTATCAAAGATAGTCTAAGCAAAGCAAATGTTGTTTTGAATGTTTTGAAGAGCAATTAAACAGTCCAAATTCAAATCACAAGCGATCAACAGTCCAGTTCACGAATCCAAAAGTAGTAACAGTACGAAATCAACAAGCACGAACATGTAAAGATGCGCAGTAAACGAAGGAATAGTGATCGGTATCAAAGTGTGCAATAGCAAGTAAGTGATGTGCTTCATCCATACCACATACAGCGTGTTCAACCTCTCCTGCCCCGGCATTATGAGCCCCGAGTTGCTTTTTGTCGCGCAATGTTAGAAAGACACAGGAAAGATCCACAGTTCTTTGAAAAAATTTTATGGTCGGATGAGACCACATTTAAGAAAGATGGGTACATGAACCTGCATAACTTACACGAGTGGCACGTAGCAAACCCACATTTGATGAGAGAAGATAAATCTCAATATCGCTTCAAGGTAAACCATTGGACAGGAATTTTAAATGGTAAAATAGTCGGTCCGTTTGAGTTCCCAGAGACTTTGACTGCTGCAGTTTAGTTGGATTTTTTGAAAAATCATGTACAAAATTTATTGGTGGACGTGCCACTGAGTATTTACAGGGACATGTGGTTTCATCATGATGGCTGCCCAGCGCACTATGCACTATCAGTGAGAGAGTATCTCGATCAAAACTTTCCAGGCAGATGGATAAAGCGGTCTGGTACAATACCATGGCCAGCCCGATCACCTGATTTGAATCCTTTAGATTTTTTTACTGGGGAACTGCAAAAGAAAAAGTGTATTTCAAGCCGATTCAAAATGTAGCTGAGCTACGGCAAAGACTATTGGAAGCAGCTGAGTTTGTTAATAACCGTGGATTCGCTCGTTTAATAACCCGATCTTTTTTAAGAATTTGTCGAGCGTGTATTGCGGCTGAAGGAAAACAGTTTGAGCATTTGCTGTAAAGGTAAATCATCATCAGCAGCATTTTGACGCCCACTGTTGTGCAAACAGTTATCCTTAAGGGTCCTTGTGCGTTTTCATAATCGCTGTGTAATTAGGAAATTTTGAAAAGTTTTCATCAGTTTTTTTTTCAAATAAAAATTGTGCATAAGTTAACGAGTAATCTTCTAAGTGTTATACCATTTTGGAATCGTTATTAAATGCGCCAACTTTTAAGGTTACTTGCCAAACTCTCGTAGTACATTTTTTTCCAGTACAGCCAGTTAAAGTTGAGCAAAGTTTTACTTTGGAATACTTGGTTGGGAAATAAGTGGCAATTTTTCCTGAACGAGAAAAGTTGGCAGTAAGGTTGAGACACCAGTTTGAAGATGCATTATTCATCATTACATTGTAAAAATAAAATCCAAAAAAAGTTAATATTTGTAGTAACAGGAGTTGACAGACTGCCGTAGGGTGTGAAATTTCTATATCTTTTTCAAAGACCTATAATTTTCAAAACACATACATAAAATTTTTTTAAATATTTTTCTGATAGCTGTTATGACTTTGCCTATCACCCGGTTTCGGCTTGACGTCGACTTCTGGGACACCCTGTATATAGCAGTGTTACCCAGACACATCTAAAGCGCGACCCTCTTTTTGTTACGACCCGCTAATTTCCCCACTGGTCGCTACCCCACACTTTGGGTACCTAACATAGTTAATAGTATTTATTTTTTAGCATAACAGAAAATATTGTTAAGAAAAGTGGTGGCTTTCTACTATCAGTGCCAAAGGTTTTAGTTTCTGGAAAAAATGAAACAGTTTGCTTGTCACTGCACGAAGCTAGATTGCCAGCTAAAGCTATAATAGATTTGAAGTGGCGCGAAAAACATTTGCCCACGTTGAGAAATTTGGAAGCAGGTATTGTATCTGGAATAATGAAGAACTGCGATATAAGCTAGCGAAAGACCAAAAATAGTTGATACTTAATTGTTCAGGCATATTTTAGAGACTTTATGTACATTAAAAAAATGAGCATGGGCGCCCGTATAGCAAAATTCAGAGGAAGGCATACAGCCAACCAACCAATTTGAAGTAGAGTAGCTAACTGGTTAAAGCCGTAGGAGAAAAAATAATTCTTATGTATGGATGTTTTGAGGAATAAAAAACAGGCTAATCGTTGGTTAAAAAACGGGTAAATTTTACTCATCAAGCGGAAGCCTAATGGGAGCCCATGCATACGAGGGTAGGGTGAAAAGTTCACGGCCTGACAATGAAAGACTGCTATTTTCAGTTAAAATGATTTCACTCCTTCATATACCTCTTTGACTCTAATCCACGTCTAACGTTTTTCCAACATTTTCCTTTTCGGGAATGAAAATAGAAATGTCTTCAAATTTGGAAACAAATCAGGAAAATAGGGGGATGGTCGAACAAATCATATCCCAAATCTCGCAGGCTTCCCGTTACTCCCAGTTATTTATGCAAGATGTTATACGCCTTTCCTGCCGATATCCCCACGGCCTCAACTATCTCACTCATCTTCACATGCCTTCAAGGGACGTGCGACCGCGTTTGACTTCAACTGCATACTTTTTGACAATTGAAATCGAAAACGTTTGTTAGGTTCGGAAGAATTTTCTTGGAGGCTAATCCACTCAACACGAAAATACGCAAGACGTTCACTTTAAAAATTGGTATAGACAAACCACTCGAAAGGACAAGTTGAAACTTGAAGGTTTGAGTGGAGGAGCACCATCTGGTGAACTTCGTCTTGAGGTTTGCCTCAATATTGTAATAAAAATACACCGATTTTACCATTTAAAGTCTAATTTATCATTCACACTATGTCAACTGGACTATGGTGAATCGTACTGTTGACTCATCGGCCGGCTCTCACTATCTCTGCTCGCTCCTGCTCTGTCCTCTGAGCGTTTATTTATGATCAGTGACGAGTCCAGAAGCACTCCCGAGATTTCAGGCCGAACTCCAGCCTTAATCGAAGCCTGATAGATGACGGTCGATGTTTCTCGAAGCGTGAAGAACGCCGATGTACGAAAAGGTCTCATTGATACTTAAAGTTCTGGTTACGAGGGCGTTACAGTATAATGTATAATCATATAATCACAAGATAATTTATCGTGTTATACAGGGTGATTCAACAGTCGTGACCAAAAATGAGACATCATACACAGGACCGCCTTTTAAGGGGGGTCTCCTATGTAACATTTTTACCTCGAGAGCTTGATTAAAAAGATACGGGGTGCTGAAGTTTAAAAATAAAAAACAATTTTTTCCACAAAATTTGTTGTGGCTTGAATTTGATGAAACAAATTATCTATTCTTTCTTGTAACTGATCAACAGTATTAACTTGTTCAACATACACTAGTCGTTTGAAAGCGTCCCACAAATGAAATCCAGGGGCTTCAAATCAGAAGACCTCGCAGTTCGGGTCCGTTTCTGCCAATCCATCGTTGTCTAAAATGATTATTGAACCATGTGGTTATGTCACGACGAACATGCGGTGAGGCACCGTGGGGTACCACATTCGTACTCTCGTTGCTAACAGAACATCATCTAACACATTTTCTATGTAATTCTCTGGAAAAGCTAAGTACGAGTTTACATTTAAACGTTGTGGCAATACGTGCATAAACAGTTGGTCATTGAAAATGCCGCACCAGACACTTCTAGAAAATCTGTGTTGAAACGAGTAGATTCTTAGAGAACTGGGATTTTCTAACGACTCTCCACTTCTCATAAAAAGCGATTCGTCTGACCACAAAACCAAATCAATAAAATCTGCATTTTGATTATGCATTTGCAGTCACCACTCACAAAAATTTCGCCGTTGCACTTCGTTTCCGGGTTGCAGACATTGCACATTTTGCCGATAATAAGGATGTAAAACTTCCCGATTTAAAATTATCCATGCAAGACTTTGGAAACATGGCAACTGGGCTGCAATCCGCCTAGTACTTGTACTAGGATCCACCCAAGGCCAAATTAATCACTTCTCCTCTTGAACAGTATGCCGGACACCATGCGGCCTCTAACTCCGGGTAGTTTGGCAATTCCATATTGCCGAGGTCTTAGAAATGAACGCGTGAAAACCTTTGGGGTAGGTTGGCGTCTGTTAAGAAATCTACGATGATACTCTCGAGAAGCCGCCTAAGCATTTCCATTACAGAACCCGTACACAAAAATAATATCGGCGTACTCATCATTGCTGAATTAAATTTTACAGCACACAAAAATGGAAAAAAAGGAACTTTTGATTTGACCTTTACAAAAAAAAAATGGTACTAGTAACGACAACAACCGTATAACAACAACAAACTATCTTCCAACAAACGTCAAGTTAGTATCAAGGCCTCCTACTTTATGTTATTTTAAACAATGCACTCTATAGAAAAACACAAGAGTAATTATTTGTAGCTAATTGGAGGTAAAATTCGAAAAATTGCGAGTTTTGAAAAAAGAACAGTGGCGTATTATATTTATTTGGAAAAATAAAGCCAGCCACTAATCCTCTGTACCTCCGCCACTGGTGCACTCTAATTTTAAGTAAAGACTTTTGAACATGGACAACATTTAGGTTAATCCGCATACCGAATTTTAGTTCATTCCAGTTGACGGTTTTGAAGATATTAAAAAAATTGTTTTTTATCGTTAACCTTCAACGCCTTGTATTTTTTTAATGAAGTCCTCGATGAAAAATGTTACGTAGAAGACCCCCATAAAATGCGGTCCTGTGTATGATGCTTCACTTTTGGTCACGACTTGTGAATCACATTGTATAATGGAAAATAAAGATGCATTATTATATGTGCACCTATGTAGGAATTATAAATTTTCGCTGATTGGAGAGCAATGTCTGTGACAGGCCGAGAACTTTTCACCTCATCGTCGTACCTACATGTTTTTCACATCTGATTTCAGAACATACCTGTTTTGATATGATCGTTCCAAATCTGCCAATAAAGGAACCACAATTTGTGAGCATAAAAGTACAAGTACAGCTAAACGGCAGCATACAATCCGCACATAACTTGGATCCTATTGTGGTGTACCCCCACAAGTTGGTAAAGACCTTCATACATACCGACAGAGGTCTTTATAAGCCTGGCGATAAGGTCAGATTTAGGTTGTTGATACTGGATGAGAATCTCCTACCAGACAATTCAAAGGTTTGTCAAAAGCATCTAATAAATCGGGTCCTAATAGTCACTTGGGAATTTTTTTCAAGGCAGACCAACGGAAATGGTTTTTCATAGGCTAAAAATTGACCCCCTCCCGGTTTTTTTATAGGACTATCCACAATAAACAGTTGTATATAAAGGTTATAGGGTATAATGTAAAGTTTTTTATTAAGTATGATTGTCACTGTCTTGTCTACTAACAGCACATTAGGTAGTTCTAAAAAGAGAGGAATTTGCTTATTCCAGAGAAGATTCTTAACGGTTGCTAATATCTAGAGTAATGGAGGCTACTAGTGAGCAGTCGTCAATTGAAAACAGTGATCGAAGCGACTTTTTGGAAGTTTTACGGATATTTAATTTTGAAACATATTAGTGACATAAATTTCATTATCAGAGACTTTGTTATATCTTGTTATTGTAAATTTCGAATGTGCAGGGATTAAAGCTGTACATACACCTAAAGTTAGCGATCACAGTTGGACAATGCTGCCCTTGGTAGGGCATTTTTCTGATACAAAAATTAAGAAAATCGTAAATACTATTAAGTACGAAAAACTTGAACGAGAACTTGCTGGCTGCTATTGGAATTTTGGTGAGAATATGGAAAAAATATATGACAACATAATAGGAAATATAAAAAATTGTTTAGATCTTGCAACTGATAAAAAAGTGATTTGCTCGACAAAAAACACTCCCTGGTATAACAAGAATATTAAGGCAGCTCAAAATTTGAGAGACAAACAATACAATAAATGTATATTCACAAAATCAAATGATGATTGGGAGGTATATAAAACTCTTAGGAATAAATGTGTATATGTAATTAGAGAAGAAAAAAGGAAATTCTACGATAAACAAATCGATAATAACAAGTGCGACAGTGTAAAGATGTGGAAGACTTTAAAAAGACTGATCAATTCGAAGCCGCATGATTGTGTAAATCAAGTTCAATTCGAAAACGGTACCGAAACAAATTCTTTGGTGATTGCAACAAACTAAATGAATATTTTGTGGAAAGTATTGTTGATATTGTGGGTACTGCCAATGCTGCACCTGACTATATGAAAATCAGTTTCCAGGGGGAAATGTTGCATACACTTTCAAAATTTCACAGCGTATCATTGAATTATCTAAGAAAAAAAGTAAACAGTTTAAAATGAAATAACAACTGTACCGAAATCACTACTAAAAACGTGCTGAAAAACTGTTTCGAAATTTTGGGATATCCTGTATTAAATTGGATCAATTGTTCACTGAGAAGCAGTTCTTTTCCTGAAAATTTGAAATGCTCTACAGTAACACCAGTTCCCAAAATAAAAAAATCTAAAAGATGCAACGATATGACACCAGTAAATGTGTTACCAGACATTGAAAAATTATTAGAGTCCATAGTGCATGACTAATTAATGCAGTTTATAGAAGAAAACAAAAATTTAGTGGAGGCGCAAGCAGGCTTTCGAAAAAATATTCCACAGAAACAGCTTTCCAGTTGGTAACTGAGAATTGCAGAAGAGCCATAGACTCAGAAGAAGTTGTCATAGCAGTATTTTTGGATTTGAAGAGGGCATTTGAAATGATTGATAGAGATATTTTGTTAGGTAAATTGAAGGCATATGGTATAACAGGAAGTGTTTTAGATTGGTTTAGAAATTATTTGTCTAAAAGGATGCAAGTTACAAAAGTTAATGACACTATTTCATCAAAAATTGAAAATACATTGGGTGTTCCACAGGGCAGTATCCTGGGACCACTTCTTTTTATTTTATACATAAATGATTTACCTGCCATAGTCAAAAAATGCAAAATTCAGATTTTCGCCGATTACACTATGATTTATATAAGTACTAAAAATATTCAGTCTGGTATCTCTTATATAAATGAAGACTTGAAACTTGTCTCAAATCTAACAGACTAAAATTAAATGCAAGTAAAACGAAAGCCTTGTTAATGGGAAAAAAGCAATGTACAAATGTTCAACTGAATATTGATGGTGAAGATATTGAATTCGTAGAAAATTTTAAATACCTGGGGGTTTTTGTTGACTCTCGATTAATTTTTGATATTCATTATGAAAAAGTTATAAATAAGATTAGTAGTAAAGTGGGATATTTATCGAGAGTTTATGGATGTCTGAGTTCATATAGCAGAAAAATTATCTATAATACCATCATTCTTCCAAATTTTTTGTACTGTTCGACTATTCTATATTTAGCAAATAATTCCATTTTTGAAAGACTGCAAATTTTAAAAAATAAGTGTATGAGAATAATACTAAATAAAGATAAATATACTCCAATTAGGCAAATGCTTAGCAAATTAAAATGGCTCAATGTAAATTTTTTTATCAAATATCTTGTAATGATATTCATTTATAAAGTAAAAAATAATATATTTCCATCAAGTCTAACTAATTTAACATCATCAAATGTCGACCATCATTCACATAATATCAGAAATAAAGATGACTTCCATTTAATGACCAAAAACTTATGCTACAAATCTGTATTCCATCAAGGGTTGATTGAATATAATAAATTATACTCGGAGATAAAAGACCAGAAAACTTTGACAAAATTCAAAGTAAAATTGAGAAATCACTTGTTAACACTTTGACTACTACGCATGCTGGTGATACATGACTCAACAGAAACTGGTACACTTTTTTCTCAAAAAAATATATTTTGATATATTCAAGTATACAGACAGAATGAAAACAACAAGTTTTTCCACAAAAAAATATTTTTTTGACTGTGTCCAGGTACAGTACACACAGTCTATATAAAAAAAAAATACAGCTTGATCACCTTAAAGTATGTATATCGTGCATGACCACATTTCTCATTTACGTAAACTGCAGTTGTGAGTGTCGAAAAAGCACTTCATACATAAAAATTTGTGTTCACACCCCTGACAATGCATTTTAATCCTAGGAGTGTTTGCCATTGCATAGGCTCGACCATTTCTTTCACTATTAGCTTTGTAACATCTGGTACATCTACCCCTTGATGTTATCTCGATGATTTTGTGATTCCTAGAGATCCCTTCAGATGGAATATCTATAATATTATGCCTCTCATTGAAAAGTTTGTTTACAAGCTCCTCCCTGAACTTGGTTATATTTATAGTTTTTTTAGTAAAAAATTGATATGCTATGTGAGCATTCACAACTGCAGTATTTGTGAGTATTTCTATGGCCACCTTTCTATACCATTTTATTCCGCGTCGAACAGTAGTCGAGTAGGAAGCCTTTTGGTCAGACACATCTATAAAAGACTTGATACTATTATACTTTGCAATAGTAGATGGTTTTTTTACAACACCTCGTTTTGTTTGTACGTCAGTCATTTCAGGCACTGCTTTGGTCGTCAAAAATAAGACCTCTCTTTTGTCTCTCCATTTTCCCACTATCACATGGGTATTATTCTCACGTACAATCAAGTCCCCTTTTTCCAGTTTTGCATCTGTAATTGGCTTTGGATTAAATTTCCTATTTTTTCTCAGAGTCCCAATAAGGTGTGTCTTTCTATCCAAAAGTTCGTGTGCGAGGCTAACGCTAGTATAAAAGTTGTCTGTGCATAGTAGACGTCCGCAATCTAAGAGAGGCTCCATAAGTTCGAGAACTACGCGACTAGCAACTGACTGTGAAGTCGGGTTGTCCTCCTTGCCTGAATATACTTTTAAGTTGTATGTATAACCTTTCTCCGCACACAGTTTGAAAATTTTTACTCCGTATTTATGTCGTTTACCCGGTATGTATTGACGAAAGCTAAGCCGGCCTCTGAATGGAATCATTGTTTCGTCAATACATACGTCTTTTTTGGGAATACATGCAGCTTGAAAATTAGTAATGAGACCGTCTGCTAATGGTTGAATTTTGTATATGCGATTCGTACGATCTGTTGTCTCATTATCTGAAAAATGCAAATTTGATAGAAGCAATTCAAACCGCATTCTTGACATTCCAATGTATTTTCCCAAATCATTTTTGTGTAGTATATTGCGCGAAAAGTAATCTTTCAGTGTCGGCTTTTTGTCTAGTCCCATCCAAATTAGCATTCCTATGAATGCTACTATTTCAGACTCATTAGTATCTTTCCAGTGAGTTAATAGTGAATTTTTTTGGATAGTTTCATTTGCTATGCATGATATAATTTTTTGCGTCGCATAGCGGTTTGTTTCTTGAACTATCATAGGTATGATATCGGCCAAGAAAAGCTTATAAAAGTCTAAAGGCTCATCTCCGCTTCTTTTCGCAAAAAACTCTGCAGAGAATCCTGGGTTGGCATTGAACGGATGATCCTTCAAATTTCCTGAAGAGAAAAATACTTTGTAGCGTCGCAATAAATCCTAATTTACTTTATTTTACCTGAACAATCATTCCAGATAACTCGAACTTCATGTGATCCACTTACATCTCTGTTGGGGCTGCACTCATCTGAGCTACTCTCGCTGCTTTCAGACAAATTCACTTCACTGTCAACAGGAGTGTCTATAGCCCCGACATTTGCATTTGCTTCCACACAAATTTCTAGCTTCTTTCTTTTTCTTGCAGTGCCAGCATCGAATTCACTATCGGTACTTTCTGATGAACTGAAATTCTCGAAGTCTTAATCACCCACTGAGTCATCGACGTCCGATTCGTATTCACAATCGCTCATATTATTAATTATTCCCTCCAACTCCTTATCGGTTAAATCCCTATCACCCATTTTGCATTCAAGAACGCAACCGAGCACGATGAGCAGGAGAAACAACTACGACATACGACCAAAACATGTAAACAATACGTACACGTTACGACTAAATTACTATACAGCTTGGTGCTTCCATCTATGAATTAAGGGTAAAACTATTTGGCCAATCTTTCGTCATAAACTATACTATATAGAACATGCATTCATTTCAATAATAAGCGTGACCACATAACGTACATAACGGATCAAACCTAGCCCATGCCTGTGAACCGCGGTGATTCTAGCAACAACGGC